TACATTATGTATTCCTAGCAACTAGTTTATAGCAACCAATTTAGTTAAACACTAATTAATGTTTATTGTTTGTAACTTAAGACGCTGCCCTCACAACACTTGCTAATACTCCAATACAGCTTATACCAGAATTCATCTAATTAAGGTAGCGTTTAGAATAATCTTTAAAACAACAATAGGGATTATAAGATTTAAAATATATGATAAAACACTAACTATTACAGTATCTGTCGTTTCGTTAATAATATGTTTCGCGGATGAAGGTAAGAAAACTGAGTCTATCCTTCTTATTTTCGGTTCATGTAAATAACTATTAGTAGTCAGCCATTATTATAATCTGTGAAATTTTGCTGTCTAGCTAGACATGTCAATAACATTTTTAAAAAATCGTAGCTTAGCGGAAGGACACAATGCAGCGCTATACAAAAGGGACGTAACTGTGTTTGAAAATTAAAACGGCTCGCGACTCGATGAAATGGAGTTTAACGTCCTACTATTCTGCTCCTAACCTGGGCTAATGAAGACGGGCATACGCCATACAGTGTGCTATGAGGGAAATTTTGCCCGGACAGCGGCACTACGGCCTACTCATATCGAATTCCAACTGCCAAGGGATCTTTTACGTGCACGCCAATGTGTACACGGGACCTCGGTTTTTCGTCCCATCCGAACGACTAGACAGCTTTACTTGTCAGCCCCTCCGTCCTGCATCACTGACAAGGGAGAACCACGCCGGAAAATCTGGGTGAACTTTCTCGGCCAATGCAGGGATCGAACACCCGACCTCCAGGCTAGCGAGCTAGCGTCTTACCCACTTAGCCACGTGATCCCCGGCTCGCGACTCGATCTTTCGGTTGTTTTAAGCCCGGCCCATACCGCTACGACTACACACAAGCCGACAGGACTCAGCGTCTTGGGTAGTTGTAAAATAAAATCGGGTCGCGCCTTTACTTCACTTGCCTACGACGGTACCATTTCACACAGGCCCGACTCTCACAGATTATGCTTCGTGAGTTACGCGTCAATCATGCTGGGTTGTAGAGACATGGGCGTACCTCCCACATGTAAAACAACCCATCCTCTCTCTCTTCTGTCCAAAAATCTGCCATCTTGAATTTTCCCTCAGTTAAACAAGGAGCACATGACCTGCACAGTCACATGACTAAATGCTACTCTGATTGGCTAAACATCAGTAAGACAATTGATCGCGTAGTGTGAGTGTCCACTCAAACACGATAAGTTACGACTGCAACCGACTACGATTGAACATGTTCAATCGGGCCGACGGGCCACGACGCGACGGAAATCGATTGAATCGTGGTCGTGGGACTGTCCACACTGCACTGATTATCTGAGACAAGACGTTGCGTTGGGTAGAGTCTGGGCAAGTCGTGGCGGTATGGGCCGGGCTTTAATGCGTATCCACATTTCTATGCGTAATCATTGACTAATTTGCATAATTAGACACTACATCGAGCCAATCAAAAGAAGTGTTGAACGAGACGATTTCATGTTTAAAAGTAGCAGATTTGCGAAATTACAATCTCTAAAATTCATTCGCCAAAACTTTCGCCAGTACCATCAATTTGATTGCCAATAAAAAAGAATCATTGATATTGGCGACTTGACGAATGTCTAGGGTGGTCACTGCAATTGGTATTTGTAAGCTGACTCTGATTTCATATTTATATTATAACCTAATCATGCAGAAAGAGGCAGATTAAACAGCTTGTCAACTGTCCAGTCGTTCGGATGGGACGAATACCCGAAGTCCCGTGTATACATTGGTGTGCACTTAAAAGAATCCTTGGCAGTTGGAATTCGATATAAGAGTAAGCCATAATGCCGCTGCCCGGGCAAAATTTCTCCCATAGCACACGTATGCCCGTCTTCATTAGCCCAGTATAGGACTAGGAGCAGAACAGTAGGGCGTTAAACCCCATTTCATTTCTTAATTAGACATTAACAAGACCATAATCAACTCTCTATGCCATCGGACGCCTGCGATGTTTAGTGGATTCAAATACATTTTCTGGTGGATGTGGTTACCGTAAAAATTGATAATCGGGACTTTGTTTATTATCGTAACACCGGTAGTAATTACAATCGAGGATAGACTGTAATTGTATCGCCGATATCTTGGCTCAGAGTGACGTAATGTGACTGAAATTTCAGCATATTCCCTTTTCATTATCTATTGTTTAACTATTATAGCGATAACTGTCAGCTCTTGATCTAATCTCACCTACTGCCCCTTTAAACGTTGATCCCGAAGAGCAGAATGTCTAATTGGTGTGTCCTTATACTTGTACCTGTGTGACCTGGTTATGTATTTTGTGTCTATTGATGATATATAATTATATAGACTTTGTTAAAAACATTTGATATCATTTTAAATACCACCTTGTATGAAGCAGGCATTAGGTTTTATTTCATTAGTACATATGGATACAGGTCACCATTGGTTCTTTCGTAGGTTAGTACGAATTTAGTTTTTAGTTTAGAGTTTCTCTTCATTTTGCCTACTTTTGCATGGCATGAATTTTGTTGACTTTTTGATGTAGAATCGAAGAAAAGGTGTGAATGTATATTTTCTACCCGATGTTGGTGAATATTCATGATTTTGAGGCGAGTTAAGAGGTTGGTTAGGTTGAAATGTTGGGCCGACAGTGGCATGTTTACTTCTATGTTACGTCGAGTTTGTACCTTTTGTTAACCACTGAGAGAGAGAGAGAGAGAGAGAGAGAGTTTAATTTCCACTCGACCCAAACTAGGCCATTAAAGACCCGGAGAAACCCACGAGGTTGCACAGTCGACCCTACCCCTTGTTACGTACAACCACGCCAGTCCTTATGAGGCAACGTGCACACGCCTACAAAACATTCGGCCATTCACCCCCCACACCCGTTGAAAAACATTTGTTGACCAGTGGCTGTATATCTACTGGCAAATTGGTCAAATGATCTCCTAGAGGTCACAATGTTGATGAAATTTGAAACGCATAACTATAACCCATAGATCTTGGTTCTTGTCGATATTCGCGCATATCCGATCGTAACTTCCTGAATATGGCCCTTGATTGTACGAAAAATCGCGTTTTGAGCTTGTGGTCCCTATAGAGGATACAATTTTTATCCAATTTAAAAAAAACGTGTGAATATATCACAGTTATACACTAATGATGGTTGAATTCGAATTCCGTGAAAATTTGACAAAAACTGACGGATATAATGGCCGTACCTTGTACGCAAACAGTGTACAAATATGGTATATCAAGGTTGTGGAGATTCTAGAGTCCACAGTTTATATGCGATTTGGATGAAAATTTAAATATATGTTTTTATCATAAAGATCTTGGTTCCTGTTCATAATCACACATAACCGAAGGTAACTTCCTGGATTATGGCCCCTGATTGGTCGAAAAATCGTATTTTTAGCTTGTGGATTTTCTAGTGGTCACATTCCACCATAATGAAGTTTGAATTCGAATTTCGGGAAAATCGAAATGAAACTGCCTGACAAAATGACCGCTCGTTGTACGCAAATTGTGTAAAAGTATGCAATATGAACGTTGTGGACCCTGTAGAGATCACAATTTTTATCTGATTTTGATGAAACTTAAAACTTATCTTTATATCCCAAAAATCTCAGTCTCTTTTGATATTTGCGCCTTTAAGACCATAACTTTCTCGATTATTGCCCCTGATTGTACAAAAAATCGCGTTTGTTTTTAGCTGGTTCTCGATCCATCTCTTGCAAAATGTGGGCGTATCCTGCCTGGCAGCCGCTGGTTTTTTAAAACTATTATTGGGAATATGTCACCGACACTACAGTACAAATTTGTTTACAAAAGCATTCTAAAGTGTGAAAACTGACATATTTCAAGCTTCACTATGCTTTAAGAAATAATTTAGATGGGGCGGTTCAAGCCTTATCTCCAATTTTTGTTCGATCTATAAAAGCCTACATTCCTAAAAATGTTAATTTAGTCAAGTGAAACAAGGAAAATCATAACTCGGGGTGAGTAAATTCATCTGAATAAATCTGGATATCACGTTAGGACAACCTTGAAGTTGCCCCACCCCCCAAACGGTGTCCTATTCAGGAATCTGAGCAGAGAGTTCATAAAGGTTGAGGCAACGTCACGTTTGGCCTGAGGTTTAGGAGGATTACCGGAGAATTTTGTAAAATCTGAAACAATTATTCTGCTCATTTAGGTGCATACATGTATATTATGATGACGGTGTCGTTAGACCAACACGGGGGCGAGGCTTCGCACGTTTTATTTCTTGTATAGGGAAATAAGTGTGAAGAGATATCCCGCTCACACTTGACAAATTGTAAGCACATCAACACATACAATATATCACGATTCAATGGCTCTCTTACAGTGAGTAACTAAAAACTATAATTGGATTTTTGTAGAAATAGTTAAGGTGCATGGCATACGGTTATACAAACCTCCCAGGTAGCACAATGAGCTCTATAATCAATGACATAAGAATATCGATCTATGACATCTGCCGAAACACCTCGCAGGTTACGTGTAGGATAAATCACGAGACTGGGGTTATACTGGGGAAAGAAAGACTGAAGCAAATAACCCGAGTAAAAGAAAAACCGATATTTACTGGATTTGAATCCGATTTGCTGCGCAACGCTCTTTGATGATTTAAAACTGGATATTCGAGACTATGTTTTTTATCGCACTGACTTTAGTAATGATGATCGAGGCTAGGCCTAAAATTCAAAATCCAATATGACGGTTCAGAGAGGATCAATTTGTGTGGAATTTTCAGAAAATTGTTTATACTTTATCTAGTTTTTAATTATTGTAGTGTGAACTGCCAGCTCTTTATCTAATCTTCCATAATACCACTTTAATTTGTTGGGTGTCTTGTAAATAAATATGCGACAACCCTTGTGAACTGCTTGAATGGCTTAACTGCTGTGGGCGTATGTTTCGTCGCCTGTCATCATATCTTTTTTTATATTCTTAGTTTCTCACAGTATGGCTGATAAAATAACTCCAGGAGAGGTACTTATTTACTTATCTTCTAACTCTTTTCTTTGACATGTTTATTAAAATTTAACGTTGTTGTAACTTGTTAATCTGTCTAACATCGTCAATAGTCCTACCGGAAAACATGCGCATGTGCAACTGTGTTGTTTTAGGTGGGCTCTAAACTATTCAGATTGTATAGGCTACGTTCTGAGATCGACCAGAACATCTAGACAAATATTTTTGTTGCACACTTCCCCCTCCCCTCTTAGTGTTTAGTTTTTAGATATGTCTATTGCGAGATTATGAAGCCGGGCATACGCCATACACTGTACTATGAGTGAAATTGTGCCAGGACAGCGGCTTACTCTTTCTTATATCGAATTCAGTTCCATCTGCCATGGGTTCCTTTGTGTGCAAGTCACTGTGTGCACAGGACCTTGGTTTTGTTTCGTCCCATCTGAAAGATTATACGTTGTTCCTTGCGCCACTGGCATTGGCAAGCTGGGACCACACCGGAATATCCTATAAAAAGTCTCAGTGGTTTTATCCGCATGCGTGAGTTGAGCGTTTATTCACTCTTTCGTTGACTTTGCATGATCTTTGTGAGTAGGTCAACTATACAGAGTTGCAGACCGTGCACAGTGTGGCGGACCCTGGTGGACGGCTTTAGGTAACTGCGCGACCAAATAATAATCGATTTATTCTGTTATTTTTCTGTTCCTTTGAAATGTGCAAATTCTGAAGTTTTACTGGTTTGTAAAGATGTCGCGGACGGAGTTATATGTTATAATTGGGTCCTGATATGCGCCAAGAATAGATTAGACTAGCAGGATACCCGGCTTCGGAAGTGGTAGACTAACGCCACCTGGCCTATGTTACTCCCCGGTCCGAGCTACCCCTATACCCCAAATTTCAGACTCGGGGCAGACCTTGTAGCCGCCAACCCCGAACAGACAGACAAACAGACAGACAAACGACAGTAACAAATATTAGTATAGATGAGGCTTCAGCTAGACTGGCTCTGCATCACGCCATTCTATACGCCAACGAAGCCAGTCAACCAAAAGGACAGATTTTGAGCGAACCTCGGGTGGGTTTTCAACTGTTACGGGATCTCGTGCCTATTTGTTATGTGCCTCCTTGTTAGTTTTTTTTTCTTCTTCCAGGCTAGTACTAGTGGTTATGGTAAACGGACCTTGGAGGACCAGGAAGAGCATGTCGAGCCCAAGAGGAGGTGTGATGAGGTGGAAAAGTCGCAAGCTAAGAGTATCGATAAGGGTAAAGTAAGTTTCTTAGCCACCCAAAATGATCCCTTTGAATCTTTAATTCTACTGACCCGTGATGAGCTCGTAAGTCTTGTGAGATATTACGGACATAAAGATCCTCCCCACCCTCTTAGTGTTTAGTTTTTAGATATGTCGTCTATGACGGGTATACGTCATACACTGTACTATGAGTGAAATTGTGCCCGGACAGCGGCTTACTCTTTCTTATATCGAATTCAATTCCAACTGCCATGGGTTCCTTTGTGTGCACAGGATCTTGGGGTTTTTTTTCGTCCCATCTGAAAGATAATACGTTGTTCTTTGCACCACAGGTCAGTGATGCAGGACGGAGAGCCTAACAAGGACAGCTGTCTAGTCGTTCGGATGGGACGAAAAACCGAGGTCCCGTGTACATATTGGCGTGCACATAAAATATCCCTTGGCAGTTGGAATTCGATATAAGAGTAGGGCCGTAGCGCCACTGCCCGGACAAAATTCCCCCCATAGCACACTGTATGGTGTATGCCCGTCTTCATTAGCCCAGGTTAGGAGCAGAACAGTAGGACGTTTAACCCCATTTCATTTCATTTCATTTCATTTCTAGGTCAACACCATAGAGGTATATATTGACTAGAGTGTATTGTGGTCACGTGATCCCCATTGGCGTAACGTTAACGCCGTGGGCCGTCACTGGAGACCGGCCGCCATGTTTCAACCGGGAAAGAATGACAGAAGTCTAAAATGGCTGCCAACCTCCATAGGATCACGTGACCACTATTGTCAACACCGGGATTGAACACGTGACCCCCAAGTTAATGAGCCAACGTCTTACTCAATGATCCACCGTGGACCCTCTACTGCTAGAACATGGCTAGATAATCATACTTAATCCTACAATAAGTCAGTAATAGAATTGGAAAATCCAGAATTCAATCATCTATTTTGCCATTGTAACCAAATTTTAGCCAATGAAATAGCCTTTACCATCCCCGACCTAACCACCACCATTCGCCTTATGTGTTTGAAAATGGACTGAAAGGTTTGGTATGTCGAGTTTGAAAATCGTTCGAGTTTGTAAATAAACCGGGAGGGTTGGTATGTCGGGTTTGTAAATAAACTGAGAAGGGAAAATGGTACAGAAACTCTAGAGAAACTGGTTTCTATTGGCAGAGAAGGATTCGAAAAATGAACAGCATTTTGTGTATCATCTTTTGAAAATAAAGATCTCTTGGTAAAATGAGGTTAACAAATGTTCATATTCTGTTTGTAGGTTTGCCTATTGTCCTGCCAGATAATCAAAAATAAAATAGTCCATGGATTTTAATATTGTTTTATTTCTTTTATACAGGTATTCAATGATCCTATTCACGGCCATATTGAAATTCATCCCCTTTGTATAAAAATTATTGATACACCAGAATTTCAACGTCTACGTTATTTAAAACAACTAGGTGCTTGTTATTATGTCTTCCCTGGTGCATCACATAATAGATTTGAACATTCCATAGGGTATGTTAGAATATATATATTTCCTATAGACTATTAATTGAATGATGTACAAAAAATGAAATGAAGACGGGTATATGTCGTGCATTGTGCTATGAGTGAAACTTTGAATGTCTACATTAGCCCTATCGGCACAGAAAAGTAGGACGTTAAATCCCAATTTGATTCATTGATTTCTTTCATTTTTCCATTTCCAGAGAGAGAGAGAAAGGGGGTTTAACGTCCACTTGACACAAACTAGGTCATTTCGGTACTAACATATGGTTTAATTTTATTTCGATAATTCGCTTGCGCGTAGGGGTTTTAACGGTGGGAGGAAACCGGAGGATCCGGAGAAAACCCACGAGGTTGGACAGGCGACCCTAATCCTTGTCACGTACAATCGGGGATTCGAAACCACCCTATTTGACTCAGAGAGAGAGAGAAATGGGGTTTAACGTTCACTCGACACAAACTATGTCATTTCGGGACTAACATATGGTTTAATTTTATTTCGATGATTCGGGGTTTTAACGGTGGGAGGAAACCGGAGGATCCGGAGAAAACCCACGAGGTTGGACAGGCGACCCTAATCCTTGTCACGTACAATCGGGGATTCGAAACCACACTATTTGACTCAGAGAGAGAGAGAGAGAGAAATGGGTTTAACGTTCACTCGACACAAACTAGGTCATTTCGGGACTAACATATGGTTTGATTTTATTTCGATAATTCGCTTGCGCGTAAGGGTTTTAGCAGTGGGGAGAAACCGGAGGTTCCGGAGAAAACCCACGAGGTTGGACAGACGACCCTAATCCTTGTCACGTACAACCGGGGATTCCAAACCACCCTATTTGACTCAGAGCGAGAGAGAGAAATGGGGTTTAACGTTCACTCGACACAAACTATGTCATTTCGGGACTAACATATGGTTTAATTTTATTTCGAAACCACGCCAGTTGACTCAATGATAGGCCTTATAATACAGCACGCACGTCCTAACCATTCGACCATCCAACCCCCCTATTTGACTCAATGACAGGCCTTATGATACAGCGCGCACGTGCTAACCATTCGGCAACCACTACCAGCCCCCCATTTTCACTTGAGAATAGCTGGGTTTGAATCTGTGCGATATTACTGTAGGCACACAATAAACATAAAATAACTTCATCAGATACGCTGATATCCGACTTTGACGCAAATTTATGTTAAAATTTATACAATTTCTCCCTAGATTAATTTTAAAGAAATTTTCAATATATTCATTTTTCATTATTTATTTATGAAGTAAATATATTATAGCAAGATTGGCTAACTCTGTATCAAAATCATAAACAATACATCTTGAAGCAATAATGTTGTCAGATACAGCTATAGTGTGTATATAATGTAATAATTTTGTCAGATACAGCTATAGCTCCGGTGTAATAACGAGCTCTTTATTTTAGTGTTTGTCATCTTGCTGGTGAGATGGTCTCACGACTTCAAGAACAACAACCAGAGCTTGATATAACTCATGTTGAGGTATTATGTCTGAAAATAGCTGGTCTGTGTCATGATCTGGGTAAGATTTTACATATGTTAGTCTAGAAATAACCTTGTTGGGTTGAGTGATGTATAGTGACTTATCAAACTTCCCACTTTAAAATGCTATTGCATTTCTAATGATTTTAAATTTATCCTGATATTACATGTATACATGTCTTTGTAGTTTAGGAGGGACCTATGGAAGATTAGTTTTTTTTTTGCAAACTAAATACGTTGCCTCATTAAATAAAGTTTTTATTATTATTATTATTATTATCTAATGTTGGGTTAAGTGATGTATATTTAATGTTGGGTTTTTGTTTTCAGGTCATGGTCCATTCTCACATGTATTCGACGGCAAATTTATACCGTTAGTTGTTTCAGAATCTAAATGGAAAGTGAGTAATCTTCTTTAAACACCTCCAGCTATATCTTGTATACCATAGCAACAATTGATGTTTACATACTTCCAGACTATATCCCCCATCGCAACTATCGATGTTTACATACCTCCAGAATTTATCCCCAATAGCAACTATTGATGTTTAAACACCTCCAGACTATATCTCCCTTAGCAACTATAGATGTTTACATACCTCCAGACTATATCTCCCATCGCAACCATTGGTGTTTACATACCTCCAGACTTTATCTCCCATAGCAACTACTGATGTTTACATCATCTCCCATAGCAACTACTGATGTTTAAATACCCCAGATTTTATCTCCCATAACGAATATTGGTATTTTATTGTGGCTATTACCCGTATCAACCTTCATTATTAGTTGTTGATAATGAGATAATATATAACCTCATATAATCACATGCTTTGATAATTACAAGGACAAGGTAAGTAGGGGCTGATACTAGGCCGATTATTGTTATAGTTTGTGTGGATGTGTAAGTCAGATAGCAACCTATTTCCACGGTTTCTAAACTTAAATATATGAAAATTAAGGCCTTCCAGAAAAGCACACAATTATATTTTATTTTTTTATACGCCCACATTGTTATGTAGAAGTACATTGTCGTTGCTCCTGTCCATCCGTTCACATTTTGTTTGTGGGCACTCAGTAGGTCACAATTTTTATGCAATTTATAGGGTTATACGCCAAAGACCCAGGTTCTTTTCAATATTGGCATGTATGGGACCATAAAATCGCCATCTTAGCTTGTTTTCTGTCCATACTGTACCTCAGTTGGCTGTTAGTAGCTGATAGTGTGATGCACTTGGACAGGGTATGTTGTATGCTTAATCTTTCTGGAACACCTGGAACCTGCCACTAGCCATTCTGTGTCAAATCAAGTATTAATGTTTGTATATTTTCCCCCTATATAGCATGAAGAGGCATCAATTCTAATTCAATCAAGTATTTATGTTTGTATATATTTATTCCTCTATATAGCACGAAAAGGCGTCGATTCAAATGTTTGACCATTTGATAGAAAAAAACAATCTGAGGAAAGATTTTCTAGATTATAATTTGACGTCTAAGGAGAGAGAATTTATTAAAGATCTAATTAATGGACCATCGGATGACAAAGATAAAGGTTCAGATAAAGTAAGTTTATTATAATAACATTGTATTAAAAGGTTTAGATAAAGTAAGTTTATTATTATAACATTGTATTAAATGGTTCAGATAAAGTTAGTTTATTATTATAACATTGTATTAAAAGGTTCAGATAAAGAAAGTTTATTATTATAACATTGTATTAAAAGGTTTAGAATATCGGTAGTTATTGGTATTTGACTATTCAATTAATTAAAGATCGTTAAGAGGCATTTAGGAAAAATGACGCGTTTTTGGTGCATTTTTAAATTACAAAAAAACTATAAATCATTCAAGTCAATATAATTATTTGTTTTGTTTGGTGGGGGTGGGCTTATTAGTTGATTTCATTTAATTAAAGTAAGTAAATATTTTATAGAAGACAAATAGATTAATTTCTAGTCGTTAATTCCAGTCACCAAGTTACGTCGTAACTGGTTGTGAACAGTTTGAACGACATTTAGTAATTGAATACACATCAGTCCATGTGAAAGCAGTTACTGTTTGAGATACAATAATTGTTTTTATACGTCCGCATTGAAATGTTGACCGTTCGGAAGACTTAGCTGCAGTTATTTCTTAGAATATTGAGATGTTATAATCAACATATTATACAATGCATATTTTTTTTAACATTGATCATTGTCCCCAATTTGAGATAGTTCCCTAAAACTATGCAATAGCCTTGACCCAATTGGATGTGAAGCATAGGGACAGTGAGAGTATAAGCCCCATTGATTTTCCCCATTCTCTGTCTATCTCTTGCAAAAATGTGGGCGTATCGTGCATGGGAACCGCTTGTTAATAAATGTTTTTATTTATTCCAGAAGAAATATCTGTATGAAGTAAGTTTATAAAAATATAAAAATAACTGTTTATAAAATGTCTGAAATAAGTTTATAAAATATATGTATGGGGTAATTTAAGTATATAAAATATCTGTATGAAGTAAGTTTATAACATATGAAGTAATTTAAATTTATAAAATATCTGTATGAAATAAGCTATAAAATCACTGATATGGGGGAAACCACACTGGAAACTCCCGAGAAACTTTCGCAGCCAACAAAGGGATTAAACTCCCTATCTGAAAACCATTGTGAACTGCTCGGTCAGTTTTGCTGCCATGGGCAGTATGGACAGAAAACAAGCTAAGATGGCGATTTTATGGTCCCATACATGCCAATATTGAAAAGAACCTGGGTCTTTGGCATATAACCCTATAAATTGCATAAAAATAGCCTGGCAACCTATTTTGATTTTATGTTTTAGATTGTGGCTAATAAAAGAAATTCAGTGGACGTAGATAAATTTGATTACTTTGCTCGTGATTCGTACATGCTGGGGATCAAAAACAATTTTGATCATAATCGTTTCATGCGATTTTGTCGTGTCATCGAAGATGAATATGGTGAAAAGCGGATCTGCATCCGTGATAAAGTAAGTTTATAATGTAGGGGTATATTATCATGTCCGACTTCCAGTCACAGTCTCCTGTGAATGCTGTACATACAGGGTATAGTTATCACCCCATTTGCGTTTGCGAACACGAAAGAGAAATGAATTGGGGTGTAATGTACTACTGTTCTGCTCCTATACTGGGCTAATGAAGACGGGCATACACCATACAGTGTGCTATGAAGGAAATTTTGCCCGGGCAGCGGCACTATCGCCTACTCTTATATCGAATTCCAACTGCCAAGCTACCTTTTACGTGCATTCCAGTGTGTACACGGGACCTCGGTTTTTCGTCTCATCCGAAGGACTAGACAGCTGTCCTTGTCAGGCCCTCCGTTCTGCACCACTGACAAGGGGAGACCACGTCGGAAAATCCCGATGAAATTTCTCGGCAAATGCAGGGATCGAACAGCCGACCTCCAGGCTAGCGAGCAAGCGTCTTAACCAACTAGCCACCGTGGCTCCCAAAAAAACCACGAAAGAGACGAAAAATAAAAACTTGGTCTTATTGTTCATTAATGGGGGGTTGGATGGCTGAATGGTTAGCGTGTTAATATAAAGAATGAAGGGGGGCTAAATTTACCTAATGTCAAATTAAAATGTCAAGCTTTATGTTTAAAATGGTTAAAAATATTCTGTGATTCCAACTTCAAGTATATCTGGAAAGATATATTGAATTATTACATATGTAAATATACCGGGTTAACCACTCCTACAGATATATTAAAACTAGATTTAGATAGTAAGCTTTTATCAAATTTACCTGTAATTTACCAATATTTGTTCACTGCCTGGGATGATTTAGATTGTAAAGTTAGACCTGATCCTCTAACTATTGAAGATATATCTATACAGCCAATTTTTAATAATAAATATATCAAGGATAATAATAAAACTTTAGATTTTAAACTGTTTAAAACAGTAGGAATTAAGTGTATTTATGATATTATATATTTTGTACAACCTGGGTTTCTACCCAATCATTCTATAATTGACTATATGGATAATATGGATGTAGATTATGACCGAGATAAGATTATTAATTTGTATGATATTGTAAAATCATCAATTCCTGAAAGATGGAAATCTATTATTGAAACTCAGACTTCTGATCTGAAAAATAAAGATGTTATCACTTTAAATATTAATAATGTGAACATTAATTCAAGTGAACTTACATCCAAATTATGTGATAGTATTTTATTAAAGAATTATGTAAATGAACCTACTTCCTATGAATATTGGGTGAAAAACAATTTTACACTTAATACTAATGTAATATGGAAAAATGTATTTAAGAATTACAAGAATCCTAGAAGTATAGATCTAGACTATAAAATATTACACAACATTATCTGGACAATGGAAAAATTATGTAAAGTTAAGATAAGAGACTCAGATATATGCCCAGTTTGTAAATTAGACATAGAAAACATTATTCATATGTTTGTAGATTGTGATAAACTTGTTAACCTAAAATCACTACTAAGGGAGATAATTCATGATATTTTGAAATTTAGTATTGATGACTGTACTTTTAGATCCTTCTTATTGTTTGGTACTTATCATAACACAATTAAACATTTATTAAACCCTCACTTCTATTTATTTATGAAACAGATGGATCTATAACCTTGGATTTTTGATACCCCCGGGTCTCGAAACACTTTATCGAGACAACCCCTCCAGGGTTATAGTTATTTTCGGGCATATTTATGTTGCCCGGATGGTCTCGAAAACTTTCACCCTTTTAAAACCTTACAACTGTTTGGTTTTAAATTTTCGCTAATCTCTTCGAGACTTTAATGTATAAGCTAACATGTATAAGTCTAGTTTTGTTTCTTTGTTACAACACCATAATCCTTTAAATTAAACCGTAATCTTATATATAGTTCGATATATGGGGATTTTAAACCTAAGTATAATTTTTTAAAAAAAAATAATGTATCAAAGTAATAATGTGAAGAGAAAATTTTATATAATGGATAGAGATAATTAATATTTTTGATGATAACATAAATTATTGACGGTTTCCCCTTGACAGTGGCGCGGGACATGCCTAGTCATTCGGATGGAAAGAGCGGCTGGGGTCCTGTGTGCACCTTGGCATACACGTTTAAAGATTCCTTTGCAGTTGAAACGCATTATAAGAGTAGGCCGACCAGTTCGGAACAGAACAATAGGACGTTAAAGCATATTTCATTTCATTTCCTTTTCCTGAGCTAGTGGGAACAGATCATTGAGAGGTTAAAACCCATTACACTTCTTCCAAATATTAATATAAGAACCTTACTGTTTTACATTTTAAAAAAAAAATCCTAATCATACAAATTTGGTGACTTTAAACTTAAATTGCAAAAGTGTGAGAAAAATAATAATTTACACGAATGATCGTTAATGATCGTTAATAAGATTACGACAGAAGTGTAATTCTAGATTATTAATTGGGAAAGCAAAAAATCCTTTAAAACATATACAGAAATAACAATGGTTGGAAATAATTAATATTTAATATCAAAACATAAATTATCCGGTAGAAAAAAATGAAATATATTATATTATGACAGTATGACCAGTCAGTGTCAACGAGAATATGTGCTTCAAACTTTAATAAAAATCTTAAACATATACTGCATTTTTTGATGACTTTAAGCTAAAATATAATAGTGCCAAAATAGAACTATATTAAGGTAATAATGTGCAGAGAAAATGTTATATACATGTTAAGAATCAAACATTATCAATTCATAATCTCCTTGGAGTGACAATTGTTGAACATTGTTCACATGAAAATAGGCTTCAAACTTAAATGACAAACCTCTATGTCCCAAAATTTACTATATTTAGTGACTAACAAACAAAACAATAAAGATGTAGGTAAGATAGTTGTGTTAAATTATTTATCTTCAGAGAATTCTGCCTTAACAGGTTTACAATAGCCCTTTTCAGTGTTAAATTGTAAGAGCACTGGAAGAACAAGACTTCTATGATGTATAGTGTTAAAATAGAACTGGAAGGTAAAGGCTTGCATACCTGGCACAGTCTACTGGGACACAGCGTCGCGCAGACGGCAGAAATCTAGTCTGCTACTTATTGTGTAAAATCTTATCAGCACGTAAAATAAAAGTGAATCCACTTTTAAATATAAATGATTAGAAAACGATAAAGTAACTAATTTTTGATTTTTAACTATGAATTGTAGTATTCGTATCGACTTAGATTACCCTTACTGAATATCAGATTAGCAACAATAGCTTTAACATCATATGTACATACTATGTAAATTTGTGTAATTATATCTTGATTGAATTTTCAAATTGAATAGCACAACCTTTTAATACATATTTTAATTAACCTAATATAAATATATTTATGAATTAATATATTGATCCATTGAATTATTGATTTATTATTTCATCAATGTGTTAATGTGTCAATGGTTCTGTATTTTGATTCAGAAATTTATTTCTTGTCTTTTCCTTTTTCTTGTTTTTAAAAATAAATAAATAAAATCAAATAAACAAAAATAATGCTTTTAATTAACTAAGAATGTTTTGTGCTGTTCCATGATTAAAATGTATGTACAGTGTATTATGATTATATATTTATTGAATAAACATATTTACAAGAAAAAAAAAAGCGTGCGCGCGCTGTATCACAAAGTCTGTCATTGAGTCGACTGGCGTGGTTTCGAATCCCCGGCTGTACGTGGCAAGAAGTAGGGTCGCCTGTCCAAACTCGTGGGTTTTCTCCGGGTCCTCCGGTTTCCTCCCACTGCTAAAGACCCCTACGCTCAAGCGAATTATGTAAATAAAATTAAACCATATGTTAGTCCCGAAATGACCTAGTTTGTGTCGAGTGGACGTTAAACCCCATTTCTCTCTCGCTCTCTCTTATATAATGCATCTTTAAGTAAATATTTTCATCTGAGCATATAATAGAACGCCTGTTAAATCTGAAAATTTAAGTTATTACCACGTTTTATTTACTTTATGACTTCTCAAATATTTCTCTTGTGAACGCGTTTTTATCCTATTTTTATAAAACTAAAAACATATGTTTATATCCCAATGATCCGTGCATATTGGACCGTATCTTTATTGATTATGGCCCCTGATTATACGAAAATCACTTGCAAAATAGGGCGTATCTTGCATGACAACCGCTTGTTTAAATGGTTTTAAGATCTGTAGTTTACTGGGAAAATGATTAATTATTATGTACAAATTGTAACACGGATTGAAGTATCTTTAAAATGGTTTTAAAATTTGGATTATATCCCGAATTTATTTTTTTTTATTTTATGACAGGAGGCAGAGAATTTATATGAAATGTTTCATACACGTAAAACTCTACACAGTCGAGCTTATCAGCATGTTGTTACACAGGCTGTAGAAAGTATGTAAGTACAATTTTTACAAATAGATCAATTTTACTTAAGCTTGATACCAGTATTGCAAAATGTGAATTAATATAGGGTTCCCTAAAGGTTACCTGAAGAACTCCAGCAAATTCGAAAAAAAGATTTTGTTGAGGGAGGTAGCATTATTTTGGATTTTGGTAAGTTTACTCTGTTTATGACGACATCAAATGTTGGTGTATAAAGTCCTTAACAATGTAATCGCAGTAAAATGGTTGTATGTTTTGTTTTTGTCGACCATGTGATAAAAAACCCCACTCACCATCGTTCTTCAAACAAGCTGCGGTGGAAGCAAATTTACAGATCAACCTACAGTTAACCCTATTTCATTTCATTTCATTTCTATGGTGACAACAGTCTGTGTTTTTCTATTTAAACTGTTGTTATGGTGATAATAATCTGTTGTTATGGTGATAATGATCTGTTGTTATGGCGATAATAATCTGTTGTTATGGTGATAATGATCTGTTGTTATGGTGATAATGATCTGTTGTTATGGTGATAATGATCTGTTGTTTTGGTGATAATAATCTGTTGTTATGGTAATAATAATTTGTTGGGTTTTTTTCTATTTCAACTAGGATTGTAGATGCATTGATAATAGCTGATAAATGTAAAACCTTTACATTTCTCGATACAAATGAGTAAGTATATTTATATTTCTGTAAAGATAAATTGTATAAATTTGTCGGTGAAAATAAGTAAGTATATGCATTATGTAAGATTTAAATAGTTTATACTTGCTATGATAGTTTACAATTAGATAATGGTAAATGAATATATTGAAAATTTCATTCAAATTACTTCATTATGAACAAAGTTATGAGTATTGATAGGAATAGCGTAGTCGTGGTTGTCATTGCTACGATAATAAACGAAGTCTCGATTAATGCGTTAACTGATTAAATGGTGTATGTGTTCTAATTCAATTAATATTACAGTCATCCAATGAACTAGAGAGTTATTCGAAGACCTAGTTGATGATGGGCTTGTCATTTAAATGGGGGGGGGGGGGGTATCTAGTGACAAGGAGTAGATCGCCTGTTCAACCTCGCGGGATTTCCCCGCGTCCTCCGCTAGGCACAAACGGATCATTGAAATAAAATTGAACCATATGTAAGTCCTGAAATGGCATAGGTTTTGTCGAGTGGACGTTCAATCAGGGGCCATAATCCAACACGTTACAGTCCGATACACGCGAATATTGACAGGAACCGAGATCTTTGGATTGGTTTAAAACAGTATTTATTTCGAGAAAAATATACAATATAAAAGCATAAAGAATGGGATACAGAAACAAGCCAAGTAGGCTTATATTAATTTGCTTCCACAAGTTAAAAATGTGATTTTCCGTACAATCAGTTGCCATAATCCAGGAAGTCAAGTTTTGATACATGCCAAAATCTCTCTCTCTCTATCTCTCTCTTTCGCTCTCTCTCTCTCTCCATTCTATTAAAATTATTCATTAAAAGAAGGATGCACATTCTTCATGGTCTAAAATTTTTTTCAGTCCACCACGACAATTGCATGAATGTATAGATGAAGACGCTATCGTGGCGTATAAGAAACTGGATGATACAATCTTTCAGCGAATAATGTGGTCGACAGAACCAGAGTTACAAGGTGCCAGAGATCTGATTGATAGAATCCAGAAACGTCAGTTATACAAATGTGTTGGCGCGGCGCAGCGTCCCGAACATCTAGATAAGGTGAAACGTTTAAAAGAACTGTTGTATCAGATTACTAGAGGCTACACATCATTCAAATCAATATTATAATGTTTTGTTTACTTTTGTAGATTTCTCCTTGATTTAATAATAGTAAACAACCACAAAACAACAACAATCAAGTTCTGTTATGCCATACAAAAATGGATATGACTTCTCATAAACACCACGTTTTAATGCACTACATTTATCTTATTATATTTAATGTGGACGTATATTGTCCGGCCGTTAACATTTTATTTGTGGACAGACTACAGGCCATTTTGATGAAACTTTTCTTCGATATTAGAATGTATAGGACTGGAACGTCATGAAATATGTCCACCGATTCTACGACAAATCACGTTTTTAACTTGAGGTCCGTCTAGAGGTCAGAATTTTTGATGAAACTTGAAACTATAGGTTTATATTTCAAAAACATGGTTCCTTTCGATTTTGCCATGATGGATTATGGCCCATGGTTGTACGAAAAATCATGCCTTAAGGTCAGGGAGATTAGATAAAGAGCTGGCAGTTCTCTTTATAATAGTTAAAAAACAGATAATTTGCTGAAAATTTCAGTCAAATTTATCCACTCGGAACCAAGATTTTAGCGATTGAATATTGGAGCTAGCCTCGGTCATCATTACTGAAGTCTGTCAGATAAAAAACATAGTCTCGATTATCCATTTTTTATTTAATTATGAATGGAAGTCGAACAGCAAATCGGAACCTAATCCAATAAACATCACAGGCTAGCGATGCCATCGAGAGCTGATTATGGTGTAGATAAGTTAATTAATGTCTAATTAATAATTTAGATAACATTTCACGCCTAAAAAAAGATCTGCAATAGACAGATTTAGCTCTTGCATAATGTATGTTTAAAGGAGCTAAGTCGCTAATATTTGGGACCTAGATATTAACACAAATGGGTCACAACGCATATAATAATGTAATATGAATGTATATAAACTAATTTACATTCAATCGTTACCGTTTTTACTCTAATTTCAAATCAGTTATATGCGGCGAAATACACCAGAAGTCTCAACCGAACGGCAGTCTCTAGCGTCTAGTTATTGCAGTCTACACCGATAATATTTATTGGGCATGCTCTCCAGATAAGAATATGACGTCATCGTTTGACATGACTTGTGGAATATCTCTAGTCTCGTTCTTCGAGCCCCTTGTTACAAATGGCACCGAAACGCATTATGGTACACGATTCGCGTACCAATGCTAAACTGTTTATTTTGTCTTAAATATTGGATATCAGAAGCCCATCATTTCCCGGTAAGATCAAAACACCAATGTTGATTTAAATTGACAAAAAAATCGTCTTTTCAGTGTCGAAGATTTTGGATGATATTGAGTTAGATACTTTTAGTGGGGCAAGACTGAGAAACAGAAAATTGGTTTATTTGGCCTTAGTTTTAATTCACATCGAATAATAATCTCTACAAAATCAGTTTAAATAACCTTGATAAACAAAACTATTCTAATATTTGTTTGATCATTACAACTAACAATTTTATTTGACAGGAAAAGGAGAAGGAAGTGCCAAAAGAAATCGCTAAATTCGCTAAATTAGAACCTGAATGTCTCAAATTGTCGGTTAGTTTATTTATAGTTTTATCAATTTAATTATGTGTTGAAATATTTTTAAAAGTTATTCCTGAAGATGCTGTGCGTGCCCATATCACAGTACTAGCCATTTATCTTTATTTCAAATTAATAGCTTTGTAATAATGTCATTCGAATACTTACTGTCTGAACCGTGGTAAATTTGAAACGGATTTCTTCGATTGTGAACAAACTACTAAATAATTGTTATTAAAAACTTGCCTATGTGTTTGAAATCACCCCCGGTTGAATAACATCCAATGTACAATTCAATATCCCAACGGCAAAAGAAGTTCTCTCTTGAAAAGTGAATGTTTTTGCTTGTATTTTCGGCTGTGTTCATTACAACATTGTACATGTCACGTGATGAGCTAAGCATTCTTAATATGTTGAAGGGGGCAATGGTTGACAAATTTTGACAATCACGTGTGTTGCAATCACAACAACGCGCGACCTTTCCGATCGTTTGAGTTTGGGCAACAAAATAGCAACTGAAGACAATAACATTAATTTGGAAACAATTGATTGCCAGTGTACTAAATTTTATTCACAATGAATATGTCACCGATTACACGAATATTCGTAAATATAGTATTGCTTTTCACATCATCATCACTCTAGATTTGTAAATACCCTGTATATTATATATATTTTAATAATTTATATTAGGCCCTACACCCCTGTCAATTATAGTCAACTTTGTGGCTAACATTTACAGTTCGGGATGTCTAAACATCGTTTATCGTCTTTATTAAAATGTATTTAAAACATGAAATAACTCTTCAAAAGAGAAACACAATAACGGACTACGGGCGTGTTTATGTTTGTAAACGCTCAAACTCATTACTGGGTTCGAGAGAAATAGCTTATTCATAGTGTGTTCATAATCGAAGAAATCCGTTTAAAACTTACGACGGTTCAGAAAGTAAGTATTCATTTGAGGCGCTTTCCAAACATTCTGGCATGATGTGAAGTGACTTGCTGTTTTGAATCTCCCTCGAATGGGAGGGTGGATGGCCGAATGGTAAACACGTACGTGCTGTATCAAACGGCCTGTCATTGAGTCAACTGGCGGGGTTTCGAATCCCCGGTTGTACGTGACAATAAGTAGGGTCGCCTGTCCAACCTCGTGGGTTTTCTCCGGGTCCTCCCACTGCTAAAGACCCCTACGCGCAAGCGAATTATAGAAATAAAAAAAATTGAACTATGTGTAAGTCACGAAATGCTGATGGAATGCTGTAAGAATCTATAGAATACAGTCAGGGTGCATTTAGAATAAAATTCGAATGTCGTTCGATATTTTTATCCTTCGAATGCATCTCGAATATGGCGATCATGCGCAAAACAAGCAGTCAGAATATTTACAATACACTTCGAATATCAAGGAATATACAAAGACTTTTCATTCCGACGGCATTCCGCCTCTGGTGTACAAAGTTGATAATGAGTAAGAAATATTACATAAACCGTTATGATCAAAATGTGTGGCCGGTATGACCAAATTGTACAAAGAATAAGAATGTGACAACCTGTGTGACCTCTCTGACGACTTAGCTGTATTACCTGACAACCAATCATACTGATACAATTTAAATATATCGTTCATTATTTCAGCGTGTTCATTATGACTATGGTATGAAAAGTCAAGATCCAGTTAGCCATACCCGATTTTACTCGAAAGACAAACCTAATGTATGTTTAGAACTCTGCCCAGAACAGGTGGGATTTTACGATTGTTTACAATTTAATGTTGATTTATTTTCTGTGTATATATTATATAACTTTTGTATAAGGGGCTAAAATGTCATTTTGCATCAGGGGCGAGACGTGTCTACACCAGGGCTATAAGCAGGCCTGTAGCCAGGGGGATGGGGCAGTGGGGGGGGGGGGCAATGCAACCCTGAAAAAATGTTTTGCCCCCCCCCCCCCATCCCCCCGGAAAAAAAGTTGTCGACCATAGCTCTAAAATACCTACTGTAGACTGTGCCCCCCTAAAACCTTCACAATCTATGGAGTTGTATTCGGGTCCACGTTATGAATGAATGAATGAATGAATGAAATGTGTTTTTATGGCACGTCAGCTCCAATTCGGCTGTATTGCGCCAAACATATGGTGAATATTACGAGACAGGCTATATTATATCACAGAAAAACATTATATACATAAATAAAAACAATATCACAGTTAGTAAAATTAAAAATAAAATACAACTTTAATGCATATAAATATTTAATCCCAAAATGAAATGATATTTATATATACAATTTAAATTTATGATAAAATCCTGTCTCTTTTAAAAAGCCTAATACTTTACCATATAAACCCGGTTGGGCAAACATGTGATGTAATGACTGACAACGGTAAAAATTCGATCTAATATCCTTGAAATGCGTGCACTCAATCAAAATGTGCTTAACTGTCAAGGGAACATGAATCTGGTTGAGGTTCTCGATTTAAAATGAAAATATGAGTTAAAAAAGACCAATGCGAGAAAGTGCATTATGAAAATAAAAATTGCACCATATGTTAGTCCCAAAACGAACCGGTTTCTTTCGAGAGGACATTAAACCCCATTTCTTTCTCATCAAATTTGTCAAAGTGGATTCAATAGAAGTCACGATGACACACTAACCAGGAGGTCCCAGACTCGATCCTGGTGTTCACTGAAAACGTTTCTTGAGATTTTCAGTGTAGTTTCCCCTTGTTATTGGTGGCGGACAGGGGTGACTGGCAAGGACAGTGTCGAATTGCTTGGATGCAACGAACAACCGAGGTCCAGTCTAAACATTGGCGTGCACATAAAAGAACCCTGAAATTTGGCATTCGATAAAGAGTAATCGGAAACGCTTTCCCGTCAAAAGTCAAAACCTAGTAACTCACTTTAGGACCAAATTTGTAGTTACTAGGGTTACTAGATATTCCAATCTTTTGATTTTGTAAGCAGTTAAACCCATGACACAACCTAGCAACTTCCTTCATTTGCCTAGTATGCCACAGAAAAACTTAGTAACTCAATAGTCAAATCAATGGATAAGCTGGGGTTTAATATTCATTCATTACGTTTTCCTTTGTTTTCTCAAAATAAGAAAAATGTCAGTTACTAGGTGTTTCCTTTTGACGGGAGCGCTGCTGTCCAACAAATATTCACTTCCAGCACACCACATGCCGTATTTGGGTCTTCATTTGCCCACTTGGCGCAAACGAGTAGATCTTGAAACCCCATTTTATTTTTTATTTTTTTCATTTCTTTCCAGGGCCCCCAGATGCTTCCAAAGCATTTTCAAGTAGATATGATTCGTATCTTCTGCACGGATAGTAGACCAAAAATCATAGAGGCGGCCAAATCAGCTTTTGAACAATGGTGTGATGACAAAGGCGTGAAGCCTGAGGTAGTTGTTTATTGTATTGTATTGATGTTGCTATCTGGGCAAAATTCTCTGGATGGACGAATCATTAAATCAAATCTGCAAGATTCGGATAAACTCAGTTTCACAGAATTTACACGAAGAAAAACGATCCTTTATTCTGGAATTGTTTGTATGTGAGTAAACCGCGTTGGTCCAATGAGTAAGGCACAGACTCACTAAATAGAATGTTCCCGGGGTTCTATCCCGGTGTTAGGCAAGAAACTTTCTCCGGAAGGTGCGGCCTTGCTTTCAATTTGTTTGTGGTACAAGAAGATATAATCTGTATTTTGTGTAACAAATTAAAATTTACTTTATTTTTCAGGGTATCAGAGGGGGATTCAGATTCCAGGAAGTTACCCAAAAGGTATTCATAAAAATAAATTTTTCACATCTTATAAAAACAAAATGTTCACATAACAATTTGCACATTGTATAATAACAACTTTTACATTGTATAATAATTTTTACATTGTATAATAACAATTTTCACATTGTATAATAACAATGTTCACATTGTATAATACCAAAAAGGTATTATCATATCAATTTAAAATGTTTTACTTTATTTTATAATAACAAATTTTTCACATCTTATAAAAACAAAATGTTCACATAACAACATGTTCACATTGTATAGTAACAATGTTCACATTGTATAGTAACAATGTTCACATTGTATAAAAACAATGTTCACATTGTATGAAAACAATGTTCACATTGTATGAAAACAATGTTCACATGGTATGAAAACAATGTTCACATTGTATAATAATAATTTTCGCCTTGTATAATAACAAATTTACTTTTTAATATCAAATTTGATGATCATGTTAGAATAATAATTTTCTTCTTCATAGCAAATTTTTACAATTTTCCATAAAAACAATTTTTCGCATCATTTTGTAATAGCAAAAATTATTAGCTACTTGTGTGTGATCTACACAAGTTAATAAGAAGCGGAATCGGGTGTTCTGGAGAGGGTACAAGAACCAAGACTCCTGTATGTAAATTCACCTTAATGAAAAATGAAATCAGATTGAACTTCCTTTTCTGTGCCAATCGGTCTAAAGAAGACCCCTGTATATAAATGCTCCTAAATGAAAAGATAGTTTGCAGGCAGTGAAACATAGGCACACGACAGTCAAATCGTCCGCATGGTCGACACCGGTTGTCGCATATTTATTCTTGTGTAGGTAAGACAATTTCGTACAGATCACTTTGGGCGTTCACAATGTCTGCAACCCGAAAGAAGGGCCTCATCTCTGGAAATAATTTACAGAAATTATTGAAATTCAACAGATCACATGATAACCCTTGTCATTAGTGACACACGGGCCATAACTCTAGAACAAATTAACTGATATTGCTGAAATTGAATTGATGCATATAAATTTCATTCAGATTGGTTAAAAAAAACTTTTGTCGTTAGAGCGTTTACAAGGTGCAACACAGTGAAACAAGAGCGATAACTCAAGAAGAAATTAACGGAAATTATTGAAATTAAATAAGCTTCTTCATCTCACTTGTGTAAACAACATATATAACAATATTCAAAACAATCAGATGATAAATGTAGAATGTTCACAAGGAATTGTGGACAACGGACGTACTTACGTACGTGCAGACGGACGGGGCCACGACAATAAAATGGGGCTTAACGTTCTACCTTTCTGTGCCAGTCGGTCTAATGAAGACAGACATTTGCCTAGTTCCTTTAGGAACTGTCCCTGAGCGGACGATGTCCACTGACAGTTCCTATCGAGCCTTATATACATAGGCGTACGAGCTGGGGGGCTGGGGGGGGGGCGGCCGCCCCCCCCCCCCCATTTTGGGCACCAAATGCTGGGAAAATTTGGGCACACAATTGTACTTTGTAAAAGTTGTATAAAAAAAGATATTGTGTTCTTGAATGTGTCCAATTTAATAGCGAATTTATTATTATTATGTAACATACTAAGAACCTAACTACATTTTTTGGGCACCAACTACCACCGCCCCCAGTCAAAAATTTCCCCGTACGCCTATGCTTATATAGCTGCAATATGAAAATACCGCTCTTCCCTTCCTCTGTTCTAAGGCTATTTTGGAATCCTTACCTACTATTTTTCACCTTTATTCTAATTTATTCGCCAAAGGAATCATTTCTTGCCACAGCCGACACACATTTATAATGATTCAACACTATTTTCAAGTAGAATTCTGCGATTAAAAACATACACAAAATACGTTTGATCTGACGGCCGATCTGACGGCCATTACGAGACCCGGACATGCGCAAACCGCATGTTTATTTCATCGCTAAATTTTACTTGAAAATTGTGTTGAATAATTAAAAATTTGTGTCAAATATATTGATAAATGATTCCTTTTGGTGGAAAATAAAGAATCACGGTGAAAAATAGAAGGTTAGTGTTCTAAAACAGCCTGAGAACACAGGTGGGGAAAAGCGGTATTTTACCGTATTTTTATATTGCAGCTATATAAGGCTCGACAGGAACTGTCAGTGGACATCGTCCGCTCAGAGACAGTTCCTAAAGGAACTAGCATTTGCCATGCAGTGTGCTATGAGGGTAATTGTGCCTTGGCAGTGGAGTTTTCGCCTACTCCTCATCACATTTCAACACTTCATTGAATGTCAACTGTCCGGGGTTCTTTTATATGCTCGTCAATTATCCCTAAATGACTAGACATTGCTCCATGTTAGACCCTGTGTCCTGTACCTCTAGCAAAGGAAACCTAACAAGGATCCATAATATATCATATATCAATTTATTTTACAATAATAGATGAACATTTTCTTGTTTTTGGTTTAGACCCTCACAGAGAGATCCAGCACAGAATAAAGATGACAGATTTAAAGAAAAAGATGATATGGACTTGAGACATTTTTGTGTGTGTGTTTTTTTAATTTATTTCTTTTAAATTATTTGCTTGAGAATTTAAAATCTATTTATTGTTTTACAGTTTTAGTATATATTTTGTGTGTGTGTGGTTTTTTTTAATCATATCTTGTATTTTTTAATTTATTTCTTTTAAGTTATTTGCTTGAGATTTTACAATCTATTTATTGTTTTACAGTTTTAGTATATATTTAGTTTTAGTATATATTTATTATATTACAGTTTAATAAGTAAGTTTACCCTCAAAGTTCATTGCTAAAATCTCGGTTCAGAGTAGATCAATTTGACTAAAATTTTCAGCAAATTGCCTTTACATTATCTAGTTTTTAACTATTATAATGTGAACTGCCAGCGCTTCCATAATGTATACTTTAATGGCAAGGAACACATTAAGGGGGCACATCTGTGGACAATTTACAACTGTACAAGACTGCACGGTACACAATTATCAAGAATGAATGATCTATAGTGTCAGTAGTGTGGACAATTCATTTGCTCATGATAGTTGAGAATATGAAATGAAATGGGGTTTAACGTCCTAGTGTTTTGCTCCGACTGGGCTAATGAAGACGGTGTGATAGTTAATAACAGGGATGCTATTTCAAAATTTTGCACGTCGGACATTTTTGGTTGGAGTTAACCGAGCCCAGAATTACATCACCAGAATTCGTCGTCCGCTTCAGGAAATAAGATCAATAGGCTCCCATTCACTTTAGTGGAATTCAAATAGACATAATCATTTATTATGTTGTGTAGCAATTAGGGTTCTGAATAATGTTGATGAATAGTTCACAATATTATGTGGTTCTCTCTATTTTTCATATTTAATTACCGTGCCGGCTTCAGTACCTGCCTTCGTTTGTACAATAGAAAACGAAATCGAAATGTTCGTGATAAGAATAGTTCATGATATCTAAACATATTTTTTTTATTTATAAAATGGTATTTATAAATTAATTACCCATATAAAGGCATAGCCCACTTCCGATTATTATGTAAATTGTTGGCCTACGTCACCATTTACACATATTTTCTTAGTAAGCAATACCTTATATGGTAAGCGATGATTTCTGTGCGACACATTTATGGCAAGGTTTGGCGGAATTTGTCTCGAATTATTCACCATAAGAGTTCCACATGATATTGAACTTATAAAAATAAATGCATTCGACACGATTTTCGACTTAGAATAATTTTGATAGAGTGTTTTGGTCTGTGGTTCCTATTTATTTAAAAAGTTTCTTCTCAGACCCCCTATATGCCTGTGTGGTATCACATTACACAAGATTTTCTCAGAATGTTTTAGGTACGTGGTGTTTTTACCGAAAATAAGTTAAAGGTGTTTATTAATAGCTATTAAAATACAGATGTGACGTCATCCTTTGATGTTAGCGTATCATTATTTCAAATAATGGTACGGCAATGTGCCAAGCGTACATTCTTTAAACTAGGTAAAATTTTTGACCCGTGTGACGTATTTCAGTGCAAAGTCCATGCGAGTGTCTGTATTTTAAGTCGTTTAATGGTCTCGAGCTTAAGACATTGCGTAATATATTGAAACAACAACTCGTGACTACGTCACTCGCGTTGTTTCGAACGGAATATTTTGACAATAAGACAGAAATAGTATGTTTCTCATCAAGGTTTTAAGAACGTCGGCATTTATCCATCAAATTGTACTGTTCGGATCGGTGATGTGCTTGGTACTCCATTTAACTGTCGGGAACCACTGTGTAATGATGGATTCCACTCGAACAATGGGCACCCATATCACCAGCTTATGTAAGGCAACGTCGCACAAGCCTGATATTTCTCAGATGACAGAAATATTAGTTGCTTGTTGAAGTTTGATTGTATAATCTTTTAATAATAATTGTCAATAAATCTATTAATAATAGGGGGATTGCATGGCTGAATGGTTAGCATGTGCGCGTTGTATCATAAAGTCTGTCATTGAGTCAACTGGCGTGGTTTTGAATCCACGGTTGTACGTGACAAGGAGTATGATCGCCTGTCCAATCTCGTGGGTTTTCTCCGGGTCCTCCGGTTTCCTCCCACTGCTAAAAACCCCTGCGCGCAAGCGAATTATTGAAATAAAATTGAACCATATGTTAGTCCCGAAATGACCTTGTTTGTGTCGAGTGGACGTTAAACCCCCCTCTCTCTCTCTTTCTCTCTCTCTTCTCTCTCTCTCTCTCTCTTTTGATAATATTGTCTCTAAATCTTTTAATATTCTGTATCCTGGAATTCACGTTTTCTTGAATGTTTTATAAATTTGTGTTTGTTCTATTTCATGATAAATAAAATAGCCTTCTCATGCTTTAATTGTATTTGTTTTCTTTCGTTAAGACCAGCATGGAAAGAAAATTGGTTCAGCGTCGGTCAAGACATTGCAGATCTGTGTCAAATCTGGACATAAGCGTCCCAAACTTGGTAAGACACAAATTGTCACACAACATATATATTCTAATATAACCGTTGTGCGATAATTTTTGTCCGGCAAAGTCTGTGACAGTTGCTTAATGGTAATTACCAGACCTGTATATATACGTTGTGTGATCATTTGTACCGGGCAAAGTCTGTGACCGGTGCCTAATGGCCAAGTTTGTTCTGGGAGGAATACACCGGGTATATCCGTTTAGGGTTTTCTTGTACATTGATTAGGCAAATGTCAGCCATCTTGGATTTTACCAGATTTTAACACTTTAAGGGACCAGTTATCAACACAGAATATATCTTCAAATGAAAGAATGACCCAAGAAAAATTAAATTACATATTACACTTAACGGATCTTTAAAGATATATTATGGGAGATTTTAATAGAGAGTTGGCCGTTCTTGCTATAACTGTTCAACTCTCTCTTCACCGTCTCCGACAATGGCCAATCGTTTGATTGACAGGCGCACTCGGCAAACCTCGGCAGATTCCGGTATCCTACATCTAGCCGCGGCTGTGTGACAGTAAGTGATTTGTACCTACGCCTATACATTTGCGATGCGGCACCGGTTTACTTATAAGCGAAACTTGCCCGCGTTTAGAAAGAAGTTCTCAAAATTGCGTCGTTCGAAGAGTGTGTAGAATTTTCAGTGCAAATTGGTCGTTATGGACAACGCCATTGTAATCCGGGAACTTGAAAGTAGTTCTAATGGCGGACTGTCTTATACAGCCGAGATTAGATGTAGGGTACTGGAATCTGTTGAGGTTTGCCGAGTGTGACAGGCGTTAACTCCACCTACATAATCTCGATTATCAAGTAACGTTTCCAATGGCTGTGGTACCGTTAGCCCAGCCGGTTTGAGACGGGGTTGCAATTCTTTATTTTTACTACGACTTTTAATATATAGATAAGAAGTGAAAGTTTGAAAGGAATGGACCAAATCAATGAGGCATAATTATAGCCGACTTCTTGTTAGCCTGCGTGTACTCTTGTATTGTAACTGGTGGTAGGCCTACGTAACTCCCGAAGCAGACAAATAGGAAAAAGTGATCCAATGGGGCTGCAATTCAACTGGGGTGATGTTAGCTGCGATGTTTATCAATTTCCATAATTCTTCTGTAAACGCAAGCGACAAAAGGGCGTAGGCTATAATACCGACATCCAAACTCTCATTTTAACCACAACTAAACATAAAATCAAATTGACTGACATGCGGCCTCGCCCAATGGCGGCCTCGCTTCGTACACTCTTATCATTTAGCTTCGACCAAAAGTTTCTGGGAGTATGGCGTCAACGTAACGGTTAATCACCGCTTACGACGCCATTTAAAAATTTAATCAATCAATGAAATCCTGTTTAAATCCAAGCCGAATCTAAGCCATCCGTGGGTCTACAGAGTTGATTTTGTGCTTGTTGTGTAAATAAAGATCTAATTTATAATTTCTATGACATCTGAAGCCTAAATAAAGATTTGCAATAGTCAGATTTAGCTCTTGCATAATGTATGTTTAAATAAAACATTTAAGATTTTCTTGTACTATTTAAGCCCGTGAGTTAAGAAACTCTAAAGTTGTCCAATGGTTTTGTAACCGAAATCCCACTCTATGCCGACCTGAATTCCAACCATCCAATCAGACTGTTGCAGCCGCATTCACAAATAATAATCGATGCCCGTAAATTGTCGCACAAAGTAGAGTGGCTCCAGACAAAATGTGTTAATCCATAGTCAATTCATTACAAATTTGTGGTATTCAATTTAAAAAAGTAAAATAGTGTTTTATTAGATTTCGGGTACTTTATTGTGCCAACTAATATTTGTTTTTCACTTTACCTGTCTGACCGAAAAGTCAGATTGCCTGAAAGTTAGGGGGAGCTGCCGCCCCCCCCCCCCATGCTCGTACGCCTATGATTATACTGTTTCATCACGTGCCCGGATCTAAGGCAAACGAAACATTTACCTTTCTTACGAAGGATTGTTCTACGCTTTGAAATGTAAACTACAACAGTACAATCTGCAGATGCATGTTGCTTTCTACAGAACACACAATATGGAACTCTATGACTGTCTCGTAGACTACTGGAGTACAAGACTAAAACGGTACTAGGTTTTGATTTAGGCCTTAACCCAAACCTCTTGTTAAAACTTGAACTAAAAACAGGAGCAGATTTAGTTGTCATTAAGTCTATTCTCTCGCCTCTAACTCACTCTTAAAAGTTGATAATAAATCATTAATCTCTCATTCTTCTTGACTGGATTTTCTGCTTATAATTAATCTTAAATCTTCCGGAATCTTGTTCAAAATTATAGGAATCAATACTGTGCCATACATTTCTGAACTGATACCCAAAGACTTCAAGCTTCTTGTGTACTTCTATAGAATCATATAAAGTTCTAAGTTTTCTTAAATCATGAATATTCGCGGCTGTATGTAAATTCAAGATAGCGTCTATATTATCTAGAAATTACTATCTCTTTATTGGCAAAACGATCGGACAAAATATTTACAGCTTTATCATAATTATCACCGGTAATAGTAGACCGGAGGCTCAGCGCGGGGGGGGGGGGGGGGGTCCATCAAATGGGCACAAAACCAGACCAAACTTTTCTAGAGTGAACTTTTGCGTAAAAGTAAAATTTCGGTGCTAAGACCACCTAAAGATAAATTTTAAATGTTCCTATTATTAATAAGAACAGGATTCGCTTTAGTTTTTATATTTTACGTTGACATTTTATTGCTTTAAATCTTCCTAGTGCAAAAACGGTAAATTTCAACTTTTGACCTCCAGGGTCACTAAGACCAAAGGTGAATTTAGCAAGTTTACATTTTTATTGAAAGTGTGATTACTTCCGATCATTTTCACCTTCTTTTCATAATACAAGAACGACTGCGCATTCACTTTCAGTGCAAATGAACTCATTTGAGCTTTGACCCCGAATATCTCGAAAACGCCCCAACGGCGGACTGATTACCACTCGGCATCGTATTCTACGCAAAATTTTACTCTAGAAAACTTGGGTCTGGTTTTGTGCCCATTTGATGGACACCCCCCCCCCCCCCCCGCGATGAGCCTCCAGACTATAGTGCCATGTTGGCTACACAGTTCCACTCAACAGGCTTCGTAAATAATCAAACTAATCCATCCAAGATAACTGCATTCAAACTTGTCAAAGTAGTTTTCTTTTCTTTTCATATATTTTATGACTCTGGGCCATTTCCGGTGCTCATTGTAAAACCGAGGTAAAAAGCACGGCAGTGTAACACTTGAAAAAACGTGGTTAGGAGACAAAATCGAAGAGCGAGACAAGATACTTACTTGTAAAGTGAAGTTATCTCCCTTTATTCACGAGGACTTCATTTTTATGTCTTAAAGGGACAATAACACTCTTGCTGGCTTGACAGCTCCAGAAAATAAATAATAACCTTATTCTAAGTACTAGATGTGTAAGTATCCTACCTGTTGTGTAAATTATCCATTACATCCTATTTTACTTGTCCAAAGGGTTAAAAAAATATTTTTAAATCCAAGTCACATTTGAAAAGATTTACGTCAGGCTTTTCAAATCATTTTTTTAAATTAGGTGTGTTAAGATAAAATTTGTATCATCAATTAGTTGGATTATTGTAAAATAGTACAATTTGTTGACCAGAATAAAGATTGGGACATATTATTCAGTTACAACAAGAGTGGTATTGGGTCTTTAAGCGGTGAACACACTAGCCGAATGATTCGGTCGAATCGTTCGGCCGAATCAATCGGCGTCGAAATTCGCCCGAATCAAACAGGTTTGATCGGCCGAATTATATTCGCCTGGCGTGTCCGCTTCGCCGAAATTCGGCCGAATATAGAATTCATTAGCCAATCACCACTCATATCGAGAAGTCACGTGATAGATTGAAGACGTATAGACGCCGCCATGTTTAATCATGTGACAGGTGACGCAATCGACAGGTTGAATCGGGCGAAGCATTCGGCTAGTGTGTCCACCCATTCGGCCGAATAAAATTCGGCGCCGAACGATTCGGCTAATGTGTTCATTGCTTTTCTGATAGATTATTTTCTTAACATGGCCGTTGATTGTCTGAAAAATCCCTTGCTTTGTTTTAGCTCTGTCCATCTCATGCAAAATGTGGGCGTAAATTGCTTGGCAAATTGTTTAGAATATCAACAGTAAATACAAACCTTCCTCCCGCATCGGATTTTTTGAAGTTTTGTCTAAGAACCTCACTATTTGTATGCGTAGGTACGTCCACCCATATGTACGTCCGTCCGTCCGTCGTCTACAATTTTATGTGAACACTCTTCAAACTGCATTTATATGTTTACATTAGTGTGTGTGTGTGTGTGGGGGGGTGGATGGCCGAATGGTTAGCATGCGCGCGCTGTATCATACAGTCTGTCATTGAGTCAACTGGAGGGGTTTCGATTCCCCGGTTGTACGTGACAAGGAGTAGGGTCGCCTGTCCAACCTCGTGGGTTTTCTCCGGGTCCTCCGGTTTCCTCCCACTGCTAAAGACCCCTACGCGCAAGCGAATAATTGAAATAAAATTGAACCGTGTGTTAGTCCCGAAATGACCTAGTTTGTGTCGGGTGGACGTTAAACCCCATTTCTCTCTCTCACTCTTACATTAGTGAGATGGAGAGGCATATTTAATTTCAACAACTCCCGTTAATTACTTCTAGAGCTATGGGCCATGTTTCACTTTGGTGAACCTTGTGACCACTCTTAACGACTGCAGTTATCATTAAGTATATATGCATCCTTTAAATTAGTGAAACGGGGAAGTCTGTTGAATTTCAACAATTTCCATGTATAACTTCCAAGTTATGACCCTTGTTTCACCTTGTTAAGCCGCGTGAACACTCTGGCGACAAAGCTTATCATCTGGTCTGCATTAAATTGATATCGGTGTCTTGTAAATGCACCTATTACCTTCAGTAGGATAAATATTGTGACAACCTTATCCAGTTACAACGAAGCCGATGCATTATGTAAGAGCTAAATTTGGCCCTTTTTTGGCCTAAACTGTTATTAGACCGTTTGGCATGAAAATCCCATTGGATGATCGCGTTTTTTCAATGGATTGAAACATAATCGCCATTTAATAATTCAATTTAAAAATGGATAATCAAGACTTCGTTTATTATCATAACAATTATACTTGACAATCGAGACTATATGAGAAACGAGTAATTTGACTGATATTTTCAAGATATGTAGTACTATGGTCTTTGCGACCATATTGTATCTTTGGCTAATTATTAGATTCACACATTGTATAGAAGTCATATTGTCTCATATGCATTTAAATCAAATTGAGTGAATGGTTGACATGTAAAAAAGAGTTATAATTTGGTAAACATATCTGGTTTCATTGGGAATCCGAATGTCATGTTTAACACGTGATTGGAAAAATTCCTAGTGCATCATTTGGCTTACCAGTAATTGGACAGATTCAGGATCATGAATAACCTGATCTATGCGTGATGCCCATATGGGTCTCATAAAAGAGACCCTGGCAAGCCTTTAAGTGGAGATATTATGTTCCAGACATATACCATCTGAGTTCCTAGACCATATGATGTAGCCGTTTCCTGAATCTAGCCATGCTGCTTAGACTTTTAGGGTTGAGAGAAAGATGTTAATTTTAAGTTTGCTAATGTAATCTATTATGCTTGTAATCTACGTAACTCAGTGCTTGATATAAAATGTAAAAACGAGCTGTTCCATTGTTATTCCCGGTAAGACAATCGTCTAAACTACTGAGAAGACAAACGTCTTAACTACGTGGATACGATTAAGGGAATACACGACTTGAAAAGGGAACCAGAGGGGACAATTGAAAATACTAGACGATCACAAGGCTACTAAGATATGTAGTAAGAAAAGATGCATGGGTCATACGTAGGATGTGGCGACCGGAATTGGGAGCCTGCTTTCCCAGCTGACAAGATACCCATGGTGCTACATATATTCATTTTTGAACTATTATAGCAAGAACGGACAAATGTTACATAATGCATTTTTAATAACATGAAGATGATAATTTAGAATTTTAGAATATATAATCTCTTGACTTGCATTCTAGCAGATAAACAGCAAATAAATATAGCGAGGTCTAGATTAACTTTCATTTCATTTAGTGTGATCAGTTCGAAGAATTATTATTAGTAAGAGTATTGTTCATTTCTATTTTATAACCCCCTTTATAATAACTCAAGATCTATGCAGCTTTATGGATATCAATATCATTCACTAAGTTTTTTTAACTGAAATTTTTCAATGAGGGTATTCTCTCATTGTTACCAAACAATGTATTAATATGTTTCGCTATCCCTAAATACCGTTTAAAAATTCTATACATATTTTGCCCTTTAGTCTAGTTGTATATATCCCCCATGCCTGTACTTAGCTTTATAGTGCTCCTGTGTATTGATCAGACATGGCGTGTAGAGAGAGAGGTGGGGTTTAACGTCCACTCGACCCAGACTAGGTCCTTTCGGTACTAACATATGGTTTAATATTATTTCAATAATTCGCTTGGGAGAAAACCGGGGGACCCGGGGAAAACCCACGAGGTTGGACAGGCAACCCTACTCCTTGTCAAGTACAACCGGGGATTCGAAACCACGCCAGTTGACTGAATGACAGACCTTATGATACAGCGCGCACGTGCTAACCATTCGGCCATCCAACCACCCTGAAATGGCGTGTACCAAAGTTTAAGCTGATTTATATAAAACAAATTCAAATAATATCCCTTGTTTGCCCTTCAGTAACACCCTTAAATATAACAGATCATTTTTTGTTAGTTAATTAATATAAGAAATGGGATTTACGTAATCATACTGGCTGGATTCAGGGGTTTAAAACGAGATATGTTGTGGGGTTGATTTGTGATATAATAATAACAATAACACCTGGTCATTTGGGACCGAAGAAAGCATGATATGAAATGAAATGGGGTTTAACAACCTACTGTTCTGTTCCGACTGAGATAATGAAGACGGGCATACGCAACGCAGTGTGCTATGAGGGACATTTTGTCGGGACAGCGGCGCTATGTCCTACTCTTATATCGAATTCCAACTATCTTTTACATGCACTCCAATGTGTACACAGGACCCTGTTTTATCGTCCCATCCAAACGAATAAACGTTGTCCCTTCCCTTCCGTCCAACACCACTTACAAGGGGGAGGCAACCACGGCAAAAAATGTCGATGGCAGTTCTCGGCCAACACAGGGATCGAACACGGGACCTCCAAGTCATTGTTTACGATATATGAGCAAAAAATGTCGATATAGACTGAAAATTGTTTGCTTTATTTGTCAAATCTTAAACTTTTATCTTTAGTATTAAATATCATTAAAATGATGTTTTTACATTTTCTTTCCAGGATAATATCCACTGTAATTTGTTTTCTTTATTCATGATTTTCTGGGAGAGAGAGAGAGAGAGAAATGTCCACTCAACACAAACTAGGTCATTTCGGGACTAACATATGGTTTATTTTTTTTTATTTCAATAATTCGCTTGCGCGTAGGGGTCTTTAGCAGTGGGAGGAAACCGGAGGACCCGGAGAAAACCCACGAGGTTGGACAGGCGACCCTACTCCTTGTCACGTACAACTGGGGATTCGAAACCACGCCAGTAGACTCAATGACAGACTTTATGATACAGCACGCACGTGTAAACCATTCAGCCATCCAACCCCTCTGATTTTCTGGGAATTGTATGATCGTGTCGTGATGCCCTAGAAATCAGTGACAGTTGGTTATTATAGACTAATCGACATGTATATACATGCAGCCTCTACTACGGTGTGTGAAATAGCTTTATTTAACACCCGCTTTCACCGAAGTGACATCGCTGACAATAGTAATAGAGTTTGCACATAACATTTTTTATTGCTCAATCATATTGAAAGAAATAAAGTTTTAGATGATGTCATGTCATATCATGTTTATTCTGGAAAGTGTTGTACAGTAATTATAAGTCTATTTGAACTTGGTGCATTATAGACAAATGTTTATACCAGTGCAGGGGTAAAATAGATGCTACTTATTTTATTATCAAAAGGATTAACTAATGACCCAGTGGGAATAATCAAATAGTAAATTCAACATTTTTTACCGGTTGAAAGTATTGCAGCACCTGATAAACACGTGGAGTCTTGAGTATGTGCCCATCTTACAATGACACAACTTTGGTCAACAGATAGAAAGTATGTTTTATTTGTGGAATAATACTAGCTTGATCCCGATTTGTTGGAAACGCCAGATTGTCACTTTAATTAAAATGGGTAAGTACGATTCTTACTTCTATAGGTGCATATTGAACCGTTCGTTGTCGTATATTGTTGTCACATGTCTCCGTCCATGATTCGGGGAGAGACTGGTTAACGCGTGTGCGTTGCAACATTAGGTCTGTCATTGAGTCAAGTGGTGTGGTTTCGTTTCTCGCTTTTACGTGACAAGGAGTAAGGTCGCCTGTCCAACCTCGTGGGTTTTCTTCGGGTCCTCCTGTTTCCTCCCACTGCAAAAGACGCATACGCGCATGCGATTTAATGAAATAAATTTGAACCATATGTTAGTCCCGAAATGACCTATTTTGTGTCGAGTGGACGTGAGCCCCCTCTCTCCCCCCCCCCCTCTCTCTCTCTCTCTCTCTCCCTCCGCCCATGATCCATGATTGCTAGAGGCTAAAGCCTGGAAATAATTATGTCAGTGATCATATCATTTAAATCGAGAAATCAAATAATGACCTCCTGGCAATAATCAAATAGTAAATTCAACATCTGATATGACCACTATACTTCCGAAGATGTCTCTCTGACCCTTCAAAGCCCTTTTTTATTTGGTTGAAAATATTGCTTTACCTTAAATATGTGTCTTGAGTATGTTAATGTGAGCGACAGTGATAGGTAAAAGATTAGAATCATCATATGACAGCTTGTGTGATACAATCTCCGATGTCCTTTAATTGACCATACTATTGTTTAATTTAACAAAGACCCAGCTGCTGCCATGTGTATAGTGGACAAGTTAGATAATACGTTGACCGCTAGCTGCGTTTACTACAATGTGTTCAATTGTCACACATCATTGTTCTGTAACCTGCTATCCGATTATCGTCCTTTTGTTCAGTACAGTATAAGGAATGTACTATTATCATTAAACATATTTAGTATAAATTGAGTTAGGTTTTTGGATATAGAACAGACGGGCTTTGGTTGCCCACCAGAGAAGAGTTTCTCATATATTTAGTATTTTCATACTATTGTATATGTTATAATAAAATGTTGAATCCAGATCATCTTTTATTTCTGTTACTATGTTATAATCAGTTCAGCTTGTAATGTCACAACTTTGGTCTACAGATAGAAAGTATGTTTCGTTTGTGGAATAATCGCTTAATCACAATTTGTTGGAAATGCCAGATTTTTACTTAAATTATTTATGCGTATTTATACACCCAAATTTCAGTATGGGCGTATTCTGTCGTCACCCTGTCCGTCGGGCCATCAACAACTGACTTGTGATGCGATAGAGGCTACAGTTTTTAACGGATTCTTTTCAAATTTGGCGTGAAGCAATGTTATCACGACCAGGTTTTCGGCAAAAAATGAATGAATGAAATAGGTTTATGGCACGTATCAGTATGACTGGGGAGCCAGCAAAGGACAATGTCCTTGATGCTCAACTCGTAAGATAGTAGCAGACGATAAATGTCTGCTACTAAAGAATGTTCAAGCTGTTTATTATTTATTGCATGTAAACAGGACAAAGAATCAGAAGAGATTATATGTTTTAAATGAGATGATAATTCAATGAACTCCAAAGTCTGAAGAGTGAATGGTGTGGCGGTAGCCGAAGCTACCCAATCACCATCTTTCGAACCATCTGTATAAATGGGAATATAATCACCATACTTAGACCTTAGATCCCTAAAGAGCGACTGGGGCACCGTAGAGCTGGTATCTCTCTTTTTATGTTGAGTAAGATCGAAATCGACCTTTGGGGTAGATATAGCCCACGGTTGAGTCCTAAAGAAAGGGGTATTCGCAATACTGTCAAGGCTGATACCAGCCTCAGACAAAAGGGGTTATATGCGAATACCAAATGGTGGAATAACTTTAGTCTTGAGCAGATATAAATGCTCATGATATGGTCTAAATATGGTGTTAAATGAAACATGATTTGGTAAAGATGCTATTTTCGTAGCATACTGCAGGGCAGTTTATCACGTCTGTTGTGCAATGAGGGCCTTTGCACCTCGACGTATAAACTGTCCACTGGAGATGTACGAAATGCTCCTAAACTGATTCTAAGTCCCTGGTTGTGTATTGTGTCGAGCTCTTTGAGATAAGAGTCGCGGGCAGACCCATACACAAAACACCCATAATCGAGTTTTGATCGAATTAATGCTCGATATAATCGAAGCAAGGCCTTACGGTCTGCTCCCCAGTCAATATTTGATAAGACTCTCAATATGTTGAGGGCTTTCAGACATTTCTTTTTTAGGCTTTTAATATTGGGGATAAATGATAATTTCTTATCAAATATCTACCCTAGAAATTTCATCCACAACTGGAAGGCGGTTGCCATCCAAATAAAGTTCTGATTCAGGATGTAAACCTCGTTTCTGACAGAAATGCATGCATTTTCGGTTGCCCATTGTTGAAGTGAATTCAAACAAAGCTAGAACTTACGTTCGATTATCCGCATGTCTGTAGAACCATAGCACATCTGAACGTCATCAACATAAAGAGCGCCGTTTGTATCTGGTTTAAAGCACGCTGGAATCGTGTTAATTTTCATAGCAAAAAGAGTGTTGGAGATAAAATACTTCCCCGTGGAACCCCCATTTCCTGAGGAAATGAGTCGGAGAATATTGATCCCAGTCATACCTTAAATGACCTATCTTCCAGGAAATTTTTAAGGAAGATAGGTAAGCGACCTCGTAGGCCGAGGTTATGGAGGTCGCGCATGATACCACGTGGAAACATGGTATCATGCGCGACCTCCATAACCTCGGCCTACGAGGTCGCTTACCTATCTTCCTTAAAAATTCCCTGCGCTTTCTCCAGATCGAAAAATATTGCAACTAAATGTTGCTTCTGGATGAAAGCGTCCCTGACGAACGTTTCAAATCGAACGAGATGATCAAGAGTGCTCCTTTGGGACCGAATTCCACATTGGAGGTCAGTAATGAGGTTGTTGGACTCAAGTATCGGCAAAAAGGTTGGGGGGGGGGGATTTCAAGAACTGAACGTCGGTATGGTTCGTCCTCTCATGACCACGATTTTTTAACCCTTTTTTGAAACATTCCATCCAAAACTAGGGCCTCTATCGTGTTCACATAGACAAAGGGGCTTTAAATCCGGAACAGAAAATAGCTGAACGCTGAAAATCGATAGGATTCATCCTCTCATGACCACAATGCTTCACACCACACTTTCCCGCATTTGATTTTGTTTTACCTAAAGTCGCTGTATATAGACGCACCTCAAACGAGATACTTAGGCAGGATAGCTTTAAACAGACACTAACCATACAGAATACACTCATTCAATGAAATACGTCACGCGGTATAAATAATATAAATAATATACGCTTGGCACGTTGCCCGTATGCCAAGAACAAAGTATGACGTCACATCTGCATTTTAAAGTCAAATAATCATTGTTATTATGGGTTTTGTCATATCTATTCAATATACTATTATTTTGGTGTGGCGTGATTTGACTTGTAGAAGTATATAGGTGTAAATTTTTTATTGGTATTCACAAAGGTATAAAACATACAATGGGAAAGTTAGATAAATAAATCATGGTCATTTTATGCGACAACACTGGATTATCTCGTCACCCTGTCCATGGGAAGCATTGGAGTCATGAGAGGATGAACCCAGTTGATTTTCAGCATTATGAAGTAATCCCTCTTTGCCGAAAACATTGCGAACGGGATAGAGGCTATAGTTTTTCATAAATTTTGTGGTAAGCATTGGTGTCATGAGAGCATGAACCCCATTGATATTAGGCGCTCTGCGACTCTCAGTTCCGAAGTCATTCTCTCTTGTGAACACAATAGTGGCAATAGTTAACCCTGTGAACGCGATAGGGGCTATAGGTTTTAACATATTTTTTCTTGAATTTGGTTGGAACTCTAAACATCCAAGTTTTCGTTAGGAGAAAGCTCCGACTTGTTTTCAGACTCAATAATTAAATATTGTATCTTTAAATTATGTAAATATTGTTAGGAAAACAAAGCTGCTGTGTGGGCATATTATAGGCTTTGTGTAGCTATCTTTGCCAATATGAAGACTGAAATGAAATAAGATTAATCATGGGCTTTGTCATATATATTTCTTCACAAATTAGGCATATCTGTTCAATATACTTTTATTTTGATGTGGCGTGATTTGAATTGTCGAAGTATATAGGTGGATATCCTTTATTGGTATTCACAAAGGTATAAAACATTTGCGTTCGTGCACGACGTGATGAGTTCTTACTATATATTTTATTATTTATTTAGAAAAGAAAAGGTCAAAGCAATCGATATGGTAGTATAAGGGAAAATGCACGACGACAAAGCCTGTTTATTTATTTTAAAAATATCTAGAATAATTTGTTTTTGTATGTAAAATATTTTATTATTTTTGACAGACAAATGTCGCCATGTTATGAAAAAGGCAAGATTTTACATGTCCCCAATGAGCCACCATACAATTGTAAACAGCGCCATCTGTTAACAAAATGATGCGTTTACCACGAAACATTTGTGAAATGTCAAAATGTCTAAACGGACTACAATCCATTAAAAGCAATAATGGAAATAAAACAAAATAAAAATTCTAATTTAAGAAATATTTCATATAAATTAACATTTTTACATTTGTGAATAGCTAATTTAACATGTGTTACTGTGGTAAATTTTAAACGGATTTCTTCGATTGTGAACAAACTACTGAATAATTGTTATTAAAAACTTGCCTATGTGTTTGAAATCACCTCCGGTTGAATAAAATCCATTGCACAATTAAATATACCAACGAAAAAAAAGTCGTCTCTTGAAAAAGTCAATGCTTTTGCTTGTATTCTCGACTATGTCCATCCCAACATTACACATGTTAGGTGATGAGCTAAACCATCGTAATATGTTGAAGGGGGTAAAGGTTGAACAATTTTGACAAGCACGTGTGTTGTAATCAAACAAATCGATCGTTTGAGTTTGGGCAACATAAATAGCAACTAAAGACAATAAAATTAATAAATTTTATTCACAATGAATATATATCACCGATTATATGAATACTCGTAAATATAATATATATTTTAATAAATTATATTACATTCTTGTCAATTATAGGCAACTTTGTGGCTAACATTTATAAATAAACACATTTTATTTCATAATTTTAATTGATCATATTCCGTAACGGGGTCTAATTCCAATGCGCTGTATAGTCCATTTTCAAAGTTTTATGATTACCACCAAAAAAATTAAAAAAGGGATCTCGGTTTTCGTCCCAACTGAATTATGATACTTTTGTTTCTTGGGCTAAAAAAAACCACAAAAGAAATATAATATAGAAAACGCACTTTTTTCCTACACCCAAACAATATTTAATACGAAAATGGACAATTACGTTCGATAACCCCTGAAATCGAACATATTTATATTGATAAATCTGACCCAAAATGTGCATATCATTTGTCGAGATTACTTTATATTAACGATGCGTTGTTAATAAATATCAAATTTTTCACGCCTGAATCCACGCTATGTACCCGGACTGATTATTTAACATGTAATGAAGAAAACCTAAATCAAAATTAATAATTCAACTTGGATTAAATAGGATTTGTTTTTTAAAAAAGGACTCCCAAGATATTTAATACTTATGGTTAAGAAATGTGCAAATACGGGATTCTATGTGCTTATAAATAAAACTGTTTGTACACGAAACGACTTTCAGGTTGGATTGTTTATCTGTTTAAGCAACCATTTATTTTTATTCATCTATTAACCACTAAGTGGAAAGTCTATAATACCTGTATTTGGCTACATTTTTCAAATAATTGTGTCTGGCTGTCACAATCTCTGTTGTCTCTTACCATGGGAATTGTAAAATGTAAATCCAATTTCTTTTAATATCCTTTGCAGGTGTGTTTGCGAAATTATAATATCTTTTTGTTCCAGAACAGAGCACAGTCGTCTGGTTGAGAACTGTATAAAATTTGAAAAATGAAACCATAAGAAGTGTTGAATCATTCGAGTTTGTATTTTATTTCTTTAAAGCCCCCTTTCACTTAAAACTTTCAAAAATATAATTATGTGAAATTACATATTTATTCCAATAGACATGGAACTAACTGAAATGGATTTTGAAATAATATGAATACACAACTCGTGAAGTGATTATAAAGGGTTCATTATGTCTTAAATATTAGAGAGTAGGACCGCATATTTTCACATCAAGATAACAACATGAATATTGATTGAAATGGATCAATTATGAATTAATATTCGTGTTTTTAATTTTAAATTTTATGGCAAAGTGTAACGCCTTCAATAGTAAGTGCGCAGAAGAACCTCACTACACACAGCTCAAAACTGACAAGTTAAAGTGTCTGGAATCTAGAGCATAATTGTACTTACATAATGACCCTTTCTATACAGACTGTGGATAGTTTCCCCAATTACACTGCGGTCAAAACTGTCAAATCTGGAAGTAAATGTACGCTTCTTGTGAGGTCTTATAGGTTTTATGGCATTATAAACCCACGATTGTATATGTTGCTAAAACGGTTGCCTTGAAAGAATGATATTAAATTAACGATGCCCTCGGAAACTTCGCTCGTGAGCTTCATGTTTGTTAAATTATTTATAATGTAAGGAAGATAGAAAAGGCTTAGTTTAAATACGAGTTTATTTTTACGAGTATCCGTGCGATCATTGATATTTTCATTGTAAATAAAATTTGGTTTCAATATAAATCTTCTATGTAATTGCCCGTAGATAATATTTTTCGTCGCCTAAACTCAAACGATTGAAATGATCGCGGTTTGTTTTCATTGCAACACGTGGTTGTCAAACTCTCTGTCAAAATTAAACACCATCGCAACAGCTTCATTAATTTCGCCCAACAGGTGACGAAAGCCATGTTGTCTTCCACTATAGAAAATATAAGTAAACAAGTCAAAGTTTTCAATAAATAAAATAAAACCAAGTACGAACAATCCAAACCATAAGACAGAATTCGAAGTCCTTAAAAACGTTATAGGCAAGATAGTGTATTCAAGCAAAATAGTGTAATCAGCAAATGGACTGCTCCTCGTGTACAAAATACACGACAAACAGTGGTAACAGGTGTCCGGAAGAGTAAGCTTACCCTGCCTGGCGCCACACCCGCATCCAAACTATTAGACGAAATCTCGGCAAAATAACGTGATTGGCCTAAGGACTATCAATGACAGCCTACACCGGTTGTGTTCCAAAAACAAACGGTATAGGCAAAATAGTGTAATCTGGCAAAATAGTGTAATCAGCAAATGGACTGCTCACCGTGTACAAAATACACGACAAACAGTGGTAACAGGTGTCCGGAAGAGTAAGCTTACCTTGCCTGGCGCCACACCCGCCATAGCTGCATCCAAACTATTAGGCAAATGTCGGTAAAATAGCGTGATTGGCCAATGAACTATCGGTAAGCAAAATGCACGCGATGAACTGTTAACGATGTAGTAGACATTATCAGGGAGATAGTAATAGTATACGTGTCAATTAAATATATCTAGAATAATAGCCGAGAGAGACACGTTATATTTACCAATCAAATCAATATGACGGCCATAAAACTTTTTAAAGGTTTTAATAAGTTTAGTGCGCAAGTATCCTTGTAGTTGAAGCTTAGATGACAAATGCCTCGATCTACTTAAAAAATCAGAATAAAAGGAACAAGCTCTTGCGTAACGAATTAGCTGAGACACAAGAGATAACTTTTTTATTCGTTGGGACATTTAATTGTGCAATGGATTTTATTTAACTAGAGTTGATTTGAAACACACAGGTAAGTTTATAATAACCAAAGTTAAATAGTTTATTCATAATCGAAGACATCCGTTCAGACAGCAGTTTCTTTTCGTTTCCTGACTTTCCAGGCTAGTCTAGATACTTTTCGTTTTAGCTCTGTACTGATTTTCATTATATTGACCATCTTTTGATGCTTATAGTCTTATTATATCACATTGTACATCCATAAATGATCAGCCCAGATGTTATGTTTATAATTGTATAATCAACGTTTGTTTAAACTGTGTATTCTGTCCTTGCTGGATGAAATGATACAATAAAATCTTATCTTATCTTATCTTTTACATTGTCTTAGTTTCTAACACTGTGGCTGGATATAAAGGTCCAGGAAAGCCGAAACGAAATGAAAGTGACACCAGTACAGTTAAAGATCGGGATTACAAGGTACATATTCTCTTAATTATTTTCTTTTACATGTTTATTAAAATTAACATTGTTGGGTTTTTTCTGGTTTTTTTGTTGTTTTTTTTTGGGGGGGGGGGGGGCTAGGGATTATTCTCTTTACAAGATATAAACATAAATATTATTAGTTTTGCAGAAAAATAAACTTTGTATTATTATGTACACCCACACTCCACTGTCTTGTTGTAAATGGATTTAATTGATTAAGTCAGTTAAATTCTACTTGTCCATATCGTCCATCAAAGCATCCCCATATTTATTATAGAGAGAGACAGCGTCTTTTGAACCCTTTTTCCCTCACTCTCAAAACTTGGCTAATGTTTCTTTCTTTGACGAAGAGTTACCCTTTAACTGCGATCCTGATCCAGCAGAACTGGAATCAAGGATAACGGCTTCAAGGGGAGGCGAGGGAGATGACCCTTTGTCGTTCTGGGAGGAAGTGTTATGAATGATCCCAACAACTTCAGATTGAGACAAGGAAGATGGGCCCTCGCCAGTCAAATATTTAATAGTTTCGGTCGAGCTCTCACTTGTTTGAGAGAAGCTCGACACCTCTTAATTATGATTATGGTATGATAGACATTTTTTCCTTTATTTGGCCAGGTTATATCCGTCTGAACAGAGATGCTTTTTGTAGATGTTTTTTACTGCGCCTGCAAAAGACTTCCATTGAGATGGAACGGGAAAGAGCGCAGTTAGGTCTACTTGCTTTCGAGCATCATAATATGGTATTTTCCGCTTAGACATTACCTGTTGAATTCTTTTTTCTTTTTGACATATTGGACATTCGCGAGAATAAGCAAAGTGCTTACACTTGCAATTTATACAACACAAATCCGCCTGGCAGGTACCGCTCTCATGGCCATCATGGCCACAGCGAGTGCAGGTGTCCTTACCTCTGCAGACGGTTTTGCTTTGCAAATTTCTGACATTTGTAACATCGAAGTGGGTTACTGATGTAAGAATCAACAGGTATGTTAAGATAACCTGCCTTGAGAGTCTTTGGAATGTCGAGACGATTAAAAGTGAGGATATAGGTGCTTGTGGGAATTTCCGCGGCGTACACTAGTTCTTTTAACATGTGAGACGCCTTGAGAAGAAAGGTATTCCACCATTTTTTCCTCACTGCTGCCTTCAAGATCCCGACAGCGAAGTACACCTCTTCTTGAGTTTAATGACCTATGTGGAGACACCTTGATAGGAATGTCCGCTAAGGATGTTGATTTAAGCAGCATGGTAGCATGCTGTTCCTTGGCGCATCCTATCAAAAGAGTTCCAGACCAGCTATGTTGACACCTTCGATAGGTCAGTAGGGGGACTCTCATTTAAGAGAAACCTCGGCCATGTCTTTGATATTTTTAAACAATATGTACATAAATCAGAAACGTCCTCTGTATTAGGACGTTTCTGTTTCTTTTTATTAATTGGTGTGGGGGTATTGGGGAATCCATGAAATATGTTTTTTGGAAACTCACCGCGCGTCGTGCCCCAGGTTAATTTTCTGCCTACCAGGGAGGGGGCAAGCACGGACTGACAGTGCATTGCCTCAGGGCTCGACAAGGGGTATACTCAAGCCACTAACTAAAAAATACTTATCCAACCTGATTGACCCAAGCTGCCGCTCTGTAGAATGTACTCGGGACACAAAGGTAAACTTGCGGAGTGAAAAAAACAACAAAGCAATGGCATTGGAAAAACGTGCATTCTACAGAGCTAAAAACGACCAAAGCCGATTGATCAGAGAGGGCCTCACTGACCTCCCGTCTATTTGAACCATGGGCCAAAGTAATGAGTTGCAGAGAAAGGCCTCGCAAGCCAAATCCCCACTCATTTATCAGGATTCCACTCTCCACCAACACGGGTGGCAACGCACGACAAACACGTTGCCCCATTACAGGGATCGTTTTAGTCGCTTTTTACGACACGCAGGCCATACGAAGGGCATATTCTTATCACCGCCTACACCCCAGGGGGCTGTTTTTGGATCTGTCTGTAAAACTTGTCATTCCCACGAAAGATTTTAATTGTTTTATTTCACCCGTACAGGAGTTTAATGGTAAAAATTGTTTTATTTCATCTTGGGATAGCCGTAAGATTTTAAATTGTTTTATTTCTTCTGTACAGGTATTCAATGATCCTATTCACGGCCATATTGAAATCCATCCCCTTTGTATGAAAATTATTGATACACCAGAATTTCAACGTCTACGTTATTTAAAACAACTAGGTGCTTGTTATTATGTCTACCCAGGTGGGTCTCATAATAGATTTGAGCATTCCGTAGGGTAAGTACATCACGTATGTTACAATTTTTATGATATGTGTTTGCAAAATATTAATTTAATGATGTAGAAAAGGATGGAATCCACCAGGTTGATCCTTGAAGGCTGGTAAATCTTTGTTTATTTCCGTATACTGTTGTCCGGAATAACCACCATTTCAATTTCGATAATTGCTTTACATCAATAATCAATTGGGGTGTTCAACGGTCAGCATTAAACTGTACACCAGTACAAACTAAATGATGTTGGGTGATTTTAAACTAATTTATGAAGTTTTGATATTAAATGAATCTGAAAGACATTATGCCTAAAATAAGCAAGATTGAATGATATGCGGGTTACAGTGAATAATGTGCTTTCTATTTTAGTGTTTGTCATCTTGCTGGTGAGATGATCTCACAACTTCAAAAACAGCAACCAGAGCTCGAAATAACTCCTGTTGAGGTTCTATGTGTGAAAATAGCTGGTCTGTGTCATGATCTAGGTAAGGTAATATAGGTAATATTATATATGTTAGTTTAAAAAAACACTTATTGGGTTCAGTGGTGATAAATGGTCAGAATCCATGTCAGATCGTTTAACAAATCTTCTTCGTGATTTATAATCCAGCTTTGTATCGGGGGAGACACGGTGGCTCAGCTAGTAATACGTTGGCACGCTAACCTTATGGTCTTGTGTTTGAACCCTGTATTGACAGAGAAAACTCATCGTGATTTTCCGGCATGGTTCCCACTTGTCAGTGGTGCAGGACAGAGGGATGGGATGAAAAACCAAGGCATCATGTGTTCACATTGGCGGGCACTTAAAAGCTCCCTTGGCAGTTCGAAGTAGATATAAGAGTAAGTTATAGCGTCGCTCAATCTGATTAAAATACAGATTTATATTTCGTTTCGTTTTTTTGTACTTTCGATGGCTATACACTACATGTACTAACAAATAAAACGAAATTTTGAACTATAAAAAAAACGAAACGAAATAGGATAATAATAATAATAATAATAGTGTATATTTATAATGCGTAAATTTCCATGTATGCTCAAAGCGCCAAACACTATGTACACTATACATCTTCCAATATTTACACAACAGTATATTCGGTCAAATACAGACGTATTCACATTCAAACAGATGAGTCTTTAATCTCGATTTGAATGATTCCAGTGAAGGGGCACATTTCATACTTAATGGTAAGGAATTCCATAAATTAGGAGCACTGAACCGGACAGATTTGTATCCGAAAGTCTGAGGGTTAAATTTGGGAACTTCTAGTAAATGCTGGTCTTGGGATCGTAAATTACGTTGATCAGTATTCACATGAATTAGATCAGACAGATATATTGGACAAGTTCCATTGAGACATCTATATACATGGCAGAGAATTTTGTAATGTATTACCGAATGGACAGGCAGCCAGTGATGTTTAATAGCGGTTGGGTGTGTACACGTTTCGAAGTGCGACTGACTATCCTTGCAGCAATATTTTGAATAGTTTGCAGTTTTGAAATTAAATTGCGATTTAGACCAATGAAGATGCTGTTGCAGTAATCCTGTATAGAAAAGACCAATGATCTGACAAAGAAGAGTCTTTTGTTAGAAGAGGTCTGATATTTCCAATAGCTCTCAAAGTGGTTAACCTGTTTTTCCATTGTTAGATTGGAATCTAGGAATACACCAAGATTTTTTTACACTATCTTGTGTTTGTTTATCAGAGTCCGCAATGGTCACTGTAGATGAATCAATTTTATGTAGATTCTTTTTCGTACCGCCAAGCATGACTTCAGTCTTGTCGTCATTTAATTTTAACATGTTTGACGTCATCCAAGACTTAATTTCCTGAGTACATGATGATGTCACATGGAAGAAGTTAGTATATTGATTTGGCATGAAGGCATCAATAATCTGGGTATCATCGGCATATGAATGGTGGGAGAGCTGATGTGTAATAATGGATGCAACTTGACTGGTGTACAAGACGAATAACACAGGACTTAACACCACAAGCTTATTGTGTTGTTTCTGATAGCTCATTTAAAATAAGTACAGACTTTATGCGGCCATGTAGGTATGATTTGAACCACTCTAAGGGCGGACCTCCGATACCACACCTTGCAGACACCACCTTGTGGTGGTCAGTAGTATCGAAGGCTGCTGACAGATCGAGCATCACAACTGAGGCAACATTACCGCCGTCAACGGCACAGCGTAACGGCACAGCGTAAATCATTTATCACTCGCAGTAAGGCAGTCTCTGTGCTGTGATTTTGACGATGTGATGACTGGTAATCGTCCAACAAGGAATTTGCGGATAGGTGTTATTTCAGTCTAGTATTTACTGCCTTTTCTAGTATCTTTGATAAGAAGGAGAGGTTGGAGACCGGGCGAAATTCTTTTTAGATGATTTTTTTCCAGACTGTCGTTTGAGAAGTGGAAGAACTACTGATTTAAATTTGTTCGGGAAAACACCACTAGCTAAATTATTAATCAGGGGAGTGAAAACCCGGATAAGTTGGTCCAGAAGTTTAAAAATCAGGGCAGTGTACCCTTGCAAACTCCTTGTTGCTCATTCAAGCGTATGTCTTCGTTAAAAAGCAATTTGCAATACAAGAATACTAAATCAAACTATAAAACATAAGTGTCAATTGATATAGTAACAGACCGCCATGACATGTCCTAGCTTAATGAGTCTACAGGTACTCTTAGTATAATTGGCATTATTTATATTTCTGCTCCGTTGAAATTTATTTCAATCAGAAAATCAACGATTCCTTTGGTAAGTCAAAGTATCGATATAAACAATTCGTCACGTTGCATAGAAATTGAACAGAAGCAGGGATAATTCTAACGGTGGAGTGAGTGAGATGTCGTGTAACGACATGAACACTCGCGAGTTTATAACAGTATTTATTCATCATTCAGCAATTAAATATCATAAATAACATAAAAAGGAAGATATTTTTTTCGATATGTACGTAAAATATCATCCAGAAAAATCGCGGTATGTTCGGTTTTTCAATATTTTTCTGAAGACGGTATTTCTGTGACGGTTTTATATCAACATTGACACTTATATGCATGGTGGTTATGAAGGAAAATCAATAAACACAGATTTATTCCTATCCATGACATTTCACGATTTGTGGGTGAAATTTCGAGCCTTTATGTTTACCTGCAATACGTGCGTTATCAGGTTGCTACAGTACACGTTCTCTCTACCGACCAGGAGAAATTGGCAGCCACTCTTCGGCCAACAGAAGACGCTTTCCCACAACACACACGCTAGTTGCAACTACAGGACAATTATATTGTGCCATAATCATAAGCCGAAACCTGATATCCCTAGTCCAATTCATTGGTGGTTAAAATAATGATAGTATAGTAGTACCTGTTTTATTTGAGAAAGAATCTGCGCCAACAGAATTTACATAATTACTGTTTTATGATAGATTGGAGGGGGGGAAGAGAGAGAGAGAGAGAGAGAGAGAGGGGGGAGAGAAAGAGGTGGTTTAACGTCCACTCGGGACTAACACAAGGTTCAATTTTGTTTCAATAATTCGCTTGCGCGTAGAGATCTTTAGCAGTAGGAGGAAACCGGAGGACCCGGAGAAAATCCACGATGTTGGACAGGCGACCCCACTCCTTGTCAAGTACAACCGGGGAATCGAAACCACGCCAGTTTACTCAATGACAGACCTTATGATACAACGCGCACGCGCTAACTAAACCCAACAATTTTAATCAGATTAGTGTGAACTTGCCGTAAAGTGCATATAGTAACCACTGACTATAAATACAGAAAATGTTGTCAGGTCACTTGATGTGCTCTTTAAAGAAACTCTGTATATTGGGTCATGTTGAGTTCTTGTGATATGACTATATCAGAAAATGCCCAACATGTTTTGTACTACCTCCGGTAGGGTATCTTGTCATATAAGCCATTTTCGGTGCATTAGCTGCTACCCTATAATGTTGTCTGCTTGTTCTTGTTTCCAGGTTTCATCCAGATTTTCCGGCGTGGTTTCCCCTTGTCAGTGATGCAGGCCGGAGGGCCTGACAAGGACAGCTTTCTAGTCGTTCGGATCGGACGAAAAACCGAGGTCTCGTGTACATATTGGCGTGTACGTAAAAGATCCCTTGGCAGTTGGAATTCGATATAAGAGTAGGCCGTAGCGCCGCTGCCCGGGCAAAATGCCCCTTATAGCACACTGTATGGTGTATGCCCGTCTTCATTAGCCCAGTTTAGGAGCAGAACAGTAGGACGTTAAACCCCATTTCATTTCATTTCATTTCATTTGTTTTCAGGTCATGGTCCATTCTCACATTTATTCCACGATAAATTTATACCGTTAGTTGCACCCAAATCTAATTTTACGGTGAGTACTCCGCTCTACAAACCCCAGACTATACCTCCCATAACAACTATTGATGTTTATACACCTACAGACTATATCTCCCATAGCAACTATTGATATTTACATACCTCCAGACTATATCTCCAGTAGCAACTATTGATAATTACATACCTCCAGACTATATTTCTCATAACAACTATTGATGTTTACACACCCCCAGACTATATCACCCATAGCAACTATGCACCTCCAGACTGTATCTCCCATCGCAACCATTGGTGTTTACATACCTCCAGACTTTATCTCCCATAGCAACTACTGATGTTTACATACCTCCAGACTATATCTGTCATAGCACCTTTTGATGTTTAGATACCCCCGGACTAGATCTCCTATAGCAAATATTGATGTTTACATACCGCCAGACTATATCTCTCATAGCAACTATTGATGTTTACATATCTCCAAACTATATTTCCTATAGCATCTATTGACATACCGCCAGACTATATCTCCCATAGCAACAATTGATGTTTACATACCACCAGACTATATCTCTCATAGCAACTATTGATGTTTACATACCTCCAGACTATATCTCTCATAGCAACTATTGATGTTTACATATCTCCAGACTATATTTCCTATAGCACCTATTGATGTTTACATACCGCCAGACTATATCTCCCATAGCAACTACTTTTGTTTACACACGTCCACACTATATCTTTCGTAGCACCTATTGATGTTTACACATTACTAGACTATATCTACCCACAGGAACTATTAGTGTTTACAACTGTTGATGTTTACACACCGCTAGACTATATCTCCCATAGCAACCATTGATGTTTATAGCTCCCATAGCAACTATTGATGAGTGTATGTACCTTCAGACTATATCTCTCATAGCAACTATAACCCACAGATCTCGTTTCTGTTCAATATTGGCATGTATCGCACGTATCTTCCAGGATTATTGGCTCCTGATTGTACGAAAAATCAAGTTTTTAGCTTCTGGATACTCTAGAGGTTACATTGTTTATCTGGTTTTAATGGAACTTAAAATGTATGTTTATAGCCCAAAGATATCAGTTCCTTTCGATATTGGCGCATATGTTTATTATTATTATTTTATACATTTTTATAGCGCACAACATCCATGACTAAGTGCTTTACAACATATGGTACATGATATAAATAAACCAAAATACAAATACGACATAAATGTAAACATTGAAATCAACTTAAAAAGAACCTTAGGCCATTGGAATGCAATGAAGAATACGGTGAAATGTTGTTGCCGGGGCAAAATTACCTCATAGAACAATGCATGTTGTATGTCCGTCTTCATTATCCCGCTTATTGCAGCAAAATAGGACGTTAAACCCAATTCCATTTCCCAGGACATTAATCTTTAGAGTATTTGGAGTATTTATTCTATGTTTGGTGTATTTTTGTTCCTGTATTTATTCGTCTTTATATATATTTCATTACCTGAATAGCATGAAGAGGCCTCGATTCAAATGTTTGACCATTTGATAAAAGTAAACAACCTAGAGGAAGATTTTAAAGAATATAATTTGAAGCGGGCTGAAATAGAATTTATTAAAGAACAAATTGCTGGACCGTCCGATAAAGATGACAAAGATAAAGTAAGTTTTGACGAATCTTAAAATATATGTTTATATCCCAAAGATCTTGATTCCTTGCGATATTGGCGCAAATCGAGCCGTCACTTCCTAGATTATGTCCCCTGTGTAGAGGTAAGAATTTTTATTTGATTTAAATTTAAAAAACGTTGGTGTTTAAAATTGAAACACCGTATCTTAAAACATGATTGTTATATCATGTATATTCACTGTCAGTTACTTTGCTAATACATAGTAGACTGGAGAATATTAAAATGTTATAATCAACATATTAAAACGTGTATATTTTGTTCATTGTCCCCGATTCGGACTAGTTACCCTAAACTCATGTTCCTGAAGCAACGACTGCGAGTTTCACAACATCTGGCCGTTGCTTGTTTACTTCACAATTCCCGAACTTATAGCTATATTATCTACAGACACGTGAGCAGTAGCGTCCAATCAGAGGTTGTGACATCGCAACCTCCACGGAAACCATGACATTGAATGTACCTTGAACTCGATTATCACAGGTAGACATTTTAGCTTGAAACACCGAGACTTGGTATTCGCGACGATCGAGGAATCTGATAGGCTCACAAGTTGGGCTTGTACCCAATCAAAAGTAGTGCTGAAATATGTAGGGTATTACGTGAAGGCCTTGATAAGATGTACGTAGATAAAGCGAGATCAAGCCTTCTATTGAAGATGCCCTAAACTATGCAATAGCCTTGACCGATTAGGACACTATTCACTGAGTTACCGGCCCTTGCCGTAAGAGACAAGTGTCCCAACTGTTACTTTGTCTGAAACACTTGAGTAGTCAAGTCAAGTTCGCGCACAAGTTCACGATCTGTTGAAATGTCGCAAACAGCGTGGAACGGGAAAGTAAACCCTTTGCAAATAAATTTCTGAAGGCGTTAAGAGGAAATGGTTCACCCCGAAGATATTGACCAATATTGTACCTGATGTAAATACCGAAACTTTTAATGCAATACATGTAGATCGAAAAAGGTTTGCGACTGACATAAACTTTGATAATGAACGGGCCAGAGAAAATCTTGGATGCTAGAATGGAGGATTATCTGGAATTAGTTCTCGACTATTAAAGTGTTCGACATGAAAGTATCTGAATCTGAATCTAGAAGGTATAGTAATAGCATAATAATATTATATGTATATCAGTATTTGAAGAAAAACGTTGATATGGGTCACGCACGTGCATGCGTCACGCGTCACTTGTGTTTAGCTGTGGTCGATTGATTAGGATGTATTAAATGTCTGTTTGTCTTTATTAATAATTTTGAGTGAGCCTGTTCGGCTTTGTTGTTCCGCAATATAATTATAACAGAGCATCCACCAAAGGTTGTCTTATTTATTTCTACTGTGTAGACAAAGTAATGAATGTTTTCTTCAATAATTTGGGCGAGTCGTGCTCAACCTTGTTGTTTCGCGATCTAACATGGAGACAAAATAAGGTTGTCTTAATTTATTTCAACTGTGTCGGCAAGAAGTAAAGCAAATGTTTTCTTTAATAATTTAGGGTGAAACTGTTCAGCCCTGTTGTTCCGTAGTCTAACATGGGACATACAATAAGTTTGTTTTAATTTATTTCTACTGTGTCGGCAAGAAGTAAACTGAATGTTTTTCTTTAATAATTTTAGGAGAGACTGTTCAGCCTTGTTGTTCCTCAATCTAATATGGAACATACACTACGGTTGACCTCTCTTTTAGTATATAAAAGGGCTTTACCTGTGTGCAGGCAAGTAGTAAAGCTAATGTTTTCTTTAATAATTTTGGGTGAACCTGTTCAGCCTTGTTGTTCCGCAATCTAACATGGGACAGAGACTAAGGTTGTTTTAATTTAAATTAGATTGAAACTGTTCAGCCTTTTTGTTCCGCAATCTAACATGGGACATACACTGAGGTTGTTTTAATTTATTTATTTTGTGTCGGCAAGTAGTAAAGTGAATGTTTTTCTTTAATAACTTTCAGTGAGACTGTTCAGCCTTATTATTCCACAACCTAACATGGAACATACACTAAGAGGGCTTATCTCTGCGCAAGCAAAGTTAAGGGGGCTTACCTGTGTGGAAGCAAATTAAGGGGGCTTACCTGTGTGGAAGCAGATTAAAGGGGACTTACCTGTGTGAAAGTTGTGGAAACAAAGTTTAGATGGCTTGAGTGGAAGCAATTGAAGGGGAGCATAGTTTAGATGGTTGACCTGTGTGGAAGCAAATTAAATGGGGCTTACCTGTGTGGAAGCGAATTAAGAAGCTTACCTGTGTGGAAGCATAGTTTAGATGGGCTTCCCTGTCACGTTGAAGCAAAGTAAGTGAGCTTACCTGTGTGGAAGCATAGTTTAATTGGCTTACCTGTGTGGAAGCAAAGGGAGGCTTACCTGTGTGGAAGCAAAAGGAGGCTTACCTGTGTGGAAGCAAAATGAGGCTTACCTGTGTGGAAGCACATTAAGAGGCTTACCTGTGTGGAAGCATAGATTAGTTGGCTTACTTGTGTGGAAGGGGGCTTACCTGTGTAGAAGCAGATTAAGGGGCTTACCTGTGTGGAAGCATAATTTTTAAGGGGGCTTACCTGTGTGAAATCAAAGAAAGGTTGCAAAGAAATTTGGGATTTTGGTAGTCATCTATAATAGCCATTATGACCTTTTTAATCTGGGGCATTAAAATTTAACTAGAATCATAGTGGTTAAATTATCGGGACTGAAACCACGAAGATATTCAAAAAATGGGAACAGAATGTATAAAAGTTCAAAGCCTTATGTACGGAATAATTGACCAAGATTACCAAAAATGGGTTAAACGGGGAAAATATGTGGTGGGATGAAGTGTGTTATGGGGCGAAGTGAGTTGGGAGTTGAGATAGTATTGGATGTTAATAAAGTTCGTATTGTTGTCATTGTCTTAGTTTTGATATTCGTATAGTGATTCCGGAGCAGAAGCACTGTGCCTGCAATACTTAAATCTATAGGCAAGACGGTTATTCAGTGGAAAGTATACTATTTTTAAAACTGAGCCTTTCACAATGTGTATGACAGATTAAATTATAATTGTCTATGTTGAATAAGTATTTTTTTACTGATTTGTTTTTCAAAGATTTTTTTTTTTTTTTAACTGACTTTTTGTTTTCCAGCATTGGGACAATGAAAGGACGAGCCCTATTGATTTCCCCGGTTCTCCGTCTATAAATGCTTTTATTTATTCCAGGCTTATAAATTTCGACCCAACAAGAAATATCTGTATGAAGTAAGTTTATATAAATATAAAAATATCTGTATAAAATGTCTTTATAAAATGTTTGTTTGGAGTAAGTTTATCAAAATATGTCTGTATGATACAGGTTTATTTTTTGGAAATACTCTAAAATAAATTATGAAATGTGGTGGTATATTGCCATCCCCTGTCTGTGGTATATTGCTAGAGTTTTTAAAATTAATGTCAAATTTATACACAGTGTTTATGTTAACGAGACAAAATAAATGAAATGAAATGAAATGGGGTTTAACGTCCTATTGTTCTGCTCCTATACTGGGCTAATGAAGACGAGCATACGCCATACAGTGTGCTATGAGGGGAATTTTGCCCGGGCAGCGGCACTATCGCCTACTCTTATATCGAATTCCAACTGCCAAGGGATCGTTTACGTGCATTCCAATGTATACACGGGACCTCGGTTTTTCGTCTCATCCGAAGGACTAGACAGCTGTCCTTGTCAGGCCCTCCGTCCTGCATCACTGACAAGGGGGAACCACGCCGGAAAATCTGGATGAACTTTCTCGGCCAATGCAGGGATCGAACACCCAACCTCCAGGCTAACGAGCCACTTAGCCAGGTGATCCCCGAGACAAAAGAAGTCTATTGATGTCAGATAATTACTATCACAGTTAATAATGCTCGGTCAATTTGAAAAATCTTATGGCCACTATAGAGGCTGAAACTATCATTCATTTGACAGCAAATTTATACACAAGAAAATCAAAATTTAGTTATTTCTAATACTTGCTTGGTCAGTTTTTATACACCCACATTTTCATGTGGACGTATATTGTCGTCGCCCTTGTCCGTCCCGATGTCCGTCCGTCCACAATTTGTTTGTGGGCACTCTACAGGTCACAATTGTTATCCGATTTTGACGAAACTTGAAATATAGGTCTATCTCCCAAAGATCGCGTTCCTTTCGATATTGACATGTGTCGGACCATAACTCATGGAATATGGCCTCTGATTGTACGAAAATCACGTTTTGAGCTTGTTGACACTCTAAAGGTCGCGATTTTGATTTTGATTAAACTTGACATGCATGTTTATAACCCAAAGATCTTGGTTCCTGTCGATATTCGCGCATATCGCATCGTAACTTTCTGAATTATGGTCCTTGATTGTACGGAAAACGCGTTTTGAGCTTGTGGTCCCCATAGAGGTCACAAGTTTTTTCGATTTAAAAAAAAGGTTTTAGTATATCACCGTTACACCCTAATGATGGTTGAGGTCGAATTTCGCGAAAATCGGACCAAAACTGTTGGACAAAATGGTCGCCCCGTGTACGCAAATTTATAAACATCTTGTATATTAAGGCTGTGGACCTCCTAGAGGTCACAATTTTGATTCGATTTTGATAACACTTGAAATGCATGTTTATAACCCAAAGATCTTGGTTCCTTTCGATATTCGCGAATATCGAATCGTAACTTCATGATTTATGACCCTTGATTGTAATAAAAATCGCGCTTTGAGCTTGTGGTCCCCAGAGAGGTCACAATTTTTATCCGTGAAAATCGGACTAAAACTAACGGACATAATGGCCGCCCTTTGTACACAAATAGTGTAAAAATATGATATATCAAGGTTGTGGACCCTCTAGAGGCCACAGTGTTTATCCGATTTGGATGAAACTTTAAATACATGTTTTTATCATAAAGATCTTTTATCCGAACGTAACTTCCTGGATTATGGCCCCTGATTGGTCGAAAAATCGCATTTTTAGCTTGTAGATTCTCTAGAGGTGACAATTTTTTTCCGATTTTAAAAACCGTTCAGATATATCATCATTCCACCATAATGAAGATTGGATTCGAATTTCGGGAAAATCGAAATGAAACTGCCCGACAAAACCGCCGCTCTTTGTACGCAAATTGTGTATAAGTATGTAATACAAAGGTTAGGGACACTCTAGGGGGTCACAATTTTTATACGATTTTGATGAAACTATATCTTTATATTCCAAAAATCTCAGTCACTTTTGATATTTGCGCATTTCAGACCATAGCGTTCTGGATTATTGCCCCTGATTGTACAATCGTGTATGTTTTTAGCTTGTTCTCTAGCCATCTCTTGCAAAATGGGGGTGTATCCTGCCTGGCAGCCACTGGTTAGTGTCTTCCATTACCTACAAAAGAATTTCTGCACCTACTAGGCATACACCATACAATGTACATCGTTTTTTACGCATCCGAACGACTAGGAGCTGTCCTTGCAACGCCCTCCATCCTGCATTACTAATAAGGGGGGGGGGGACTTTCGCGGCCAACTCAGGGATTGAACCCAGGACATATGTTTTGTTGCTTGGCAACCTAACTTGATTTTATGTTGTAGATTGTAGCTAATAAACGAAATTCAGTGGACGTAGATAAATTTGATTATTTTGCCCGTGACGCTTACATGCTGGGTTTCAAGAACAATTTTGATCACAATCGTTTCTTGCGATTCTTTCGTGTCATCAAAGATGAAAATGGTGACCAGCGGATCTGCATCCGTGATAAAGTAAGTATAATTTTTATACGCCTATTTATATATTTATTTTTTTAGGGGAGGGGGGGGGGGAGGGTTTATTATCGTATCCAGCTTCCAGTCACAATCTCTTGTGAACGTTGTACGTACAGGATAGAGTTATCTACCCGTTTGCGTTTGAACGTGGCTCCAGATCGTTTTAAAACATCGCCTTATTGTTCATTAAGGTATCAGGAAGATCATCAAATTATTGGATTGTAAATTCTGACCGCCTTCTGGTCGTGTTTGGTCATTTTAAAATTGTGTACGTGATACCGGACAACTTTCTCTGTGGATAATTTAAAAGATTTGTAGAAATTTTCATTTGAGCATATGGTGAGTTATTGCCACGTTTTATTTACTTTTTGACTGTTAATTGGATGCACTATGGCATCTTTATCCGTCAACAATGGGCTTGTGAAAGCCGACGCGATTGAGGTCACAATTGTTATCCGATTTGGATAACTTAACATATATGTTTATATCCCAAATATCTCGGTTCCAGTCGATATTCAGGCATATTGGACCGTAGCTTCATGGATTATGGTCCCTGATGGTATGAAAAATCTCGTTTTTAGCTTATAACCACTCTAGATGTTACAATTTTTATTTGATTTTATAAAACGTTGATATACATCACCGTTAAAAATAAGACCTAAACTTCCCGTGTAATACAAAGGTTTGGGGCCCTCCTGAGGTCGCATTTTGTATCCGATTTTGATGAAACTTAAAATGTATATTTATGTCCCAAAAATATCGGTCCCTATCGATATTGTCGGACCGTAACATCCAGGATTATGACCCCTTATTGTACGACAATCGCTATTTTAGTTTCTTTTCTGTCCATCTCGTGCAAAATGTGGGCGTATCTTACATGGCAAACGCTTGTTAAAATGATTTTAAGATGATTAAATATTATGTGGAAATTGTTACATAGATTAAAGTATCTTTAAAATGGTTTCAAAATTTGTATTATGTCCTAAAAATATTTTTTTTAAATTCCATGACAGGAGGCAGACCACTTGTATGAAATGTTTCATGCCCGTAAATCTCTACATAGTCGAGCGTATAAGCATGCTGTTACACAGGCTGTAGAGAATATGCAAGTACAATTTTTACAAATAGATAAATTTTGCAATTTTCTTAAGTAAATGTGAATTTATATAAGGTTGCCTGAAGAAATTCGAAAAAGATTGCCATTGGTTTACCTCGTTGATGACAACATCAAATGTTGGTGTATAAAAACGTGGAATTTTGTAATAATAAGGAGGATATCTGAGCAAAGGATTCACATAAAAACTGCACTTTCTCCTTGTTTTTTTTTTATATTGGCGAATGGCGAATCATTAGCTACTCGTTTTTCGACACAGACTTGAGAGAGAGAGAGAAAGAGGGAGAGAGATGGGGTTTAACGTCCACTCGACACAAACTAGGTTATTTCGGGACTAACATGGTTCAATTTTATTTCCATAATTCGCTTGCGCGTAGGTGTCTTTAGCAGTGGGAGGAAACCGGAGAACCCGGGGAAAACCCACAAGGTTGGACAGGCGACCCTACTCCTTGTCACGTACAACCGGGGAATCGAAACCACGCCAATTGATTCAATGACAGACTTTATGATACAGCGCGCACGTGCTAACCATTCAGCCACCCGAACCCCCGATACAGACTTGAATCTTAAAATAACAAATTTTAATCATGTATATCTACAGAATGTCCCCCAAAACACGTTAATTTTGATTAAATCAGTTTTATAAAACGAACTCAAGATATCATAAATCAGGATGCCTGACCAGTTTTTGAAAACTGATATAATCTCAGACTTGAGACCTAAGTTTAAATATCGAAAAACCAGCTACTCGTTCATTATCATTCACCAATAACAAAAACAGGGAGAAAATGAAGTTTTTATGTGAATCAACTGCTCAGACATTCTCATTTACATCTTTAGTTAGGTTTAATAAACTGATTTAATTAAATGTGTTTGGAGATATTCTGTAGATATATATCCATGAATTCTGCTTTTTTGAGATTCAAGTCTTATGAATATCAAAAAACGAGTATCCCGATTTTCAACATTCGCCAATATTAAAATACAAGTTGAAAGTGCAGTTTTTATGTGAATCCACTGCACAGGCATCCTCATTTATGATATGTTTAGTTCGTTTTAGAAAACGTATTTACTCAAATGGGTTTTAAAGATATTCTGTAGATATACATCCATCAAATCTACTTTTTTGAGATTCAAGTATTAATATCGAAACACGATTTTCAACATTCGCCAAGATAAAAAAAAAACCAAGTTGAAAATGCAGTTTTATGTGAATTCTCATTTATGATATGGAAAAATGAGCTGTTTGATTACAAACGTAGGTCGTTTTTCGATATTCACCAAAATTCACAAAAGTCGAGCTAACTTCACAGTGTTTGTATGTTTGTTGTTGTTGACAATTTGATAAAAACACCAGTGACGTGTTACTTCAGAAAACCTGATGTACGAGTACAGATCAGCCACAAAAAACTCTGCATGATATATTACTGTCTGCATTAACCGGTTGGTGCAAAAAAGTAGAACATTTCTATGGTGACACTCCCGTCCGTCGGTCCGTCCATCCGTCTGGACTTTCTAGGGACTAAAGTCAATACTCGATTGACTTTAAATTAATACACAGTGTTTAAGACCATGAGACGAAGATTCAACGATTTCCGATAATTACTTTCTGGGTTATGGCCCATGATCAATTTGAAAAATCTTGTGGACGACCTAGAGGCCAAAGTTAATATCCGATTGACTTTACATTTATATTTTCATGTGTTGTAAATGTTTTCATTACTGACCATAGAAAAAATATCCGATAACGCTTGTTGACCCCGCGGACGAATTGGCTGCTGTGGGCGTATGTTTAGTTGCCTGGCAACCTATTTTTTCTATTTATGTTGTTATGGTGATAATATTTTTTTATGGTGATAATAATCTGTTGTTGTGGTGATAATAAACTGTTGTTGTTATGGGGATAATCTGTTATTATGATAATAAACCGTTGTTATGGTCATAATCCGTTGTTATGGTCATAATCTGTTGTTATGGTCATAATCCGTTATTATGGTGATTATAACTATTATGGTGATAATAAGTATTATGGTGATGTTTGCTTTCTATTTACACCAGGATTGTTGATGCTTTGATAATAGCTGATAAATGTGAAACATTCACATTTCTCGGTAAAAATAAGTAAGTATATTTATATTTTATGTATTTTCCTGAATGAAAAGGTATTTGAAGGTTCGATGAGTCATTTGCATTTTCGCTGAAATGTTATTTCACATGTACATATGTTAGCCAGGGATGGTAAAGCATAGCTGTTGACAGATTCCTTTGGTAATGTTTTTAATGCAAACAAAGATTAGATAGATTTCTCCACCTTTCTCCTTTTCGCCATTTTGCATGCAATCTTTGTTGACTTTTTGGTGTATAATTGAAGAAAAGGGTTTGAATATACATTTTCTGTCAGGTTTTGGTGAATATTCATGATTTTGAGGAGGAAGGATACAAAAGTTAAAAGGTTGGTTAGGTTGAGATGTAGGGCGGAAAATTGCATGTTTACTTGTCTCTACTTCCAGCATGTGTATCTCAAGTTTTCCATGGTGAACCTCATACGTGCTTTTGGGCAAGAGGTTGTCACATGTTGCTCCATCTGTGGTAGAAGGCGTTCTACACAACAAAAAGTTAGGGCAGGTCTAAGAGACGAGAATTAACATTAAAGTCAATGGGGAAATCATTGGTGATCTGTGGTCATGTCCGCCTTCCTTAGTTAGTCCTGTTAGTAGAGAAAAGTAGGACGTTAAATCCCATGTCCTTGTCTTTAGCAGCTGATTTGTTTTCAGATTTGCTTGTCTCTAGATTTTAGTTTTGAGCGTCGTTTATATAAAATACATAAAAATGTGAAAAGAAGGAAATCCCTAAATAAGGCTCCTGACGTTTATAACTTCATTGTCATTAAATAATATATGCAATTTGTTGATGGTGGAAAATATTTTTCAGCAAACCTCGACATCTACGTGAATGTATAGGCGATATGGTGGCGTATAAGAAACTGGATGATACAATCTTTCAGCGAATAATGTGGTCGACAGAACCAGAGTTACAAGGTGCCAGAGATCTGATTGATAGAATCCAGAAACGTCAGTTGTACAAATGTGTTGGCTCAACGCATTTGAATGAGGTGGGACAAATAGCTTGATGTCAGATTTCTGGAAGCTACTGGTTTTTGTTTTTTAGGCCCACATTTTCATGTGAACTTGTATTGTCGTCGCAACTGTCCGCCCGTTCACATTTAATCTTCTTTCGGGAATCTGTGAGTATTAAAACCTGATCAAATCAATACTTCGTAATTAGGTATCCATTAATCAGTTTGTTTTATTTTGAGGCCAAGTGGTCTATATCATATAGGATGCATCTTCAATAGAAGGCTTGATCTCGCTTTAACTACGTAATACCCTGCATATTTAGGCACTAATTTCGATTGGGCACAAGCCCAGCTTGTGAGCCTATCCGAGTCCTCGATCGTCGCGAATACCAAGTCTCGCGTTTTTAAGCTAAAATGTCTACATGTGATAATCGAGTTGCAAAGTTCAAGATTCGTTCAATGTCATGGTTTCCGTGGAGGCCACTATGTCACAACCTCTGATTGGACATACTGTTTACGTGTCAGTAGATAATGTAGCTATAAGTTCGGGAATTGTGAAGTAATCTAGCAACGGCCAGATGTTGTAAAACTCGCAGTCGTTGCTTCAGGAACATGTATAGGATGTTAGTATTCGTATTACCCTTATCAACCTTGATCATTTTCATCATTACAATACTTTAATTAAGTTAGTTTTCCTTCAGAGTTATTAGAAGGGTGTCTCTGGCTGGTCAGCATTAACCAAGTATTGTTTTTTACATGTATATATTGTCTCGTTATACGCTTAGTCGAACCATCGCTCAGAAATTGTGCAGAACGTGAAGTTAGCTTGTGGTTCGTTATTCAGTTAGACAGACAGCCTGTTAGAATCTTTTCCCCGAGACTTTGAAGTGTTATAAACCAATTAGGCTCATAGAAAATAACCCACAGCCGGCGTATTCCCTATAAAAGCGCCTTTATTATATTACTAATTCCATATCTGGGGAGGGAATAACGAACCACAAGCTAACTTCACGTCGCTAAATTCCATTCCATAGGATTGTGACCTGTATATTCCAGTCCAATTACTATATGCCATTGAAACAATTTGGCATGTACCGAACCGTAACTTCATGGATTATGACCTTTGACTGTACGAAAAATAACGTCTGTAGCTTGTGGACACTCCAGAAGTCACAATATTCCCCGATTTTGATGAAACTTTAAATGTATGTTTATAAACCAAGGATCTTGATTTCTTTTGATATTGGTACAGACCAGACCGTTACTTCCTTGATCTCTTGCAATATGTATCCGTATATTGCATGGCAACCAATTGGTGTTTTCTTCGTCATAGATCACTACTGGGCTAATTGACTTCTCACAAACATCATGTTTTACAGTACTACATTTATCTCATCACATTTTATACGCCCACATTTTCATGTGGATGTAATATGCCGTCGCCCATGTTCGTCCTTCCGTTCGGATTTTGTTTGTCGACACACAAACTCTAAGAAATCTGTTCAGATAGTTTTAATAAACAATACAATTATAATATTTGTGTGAGCATTACACGTTTTTTTGACAGGAAGGCGGGATGAAAGTGTTAGAGCAGAAGAAAGTCATAGAACAAATCGCTAAATTAGATGATGAATTAAAACCTGAATTTCTCACATTATCGGTTAGTTTATTTATGGTTTTATCAATGTATTTATATTTATGTGATGAAATATTTTTTTTAAAGTTATTCCTGAAGATGTCTTGCTTGCGTAGTAGTCAGCATAAATATAAATAAATAGTTTAAAAAAATTATAATCGTAAATTATATAAAGGTTTAAATTACATTGAATTTGCAGTTAATAGAAATATTTCGAATACAATTGAGTTAAAATACAGAAAGTAATATGGTTAGCGATAGTAATAATTCACGCCACCTTCGGAGGGGAATTTCAAATTGATCAGCTTTGTAAGAATGTCTTGTGTCGAGTGGACGTTAAACCCCATTTCTCTCTCTCTCTCTCTGTGTAAGAATGTCGTTCGTTTGAATACTTCGAATGCGCTTCCGACATACTGTATTAGCTGTCGAATGCAGCTCGAATGTAGTTGGAACACAGTAGGAATATTGAGAAAGCAATCTGAATATTTTTTTGTTAACAATATTTTTATTCAAGATGTCTGAATGGGATTGGGGAACATGTTTAGCCTATGTATATAGTATAGAATATATACCTAATATTAATATAAAAGAACTCATGGGTGTATATATACTCAGCCAAATTAAAAACTTGACACTGATGAATTTAAACAAAAAAATTTTCTGGTAAGTCAAATAAATTTCTAACGATAGTACGTAGTAAGAAGCCTTTAATTTCATAAAATTGTAAAGTCACGTGGATCATCTGACTTTTGAGCATATAAAGATGAAAAACCTGACAAACACGCGCAAACACAAACTCGTGAGGTCAATCGATGCAAGTTTGCTTAAACTGAACACGCACACGTAACTTGAACTGGAAAAACAAACTAAAATTGTTATTTTCATCTTTGTTAGAAAATGCCGCGCCTTTTAAATGTAGAACGTCTACGTGCTATAGGTAGGCTCTATGCTGGTCAATCTGTGGTCACTGTTGCAAGAGCCTTTAATTGTTCATGCCAGACAATAATTAATCTTAAAATGAGAGTGCTTCAAACTGGAACTATTTTCGACCGCCCAAGGGCGGGAGCGCCACGTGTGACGTCACTCCAGGAAGATCAAGCAATACGATTACGTCATCTTAGAAACAGATTTGTCACTGCAACCTCCACAAGTAGAGATATGTTTGGTGGAAGGGTAACTGCACAAACTGTTCGAAATCGCTTGCAGGCTGCTGGCCCTATAATGGACCAATATTGACACCTCTTCATCGCCGTAACCGACTTGTGTGGGCCACAAGACACATAAGATTTACTCAAAGACAGTGAAATTCGGTTGTCTTTAGTGACGAATCTCGATTCACTTTGAGATTTGCCGATGGCAGGGAACTAGTGTACCGCAGACGAGATGAACGTTACGCTCAATTATGCGTCAGAGAAGTTGATCGATTTGGTGGCGGCAGCGTCATGGTTTGGGGTTCTTTTTGTGCACATGGACGTTCTCCTCTTGTTGTTGTCCAGGGGAACTTAAATGCTGTCCAGTACAAGGATCAGATTTTACAACCTGTTCTTCTTCCGTTTATGCAGAGACATGACCCTGGACTAACGTTTCAACAAGACAATGCTCGACCCCATACAGCAATTGCTACCTAGAATTTTTTTAAGAAATGCCGGTGTCCAAGTCCTGGATTGGCCGTCGCTTAGCCCCGACCTTAATCCTATTGAACACATCTGGGACGAACTGGGTCGACGTGTTCGTCAGCAAGTGAATCCACCACTGACGTTGCAGGACCTTCAACATGCTCTTGCTGAGCAGTGGCGACGTCTTCCTCGGGTAGTGTTTACTAATGTTCTGAGATCCATGAGAAGACGTTGTGTGGCAGTACGAGACGTCAGAGGAAGCCACATTCGTTACTAAACACTTTATTCCGATTGTTCTCCAAGTCTGTGAATTTCAGTTTGGGGGGTACTGTGACATCACGAACGTTATCAATGTCAAGGACTTTCGGCGAGACGTATTCTTGCTTTCTGTTGATGTCAAGGTCGCCTGTGCACAACATAACACTAAAATAGTTGCCTTAAACCAAATATTAAAAATCTAGTCCCAAAAATCCCCCTTGTCAAGTTTTTAATTTGGCTGAGTATATGTTACAGTCGATCTGTCAAATCAGCCAAATGTAGCCAAATGACTAAAATAAGTGGTCAAATGCCCAATGTGTTTAAACGAACATGCCATACACAGGATTCATAATAAGTCTAAACAATTAGCAGACATTACAAATTGGATATAGCTTATGCAAATATTTTATTTATATAATATAAGTACTATTAACAATTGTCCTTACTTGTATAATCATGATATCTTATTAAACAATGACAATTATATAATGCATGTAACAGAATTAGTTAATAAAACTTCATAACTTTAAACGTCTGAAAGAAAGTACCTTTTGGGGATATGTCGATAAAGACGAAAGTGTGTTAACATCATATTCAGCACATAACTTTTTTTTTATTATTATTTTATTTATCACAGTTAAAATATAAAACAAAAACTTAATGATACAATCAACGACTAAAAGCCTAAAAATATTACATATAATAATAAAATAAATATATGATTATGATATTCTACTAATTAAATTTCACGAGGATTTTATCATCAAAAATTTCTATATATGGATTTAATTGATATAAACGTTGAAACTTGTATAACAATCCATGATGTTTCATATAAATATAAACATTATTCATATGAGATTGTTCTGGAAACACTTGCATCTCTTGTTCTTGCATTTAGAGGTTCCTGAACAGTTGCGCTTTAGAAATCCGTGTACATCACTCTGCGATTTCATATCAAATTCATAACGAAGAGACACAGTGATGGATGTGTTAATGTCAGACATATTAAGAAGCTTTTCCGGACAAAGATCGAACTGGTTTCTAGAACATTTACCACGCAAAACACCGGCAGGACACTCAACAGAATATTGTTCACTGTTGTCAACAATCACACGAATGAAGTCCTAGGATCGCCACCGCCTTGATCTACTGATGGAATAGACACTGTTACATTTGTCACCAATACTTCCAGCTTTCATGGCTAGCTTATTTCTCTGCGCCATTCTTTCTGCTAGTCCGGCAAAACTATGGCTGAACCTGGAAATTGTATACAAATTGTTTTATAATTGCTTTTAGTAGCCTAGGGTGTCCTTTTTCAGAATCTGCCGGGTGAACCTGGTGTTTCAAGATATTTATTCAGTGTACAATGGCAAATCAAAGCACATGTTCATGGATCTATCAATCAAGATGGCAGACCTGACCTTAAGGTGACCTCCTACAAAGATTCTTACCAAAGACTTCCAATCAAGGGAAGTAACCTACATGTACATATAAGCAAGGGTACAGACCACAAATATACTATTCAAAAAAAGTAGGGGATATTTGATTTTTAAGTGTTATTAAAGTCACCTAATGAAACTGACGAAGAAACAAATTACAAAATGAAATGAAGTTCACATTCATCGATTTATTCCAAATGATCGTTAGACTAAGTAAGGCACAGACTGACCATTATAAGGGTAAAATGATACCCGGGGTCAAACAGCAAAGTTACCACAGCATCACAACCAAGTCAGTAACGGGTAAATCCTCCTCTGTTTGCCAAACAAGCATTGATCCGACGTGGCATACTCCTAATGAGACGTCTAAGGTCATTTTGGTCCAGATTGTCCCATTCCTGTTGCAACGCAGCAGCAAGTTCTTGGACATTGGCAGGACGTTGTTGACGTTGACGTAACCTCTGTCCAAGCATGTCCCAGACATGCTCGATGGGGGAGAGGTCGGGACTCAGTGCTGGCCAAGGTAATGTGGTGATGTTCTGTTGTTGGAGGTAACCTGTAACGATCCTGGCCCTGTGACATCTTGCGTTGTCATCCTGGAAGATGAAACGGCGGCCATGACGTCGTGCGAACGGCACAACATGGACTGCCAAGATGTTGTCCCGGTAGTACTGGCCTGTAACACGCCCTGCAACAACATGTAAAGCTGTTCTTCCAGCAACAGTGATGCCTCCCCACACCATAACAGAACCACCCCCAAATCGATCATGTCTGATGACGTTAACGTCTTGGAAGCGCTCGTTTCGACGACGCCACACCCTCCTACGTCTGTCCAAAAAATCAACAGTGAACCTTGACTCATCTGAAAACATCACATTGCTCCAGCGTCGATTATCCAAGTGTTGACGATCCCTACACCAACGACGTCTTGCCTGAATGTGATGATCTCTCAAACAAGGGATCACGCGAGGACGTCGGGCGCGAAGGTGACCCCTATGCAGTCGATTCCGAATCGTCTGGCCACTCATTCTCACACCAGTGTCTGTTTGAAGACGAGCGCTGATCTGATTTGCTGTGATGACACGATTTCTCAAGGCCAAGGTACGGATAAATCGATCCTGGGCTTGAGTTGTCGCCCTTGGTCGACCTGAGCGTGGTCTGTCCTGTACAGATTGTGTATCACGGTATCTGGACCATAGCCTGCTTATGACAGACTGAGAAACATTCATCGTCCGCGCCACAACCGCCTGTGTTGTGCCGATCTGTAGCATGCCAAGGGCACGTAACCTTTCATTTTGGGTAAGCCGACGCATATCAAAATTTGTTTTCTGGTCACTAAAACAATTAAACTGATGTTTCCACCCTGGAATTCAATGCCACAATGACTGTAACATTCAAAGTCAGAGTCGTGCAAATCTTGGGTTGGACCCCCATGATGATCCCAAGCATCACCTGCATTCCATGCGGTAGCTATTGGTGCGTTTGGGCGTCACATGTAACTGGAAATGTTTCTTCTGTTAGGTTCTATAGTGACTTTTTTCGTAGTCATTTGCATATTTTAGTATTATCCCCCAAAATCAAATATCCCCTACTTTTTTTGAATAGTATATCATACTTAACACCTGGGTAACCCTTGAGCCTTTTGAGAAATTCAAGATGGCGTCCAAGACGGCATTCATTTCAAATTATCCCCTATAACCCCCATAGTATTTTGTCTAGGATGATAATTTTGGTGTCTAACCGTATGTTTCTGGGGTCAAGGAATACACTGAAATCATTTAGTATGTTGTGGGGTGATTAGATGATAGTAAAATCCAAAATGCCAGACAATATGGCCCCTGAACTCGATAGCGGCAATTGGGGGCGATTATTTCACCAAACCAACCTATATCTCGAGACAAACTATATCTTTCTGGGCATAGGAGCATATGGGTGATATGATAATGTAAGCTTTTAAATGTATTCGGACCCTGGATCTGATCCATGTGGCAAATTACACCAATGTCACGAATGAAAATACGCTAACTATTTACTTGGAAAACCAATCTATTCAATTATGACAATAAACAATAAGAGAACTAAATACCTGTGGAAGAAATGAAGAATAGGCTAATACAAAATAGGACTAGTATTTTATTTAGGGAAATGGCGGCTTGTAAAAGTGACCGTTACAACCTCACTCATTGAAGATTCTAGTAAATGAGTTATCTCGCTTTAAGGATAAGACCACAATTAGTTCAATAGCACTAATAATACTCTGTAAATAATAATGGCTTAATCTTAAAAATTAATACTCCGATATTGCATAGCAAACCCCAACAATAACACCACATACATCTCTATGGGGGGGGGGGGGCAGGGCCACATGGGACGGCCCTGAAAAGGTAATACACAGTTTAATCATTTCGTCGTGTGTCTGGTTGAAACCTGCGAGAGCACCAGCGCAACATACTGTACATTCTAAGCCATCCTTAGAGCAGTTACAAGCAAGCGTACTACTTGGGTTGCCACTCTTGGATCCACATCGGTTGAGCCACAGCAATTTAGTGTCTTTAATCCAGCAATACAGTTCCGGATCTTCCAGTGAACGCCACACAATAACATGGTAGTGACATCTTATTAATTTCCCTGCAAATGCATCATTCGTTGGAGCAAGACAACATGGTTTAAGTGAGGATGATGACGATATATTCCAGTTTTGGATGCCTATAACCTCTAATCACCCCACAACATAATGAATAATTTCGGTGTATTGCTTGACCCCTGGAACATACGTTCACACACCGAAATTATCATCCTAGACTAAATACTATGGCGTGCTGTTTCAGGCAGCGATTTGCAAGAGCTCTGTCCATAACACGCTGACAAGAATCGCGTTACAATGAAAACACCAATCAAAGCAAGAACAACCGTTGACATTGGTCAAACTACGGAGAAACACATGCCAGTTATCATTGAAATCCTGCCAGCTCATCCGCTTACTCCATATGACACGGTTACATGCTGCTACGTTTGGGGGAATGGAACAGCTTTAGAAGTGGCGATAGCTCGATTGTATTCTCTCTCACTCGTTGGAGTAGTAGAATAAGTGCTTACACAGGCCACTGTATTAATGTGAGATTGTTATGGACAGAGTTCTAGCAAATCGATGCCTGAAACACGCTTGAGGGAATGGGCATCCAAAACTGGAAATGTGTCGTCATCATCCCCACCCAAACCATTTAGTTTTGCTCAATGAATGATGCATTTGCAGGGAACGTAAAAAGAGCTCATCACCGAGCTATTGTGTGGTGTGCACTGGAAGATGGTAATCCGTCGGAACTTGATCCGGAACCGTATTGCTGGGTGAAGGATACTAAATTGGGAACATTACAACCGGCCAACTTGCACCGGGGTCTGCCATGTGGTTCATCAGATGCAGATGCAAGAGTGGCACCCCATGCAGTACGCTTGCTTGTAGATGCACAAGGGGTGGCTTAGAATATATAGTATTTTGCTGTCGTAGGTTGTAGCCAGAAACACGACCAAAGGATTAAACTGAATATTAATTGCTTAGTTTTGTATGGGTTATTTTCGTGTTTTGTGGGTAGAATTTGTTTTTTTCAATGTTCAAAAAACAGCTTGTGCCCCCCTTTTCAGGGCCGGCCCATGTGGCCCTGAATCCATTATAGGCATGTATGTGGTATTGTCGTATCACCCATATACTCCTTTATCCAGAAATATATAGTTTGTCAATACTAAAAAGAGCAGAGTAAGGCGACTGCTGGATAGCTAGAGGTTTTCTTAAATTGAACAAATTTTATGCCAGTTGTCCAATCAGAGATGTTGTTTTCCCTCATCCAAGCACTCGTTATGTCCTTGATGTCCGAGTTTGCTCTTTCAACATCGCCTTGACTCTGTGGATTGCGTGGTTTACCATGTACAATAATAAGGACTGTCCACTGGATAACTGAGGGACACCAAACAAGAGAAAAATGTCTATCAACTTCAGCTGCAGCTCTTTTGGATGTAAGGGAACGAAGGACACAGAACTTTGTCAGGTGATCTTGATACACTAAAATCCACCTCTACGCACCTTGGGGAAAGGATTGCATATCAACCAGGTCAACTTGACAGCGTGAAGTAAAATCTTTGGACAAAATGGGCCGGAAAACAACAAGATACAACAAAACAATTGCGACCTTCATGACCGGTTACGACGTGGGCTCTGTGGATGATGGCATAGGTCTCTTCAATGTGAACGTAATACAAACGCTGCTCAAGTGGAAGTTTGACGCTTCTTGATAAGTCTCTCATAATCGCCACACTGTAAAATGTCGTACTTGATCAATAGGTAATAACGTTGGTGAGTCTTCTTTATTCGGTTACTGGCCAGCTGCTTGACTTCTTCTATGATGGTGTAATACTGGTTCTTTGGAATAAGGACCTTCTTCAAGACTTCATATTTATCAAACAACGCTTGCTTAAACCTCTCTTCTGTTTTCGTATCAATTGCAGATGTGGTCTAAATGAAATGAAATGAAATGGGATTTAACGTCCTACTGTTCTGCTCCTATACTGGGCTAATGAAGACGGGCATATTTTTAAATAATTACTAGTCTTAATCCATATAACTGACTGAAGTGACGAGTGATAACAGATACACGGGCAAATTTCTGCTCACTAACAATTCCTTCGAAGACCAAAAGTTGTTATGTCAGACTGTGAGAGGATATCTGACAATCCCAAAAAGTAATTGACTGTCATTGGATAAGAGAAAAATAGAAATAGTCCATACATTCCCTTGTTTTTATTCATTCTATACTTAATAAAAACATTGTAATGCACGGACTTCTTCTATATTTTTTCGTTTTCTCTTTTCTAGTGACAGTCAATTTCACGCATATCGGATTGTAACTTCCTGGATTATGGGACCTGATTGTACGAAAATTCCCTTCTTTATTGAGCTTGTTCTTTGTCTATCTCTTGCAAAATATGGTCGTATCTTGCTTGGCAACCGCTTGTTGAAAGACATATATGATATTATAAAGATTATAAATCTTAAATACTGTTATTTAAATATTAATTATTGATTGTAATAGAATATAATATTATTATGCTTGACCAGTATTTAATTTGTACATGTAGGCTTTCATAGGCCATCAAGTGCGGTTTGATTACTGTCCACATATCGTCCAAAGTCTGGTTGCAAGGTGTCTCGATTGCTGTACAAATTCGCATCGAATGCAGCCAGAGCGCTTCTCGAATGGGAGCCGAATATGTTTCGAACGTCCACGAATTCTAACAGAACGCACCTTGGATACTTTGAATGTACTTCAAATGTACATGGAATGTAATATGAATAGATTCCGCCAGCAATCCATGTGTATTCCGGCTCATTTGAGGTGCATTCTGGAAATTCTGGCATGTTTTGAACCATTTTCAATAAAAGGCTTGATCTCGCCTTAATTCCATACATCTTATCAAGGTCTTCACGTAAATACCTTGGATATTTCGACACTAATTTCGATTGGGTATTCACCCAGCTTGGGAGCCTGTCAGATTCCTCGTTCATCGCGAATACCAAGTCTCGCGCTTTCCGGCTAAAATGTCTACCTGTAATAATCGAGTTGCAAATTTCAAAGTTCGTTCAATGTCAAGGCTTCTGTGGAGTCGCTATATTTGATTTGAGCGTGTTTGTGTTACAACCTCTGATTGAACGCTACTGTTCACGTGTGTGCTGTAAATGGTGATAACGTAGATATAAGTTCGGGAATTGTAAAGTTGATAATGAATAAATGAATAATAAATATTACATAAACCGTTATGACCAAAATGTTTGGCCATTATAAACAAAGAGATACAAAGAATATAATATGTGACAGCTCGTGGGACTTTTCTGACGACTTCATTAGCGGACAACCAATCATATTTAATATAGGCCCTATTGATAACATTCAAACATCATATGCTTCATTATTTCAGCGTGTTCATTATGACTATTGTATGCAAAATGAAGACCCAGTTAAACATACCCGATTTTACTTGAAAGACAGCCCTAATGAATGTATAGAACTCTGTTCAGAACAGGTAGGAATTATTGATAATTTGATTAATTGAACTCTTCTGTAGTAAAATAGTACTGCCAGCCCTGATGTAAATATTTATAACCCCGATGTAAAACAACATTTTACTAAGATTTTAGCCCCTTATACAGACGTATATCTGTCTACTACATCGTTAAGACTGTTCATCACGTACATTTTGCATACCGATAGCCCATTGGCCAATCACGCTATTTTACCGAGATTTCGTCTAATAGTTTGGATGCAGGTGTGGCCCCAGGCAGTGTAAGCTTACTCTTCCGGACACCTGTTACCACTGTTTGTCGTGTATTTTGTACTCGGTGAACAGTCCGTATGCTGATTACACTATTTTGCCTATACGTTTTTTTTTTGTTTTTTTAGGACTTCGAATTTTGTCTAATGGTTTGGATTGTTCGTACTTGGGTTTTATTTTATTTTTATAATAATATATATAACGTTTGTATATGGGGCTAAAATGTTGTTTTACATCGGGGAAAAACGCATGAGGTTAGGCAGTCAGTCCCACTTCTTGTAATATAGAAACCCAGTATTGAGATCATGCATTAGTTTGTATCAGAGTTTATTCTATTACCTCACTTCTATTCCGGGGGGGCGGGGTTAACTTGTCGGCTTTATATCATAAGTCAAGCGGAGTCCAAATTCTGGGTTCGTTTCACCAATCGTTTGGATTTTCCCACTTCTAAAAGACCTCTACCTCAAGTGAATTATTGAAATGAACTGGTATAGTTCGAGAGGACATTAAATCCAATTTCTCTCTCACTTAAAAAAGTCAGCAAATTTGTTATTTAATTATGTATCTATATATGTATTTATTTGTCAGTGATATGAGTTTACAATGAAGTTTATAAAGGGGGAGGGAGATTATATATTTTATATTGTTATCTATGTATATATAAATTACAATGCATACTATTTATATCTTTATATATGTTTTGGCTATAGCAAACTTTTTGCTTCGCCTGTAATTAACGTTCTAACCAGAAGGCCCCAGACTCGACCCTGATGTTCAATGAACATAGGCCATCCCCTTGTGATTGGCGGAAGACGGGGCTATCTGGTAAAGAACAGCGTCTGGTCGTTTGGATGCGAGGAACACCCGATGTCCCGTCTACACATCGGCGTTACATAAAAGAAACCTTTAAATTTGGCATTCGATAAAGAGTACTTGGAATGGCTGCTGTCCAACAAAAATTCACTTCCAACGCACCACATGACGTATTCCAATCTTTATTAGCCCAGTTGGTGCAGATCTAGAAATTCTATTTTATTTTATTTCATTTCATGTCCATGATTGTTTTCAGGGCCCTCACATGCTTCCAAAGCATTTTCAAGTAAACATGATGCGTATCTTCTGCAAGAAAGATAATCCAAAAATCATTAAGGCTGCCAAAACAGCTTTTGAAAAATGGTGTGTTGATAATGGATTGAAGTCTGAGGTAGATGTTTATTGTTTTGTATTAAAGGGGCTGTTCCGATATGAAATTTAAGCGCCAAAATATAAAGGAATGTTTTTTACCTTGTTTCAAAATTTCAGCTCAAAATATTGAGTCGTTTGGACGTGAATGTCAAAACTGCTTATCCGGACACGTAACCCTTTTAAGATTTCGGGTCAATTTTTTTCCGTTGGGTGACCTGATAATCGATTCCCGTTCCTTTAGAGGTCTCTACAATGAATGACCAATGTACTGTACTTGATAACGAAAGGTAAATTTCACCTACACACTTTTTTTATAAAATAAAAGTCTGGTTTCATCCAGTCACCGCATAATACAACTTGGGACACCGATCTTCATTTACAGATGAAGACTGACGGGTTTCAGTTGTTTGAAAACGTATCACATATGGTGAGTTACTGTCTGTTCCAGGTGATACTACGACTCGAAAATTGCTTGCCATTTCTTCTATTTTTAATTAAAATGGCTAAAACTTTGTGAAATACCTGGAATGGTCACCCCATTGCTTTCTGTCTTGTGAGAACTAAGTTCAGACCAAGCTATACAGCTTTTCTCCTTTGAAATATCATGGTTTGTTGACATCTTGATACTAAAAACAGCCATGTTTGACCTATTTATCTGGAAGAACCTAAGTGGACAAGGGGTGCTGAGTTGACTTTAAGTTCTTTCGCCCTAATTGGATATTTAGTTGGTTGTTTCGGTCCCATAGAATATAACTCTTTTGAAAGAGATATTTACTGGATCCAAGACCACGTTTGTTTGTCCCACTAACTTGACAATTTAATTGCCCTCCGTCCGATGGTTATTACTTTATGATTTCGATATAAGCTACATGGAAATTGTATTTGTAACCCGCTATTAAAATGTGATGAAATTTTCGAAGGCGGCTGCAGGATATACCCCAAAATCTATGGGTTATGGCGATTTGCATTGACACATTCCTTGATTATCGCGTATTTTCTATCTTGAAATTGTACATAACAATATTCCATTATTCAAGGGATTATATTTTCCTAAGATTCGTTTGCTGTTTTTTTTTCTTTTCTACTACAACACCAGAAACAAATCTTTTGTGCCTAAATCTAAGGATCTATTTTGAAAGGAATACCAGAATTTGCTCTCAAATAGAGCTATAAAGTCTCAGAAAACAAAACTCTGAATCATTTTAACCGATACATTTATTCAAATTTAAATACTGTCAAATATTTTACACCAAATTACCTATTTCGGAAAGTTTCCATGGTTCTGACATGTACCGTCTTTTCAAAATAGCTTTTATCCACTCTAAATTATCCAATAAGCATTTTTTTGCGAAATAAGCAAGGTCAAACAGAAAAAAAATGTCAATCCGAATAAAAACAATATTGTTTCACACAAGCTTCAAAGTGTGAAACCCTAATAAGTATTATTGTCGCGAAACAAACCGGCGAATTCTCCTTCACTAGACATTTCTAACCGAATGCACCAAATTTGTAAAGTACCTGTCTACCCTCATGCGAAATGCAAGTGTTCCATTTAACGCACGCGTAGTCTTAATGTTTATGTTTTGAGAAAGTGACAATGTCTAAATATGTGAAATTTTCAAGAGAATACTGGATTTTATGGGACGTCTAGTCATTTATTCTAAGGGAAGAAATCAAAGGGATGAAAATTCCAGATATGTCACAAAGTTTTAGCCATTTTAATTAAAAAATGAAGAAATGGCAAGCAAATTTAGAGTCGGAGTATCACCTGGAACAGACAGTAGTTGCTCGGGCCTAAGGAAGGGGATTTCAAGGGATTTTAACGCAAAATTAAGCAGTTTTATTCTTCAAAATATAATCGTCATCGTTCTTAGTGTTTAACGTCCGCTTCCACCGAGGCTGATATCGCAGACAAGTTGCATTATTTTCATTTTTTATGATCTTAGCGCACGCGCAGGTTTCTTTGCTGTGGGAGGAATCCGGAGCACCCGGAGTAAACCCACGAGGTTGAGAAGGCACCCCCTATCTCCAGTCCACATACGCTCACACCAGGTATGAAAACACGACCGCGAGTCAGAGGTGACCGGCCAGCGGGAGCTCGAAGCGTGACACTCTAGACCACTAGGACACCCTACCCCCCCCCCCCCCCAAAAAAAAAATATATATTATCGGGATTGACCCTTTAAATATTGATGTCGCTATCTGGGCTAAATTCTCTCGATGGACGAATCTTTAACTCAAATCTGCATGATTCTGATCATCTCAGTTGCAAAGAATTTACATGAAGAAAAACGATCCTTTATTCTGTAATTATTTGTATATGTGACAAAACCTACGGTGGCTCAGTGAGTGAGGCTCAGAAGGGCCCAGGGGTCTATCCCGGTGGTAGCCAAGAAACCTCCCCCAGAATGTGCTGCCTTGGTTTCATTTTGTTTGTGGTACAGGAAGATAAAGCCTGCAATGTTTTTACAAATTTTAATTTGTTTTATTTTTCAGACCGTCAGAGGAGGTTTTATATTCAGGAAATCTCAATAAGGTATTATATACAAATAAATTTCAAATGCTCTAGATTATTTTATAATAACAAATTTTTCACATTTTATAATAACAAATTTTTGCAACATTTCATAATAAAAAAATCCGCCATTTTTTAAAAAGAATTCACAATCACTTCATAATAAAAATTGTACATATTTTCACATTTTTTAAAAAGAATTCACAATCACTTCATAATAAAAATTGTACATATTTTCACATTGTAAAATAACAATGTTCACATTGTAAAATAACAATGTTCACATTGTAAAATAACAATGTTCACATTGTAAAAAAACAATGTTCACATTGTAAAATAAAAATGTTCACATTGTAAAATAACAAAGGTTCACATTGTTTAATAACAATTCTGAAATTGTATATTAACAATTTTGAAATTGTATATTAACAATTTTGAAATTGTATATTAACAATTTTGAAATTGTATATTAACAATTTTGAAATGGTATATTAACAATTTTGAAATGGTATATTAACAATTTTGAAATTATATATTAACAATGTGTACTTTGTATAGTAACAATTTTTACTTTGTATAGTAACAATTTTTACATTGTATATTAACATTAGCCACATTGTATAATAACATTTATCATATTGTCACAACATATTATATCAATCTTCATTTTTAATAACAAATTTTCCTTTTAATAACCAATTTGATCATCATGTTAGAATAATACAACATTGCACACATTTTCACATTTACTTTTGAATTGAATAGGACATTTTCATAACTGTTCATGAAAGCAATTTTTCTCATCATAACAAGTTTGATCATCGTGTTAGAATAACAAAAAACACGTAAAATATATAAACTCTTACGAAAACAATGCGTGTTTTGATCGACGGTCCGAAACAAGTAACAATAAAAACTCTTACGAAAGGAATTACGTGGTGAGACCGAAAGTCCGAAACAATCACGTAATTATCTACTTGTGTGTGATCTACACAAGTTAATAAGAAGTGGAATCTGGTATTCTGGATAGGGTACAAGAACCAAGACCCCTGTATGTAAATGCACCCTACTTTTCTGTGCCATGGATGCCATGGATGCCATGATAGCGGCGTTTCTGTCTCTTTTTCATTGAATTCCAACTGCCAAGTGATCTTTTATCCTTGAATGACTTGACACTGTACCCCGTCATACCCGCTGACAAAGGGAAACCCAACAAGGACCTTATCTGACCCTATTAGATCATACATCAATTTATTTTACAATAATTGATGAAAGGTTTCGTGTTTTTCATTCTAGAAACACCGAAAAGAATAAAGAAAACAGATTTAAGGCAAGGGAAGATATGGACTTGCCACATTTTTGCGTTTTTTTAATCATATCTTGTATTTCTCTATAGGTTCTTTTACAGTTTTAGTATCTATTTATTGTATCACAGTTTTAGTATATATTGATTGTTTCACAGTTTTAGTATATATTTATTGTATCACAGTTGTAATATCTATTTATTGTATCACAGTTTTAGTATATATTTATTGTATCACAGTTGTAATATCTATTTATTGTATCACAGTTTTAGTATATATTTATTGTATTACAAATTATCACATAACGTATGGACATAAGGCACCTGTCACAGATTTTGTCAGGCACACAATTATTGCCACGTCTATATTATAATAAACGTTATGTTATAATTTATATTGGACAAAGACTGTGATACGTGTCTTATGTCCAGGCTTGGTTATAGTGTAAATATTGTGTTTTACGGTTCAATTCTTTGAAATACTAAATTTTGGGCAAATAATCAGTCAAAAATTACAAATATGAAAAAATGAGAGTCTTCCATTTTTGGGACTGGGGGTCTCCATTTTGGAATTTTAGATGGAGTTATTGTCCCTATCTCGTTAACTTTGTAACATTTTCATCACTCAACAGGTTAATTATAGTTGTGATATGTTATTATTATTATTTATTGGGTTAGTTTTAAAGGTTAACCTGATTGAAATCTCCAGACGGCCACATTTTTACTTTTATACGTTGTTATTGTCCCAGACTCCGATAACTTGAAAGTCATCCTTTAAAATGCTGTTTGAGTGGTGTATATTCGTTGTTCAGAATAGGTGCCTTAATTTATTTACATGTGAAATATATTATTATTTAAATTATTATTATTATTATTGATATTCACGGGTTAAAAAGTATTTTATATAAAAGGATGTTAAATGTGTTGAAAATTATTTTAATTTTTGAACCCAGAATTCTTCTTCTCCTTCAGTCCGAGTAGAATCAACATGAAACCACCTGGCATGAACGTTCTTCGGACAAATGTACATCAATTGACAGACTTTGATTCTTAATATGTTTTAATTCTAAGATGGCTGTGGCGATGTTGTCGGATCCTGGTTCATGTAATCATACTTTGATATTAATTATTTGTACGACATGCCAGACATGTCATTAGGCATATATTTAAAGCCCATAATCAACTCCCTCTCTCTCTCTCTCTCTCTCTCTCTCTCAGATGGTCATAATATTGAATGGATTAGAATACATCTGCTATTTGATAAGCCTCCGCTAGGAGGCCAAATTCAAAATGGGATCTAATTTTGGCGGGAAACGCACAATGTTTCCTAAAAAGGTATGTAATATATTGGAATGTGCTTTTTCGGTGTCGGTTATTTCATATATGAACATAAAAGCATGTTCCGACCAAAGATATTCCAGGTCGGCTTCATATCCATAATATTTGGCGAGCTATAACAATATTAGTAATGTGATAGTGTAATATGACCAATGTGTTTATTAACCTATAGTTCAATTCATGTAGATTTCTGTTATTTCAGGTGTTATTTTGCTTGGTCAAGAATCTATAAACAACTATCAGTCAAGGTCATAATATTATTACGGTACATTACTCTGCACAACTTCATCACTTACTGGCATATTTGATATGTACATGTTTGTGGGTACCTAACCCAAATAACCTGATGCCTTGAAAGACGAGTGAAGCACGACAAGTAAATAGATGTGCAAGAAATTATGTACGCGTTTGTTCTCCATAGAATGGAGTGTGCTGCGGTCTGTATGATGTCTAAGACGCGTGCGGGTGCTTTTCATTAAATGTGCAACTTGCTGGACTATACAACGTTACAGTTTGCATTACACTTACTGTTATACATTCATTGGCCAAAGTTTAGGATTTTCTTGTTAGGAAAATGTCAGCCATATTAGATTTTAGCAAATTTTACCGCTTTAACAACCTTAGATATATCTTCAAATGACCCCAGAAACATTAATTTATATGTTCATAATACACTTATAGGGTCTTAAACCAAAAGTTTAGGATTTTCTTGTACATTTTGGATTTTACTTATCTTTAACGCTTTAAGGGGCCAATTGACACTACTGGCTATATCTTCAAAGAAAGAATGATCCCAAAAGCTTTAATTTATATGGGCATAATAGATTTATAGGGTCTTAAAGAAGCAGTTTCGGACATTCATGTATATTGATTAGGCACATGTCGACCATCTTGGATTTTACCTCTGTCCAGTGCGCAAAATTTGGTAAATTTTTGTGATTTTACAAATTACACCTACTGAGCTACTGCCACAATCGACCGCTCCATTTCTTATTTGGGTAAATTTCCAATCCATGCTCCTTCAATATTAAAAATATACATGTCGTAAAACAATGACTTCCCCAAATTTTTGTGGCTAATTACCTTAAACATATTGGGCTTTAAGCCACGAATGACTTACAACATATTCTGTTCTGATTCGGAGCCACTGTGGCTCAGTGAGTAAGAGTCCAAACATGGTGTTGACCGAGAAAGCTCCTCCATGTCAGTATTGTAGAACGCAAGGGACGGCGTATATTTGTTTGAATGGGACAGAAAATCGAGGTCACGTGTACACATTGGTGGTGGCGCGCATGTAAAAGAGTCCTCGGCAGATGGAATTCGATATTATAATAGACTGCGTCGCTCTTCTAGCAAAATCCCGCTCATTAGCCCAGTCGGAGCAGACAAATTCAAGAATTTAAAAGAAGAATATATTAATACAAGTTTTTACCAACTATCCCCCCACCCCCACCCCGCTCCCCAAGTTTAATTTTGTTGCCTTTTGTTTTGAATTTATACAGCTTATCGTGCCATAATCCATTATTTAATAACATGTATAGATATTAATTTAGAATTTTAGAATATAATAGATATATCGCTTGACCTGTTAGCTGATAAACAGCAAATAAATATGGTGAGGTGTAATCAATAGAAAACTAGAGTACTGTTAAAGATACATTATGGGAGATAAGATAAAGAGATGGCAGTTCTCGCTATAATAGTTAATAACTAGATAGTGTAAAGGTAATTTGCTGAAAATTTCAGTGAAATTGATCCACTATGAGCCGAGAACGAAGCGGGTGAAATTTTTGCATAGTCTCGGTCATCATTACTAAAATCATTAATATAAACAGCATAGTCTCGAGTATCCACTTTTTAAAAATTTAATTATCAATGGCCGTTAGCGGCATATAGGAATCTAATCCAGCCAACATCAAAGTCTAGCCTTAACATTGAGAGTTGATTATGGTCTGGATAAGTTAATTAATGTCTAATTAATAATTTAGATAACATTTCAGGCCTAAAGAAAGACTTGTAATAAGCATATTTTGCTCTTGCATATTGTATGTTTAACTTTCATTTAGTGATCAGTTCGAAGAATTATCATTGTTAAGTTCATTGTTCATTTCTATTTTATAGCCCCCTTTATAATAATTGTAGATCTAGGATCTATACGGCTATATGTATATCAATAGCATTCACTAAGTGTTTTTAACTGAAATATTTCAATAAGGGTATTCTCTGACTGTTACCAAACAATGTATTACTATGTTTGGCTTTCCCTAAATACCGTTTAAAAATTCTATATCTGTTCTTGCCTTTTACTGTAGTTGTATGTCCTCTTTGTCTGTAACTGGCTTTGTTTTGCTCACGCCTATGTCTGTTTGAATGCCACTCATGTCTATATATGAAAAGCTGTATATGAAATGTGTCTCTCCCACAGGCCTGTACATGAACATCAGGTCTGCACCCCAGGGTATGATAAGGCCTGTGTGTATGACCATATGTCCCGCAGGCCTATACCTCACAGTATTTTAAGGCCTGTGCAGGCACGTGCATGTCTCTACATGTATGCTGAACAGACATGGCGTGCACCAAAGTTTAAGCTGCTTTTATAAAATACATTCACATAATAGCCCCTGTTTTCCCTTAAAGGACAATATTGGTGTCAGTCATCACATACAGCTGATTAAGGAAGGAATTAAAGGACAATATTGGTGTCAGTCCACTCGGCAAACCTCAACAGATTCCAGTACCCTACATCTAATCTCGGCTGTATGACAAAGTCGCCATTAGAACTGCTTTCAAGTTCCCGGATTACAATGGCGTTGTCCATGACGACGTATTTGAAGAATGTTTTATCTTACAAAATTTTCAAAGTTTGAAGCTGTTTTTCTTTCAAGTTTATCCGATTTTCTTTAGACAAGGACAAATTTGCACTGAAAATTCGACACACTCTTCGAACGAAGCAATTTTGAGAACTTCTTTCTAAACGCGGGCATGTTTCCCTTATAAGTAAACCGGTGCCGCATCGCAAATGTATAGGCCGAGGCTAGATGAAGGTTACCGGAATCTGCCGAGGTTTGCCGAGTGGGTGTCAGTCATCACATACAGCTGATTAAGGGAGGAATTACCAGTGAGAAGAAATTCGCCAGTGTATCTTTTATCGGTCGTTACTTCAGACAGTTATATGGAAAGATAACTCGTGTTTTCCTTTTGCTTTCGTAACTTCCGTTTCTTCAGTTGGGGAATGCTAATTGTAGACCGGTTGGGACAGTTCGGTAATTTCCGGGGTTCACAATGGCCGCTTTATATAAATGAGTATTTTGGGGATGATTGAATGTGCAAAAGACTCCGACAAACCGACCCATTTTTCCGAAACCACCGGCACACTCGGCAAAAAAATACATATTTTACTCATTATATAGCCATGAATTTCGATTCAACAATATACCCATTAATTTCATTTGACATATTACGTGCACCAAACGTGCACAAACACTAATATTTCCTGACAGCGCATAATGAACAATGTGCACTAAACTCCTACAACAAAAAAAGTAGGGGATATTCAGAAACAATACAAAACTGCGGAAATGCACTGCTGTTTTTATTAGAGGTAACCAGTGTATGTTAATAACAGGCCAATCGCCTACACATGAACATAAACAGTTCATATGGACGACTTATCTGACGGCCCCATTTCACTCGCAAAGAGATACACTGTCAAAAGTGAAAATGGACGTTTTTGATTTTTGTCTTAATAATGAGTTATTGCTCCACCAATCCTCAGACATTCAGCAATTGGTCGTGGCATGCTCCTGATCAACCGTCCAATCACGATTTAGGGCAATCTGACCCACTCCTCTTGCAGTGCCACGGCCAATTCGGTTGACGTTGACGTCGACGAACACGTCTCCCGATTGTGTCCCAGACATGCTCTATAGGGGAAAGGTCAGGACTCGTGGTTGGCCAAGGCATATTGATAATATGGTGACGCTGGAGGTAGACATTCACGACACGAGCGCGGTGGGCACGGGCATTATCATCTTGATAGATGAAACGTCGACCTGAACGTAGAGCAAAGGGCAGAACTATCGGTGCCAGGATATGGTCATGATAGTATACACCACTGACCCTTCCTTGAAAAATATGCAAGTCCGTTTTTGTTACATGATCGATTGGTCTTGAATAAGAGGACAGGTATAACAAAGTATAGGCATAGTCTTGATGACTGTCTTTATTCTCGCTCCATTACAGCGCGGCTCATATAATCACGTGACATACAGAATTACAGTAAACCTGCTATTATTTGATACCACTACAGTTTTGCCAGTCATGGGGATTCCTTCCCACACCATAACAGACCCACGCCCTAATCTGTCATGCTGTCTGACGTTAACGTTAGCATAACGCTCATTTACACGCCTCCGAACGCGAGTACGCCTATCGGTGAAATCTGAGAACAAAACACGAGCCCATCGACGATTACCCCCATTTCTACGCTGCCTACACCATTGACGCCTGTTTGCCATGTGCTGGCGAGGTAATGGAGGCACATCAGGTGGTCGTCTCCTATGCAAATGGGCTGCATGTAGCCCATTTCTAATCGTTTGGGGTGTAATTCGAGTTCCTATAACTTGGTACAAGTTTACAGAAAGCTGATTGGCCGTTTGTCTTCGATTTCGCGGGATCTGTGTACGAATGTATCGATACTGGGCTTGTGTAGTGGCTCTAGGACGACCTGAACGAGGTCTATCATCAACATTGTGTGTTTGTTGGTACCGGTTCCACAGTCTGCTGATCACAGACTGTGACACATTAAGCATGTTGGCTACTGCTCGCCGTGTAGAACCCATTTGAAGCATGCAAACAGCATGTAGACGTTCATCATGTTGAATACGTCTCATTGCAAATTAAACGTAACTCACTAAAGCAAAGATACGCTAAACCGTAAATCTTATGCAAGAACCGATAGGAAAGCAAGCATGGATAAGATAAACCAGCACGCGGCAGTTTTCATCAACCCTTCCTTGAAGTGTCAAATTTGACAATGAACCCTCCCACGTGTATGGCGCTATTGCGTGTCGCATGTGCTGCTCAGTGGTTCTGTTGGGGCTATAAGTTCTTCATCTGTGAACATACTCTCAAAGCATGTCAAGTGTCCATGACTATTTATATTATCACAACCTGCATAGGTATTTGCATTTCAATATCCCCTACTTTTTTTTTAAGAGTATTATTAACATTTACTTTCCATATGCACTTTGTTCTCTTTATTCATGATTTTCTGGGAATTGTATGATCGTGTCATGATGCCCTAAAATCAGGTACAGTTGGTTATTATAGGCTAATCGACATGTATATGCATGCAGCCTCTACTACTGTGTGTGAACTAGCTTTAACATAACATATTTTATTACACAATCATATTGAAAGAAATAAACTGTTAGGGTATGTCATGTCATATCATGTTTTTTCTGGGAAGTGTTGTACAGTAATTAAAAGTCTGTTCGAACTTGTTACATTATAGGCGGATTTCTGCAGTAGTCGAGGTTTAGAATAGGCACTACTTATTTTAATTTTATTATCAAAGCTGTTGACTTGTGCATGTAAGTATGGTTATAATTTCTATCACACGCATATTGAAACGTTGTCGTATATTGTTTTAACATTCCTCCGCCCACAATTGCTAAAGTTATAAACCGATGAAGCCATCTAATATTTGACAGATAAACAAAAGAAATAAATTATCATGATTTGAATAGTTCCCCTGAAAAGATGTCAATGTTCATTTCATTTAAATCGAGAATTGAAATAATGACCTCCTGGGAATATTCAAATAGTAAATTCAACATATGATGCATCTCTGACCTTTCTAAACATTTTGTTATTTGGTTGAAAATAATGCTATACTACGAAGGCCCATTAGTGCCAAACAAAAAATATTAATCCTTTGAACGAGTTAGTATCTCGTTTGAACGAATTAGTATCTCGTTTGAACGAATTAGTATCTCGTTTGAACGAATTAGTATCTCGTTTGAACGAATTAGTATCTCGTTTGAACCCATTAATTATCCCGTTCGAACGAATTAATTATCTCGTTTGAACGAATTAATATTTCGATTGTACAGAAGGGTGTAAAGGACATGCAGAAATTGTGATCCTAACAGGTGTTTTAAGTAAAGATTATGTCATTTAATACATCAGTTCTTTACTATTTCTATCACTACCGTCAGTAGAAGGAACTACATTTACGAGAAGGAGAATTAGTATAGAATATGTTGGAAGTTATCCACGTTTTAAAAGCCGAATATGTTTAATGTTAGCCTGAATTAGGCACAACATCGTAGTAATTCATTGTTTTATGACATATATATGCTTAAACATGAGTTATGCATGAGCTAAGTCTGCATATTGCAGGTCTTTCTGTAGGCTTTAAATGTTATAAAACTATTCATTAGACATTTATTAACATATCTAAGTAGATTAGAACGGCTCGGCCATTTAATGATTTAATTGAAAAATGGTAAAGCGATGCTAAGCCTCGAACAACCAGTACGGTGGTTACATTCCGTGCATTGTCAAACCTTCAAAGGATAATATCGTCGCTCAGAATAAAATAATTTGATGAAAATTTCAATATATTCATTTTGCATTATCTATTTTTGAACTATTATTACATGAACGACCAGCTCTTTCTCTAAATCTTACATAATGCATCTTTAACATTGAAAGACGCATATTTGAAACGCACCCAATTAAGAAATAGTTGTGCCTTAGCTGAATTTTCGCTAGCTCAGTGAACAGAACTACAGGTATACGATTGCTTGTCAACGTTCGTTGCCTGGTATGTCTTTTTTTTATTTTCATAGTTCCTAACAGAATGGCTGAATGTATAAAACGAGGAAAGGTATTTAGCTCTTTTCTTTGATATGTTTATTCAAATTTAACGTTGTTGTTAGTCTGTCCACCATCGTCAATAGCCATACTGCACTGAAAAAACACTTGTGTTGGATCTCAACACAAGTACTTGTGTTAAAACTAATCTACACAAGTTATGTGTTGTTTTGCATTGCATTAACACAAACTTGTGTCGATTTATAAAATCTTGTGTGTTTTTTCATATCATTAACACAAGTAATGTGTACCGTCCAAGATTTGTTTTCTTTTTAAAAAAAAAACTCCATACAAAGTCTGAATTCGGGAGTCGACAAGTTTAAGAAAAGTAATAAAGGGCTTAATTCACATCCCGAAAATAACATGCTATTCTTCACTGGAAGGGTGTGAGTACCAATTAATCAGACGATTGCCAGACAGTTTGTGTTCTTTTCAATGTCTTAACACAAACTTGTTTAGATTTACAATATCTTGTGTGTTTTTTGTTTTTCATATAATTAATTACGTCAAATTTTAAGATAACATTTATTATGTTACTTTATTATCTGTAATAATGTTTTTTTTTTAAACAATCAATATTGTTATTGAGAAAATCTGAATGGAATCTGGTAACTGGCTTAGCCTATGTAAAACACCATTTTCTGAATTTGAATGTTCAGGAATTCATTCCAATTTTAACTTGATTTCTAGAATATTTGTATTTGTCTAAAACCTTATATTGATTATCACACACGTTAAGTAGATATCGCAATGTTGGGTGTCCGCAATGTTAATTAGATTACTCTGATTATATCCTTTGTTTATTTTCAAATCTTGTCCCAGACAATACACAGACATAGTTGGGTTATTACAATGTCTACACTTATTAGAGGTTGATTATATTGACCCATTAAACTTGATACATCAAAGACAATTCTCGGAATATGTGAAAACTAAAACAATAGTCTGATATTTTGGTTTTAGAAAATGTCGGAATGGGCGTGGAAAAAGCTGAGTTAATCTTTTTATTTAATTCTATTGGTTTATTAATCGAACTTGCAAATTTATTGCTTACCTGTAAAAGAACCTATCAAAATAAATTACTCTATAAAAAAAAGTTAGAAATATTTATAACAGGATTTGGCGATTTCACCGTGGAATCGAGCTGAAAAGTCAATCGTGTTCTTAAGGGTTGTGGTGTATCGATTAATTAGGCCCCTACCTAGTCGTGCGGCATTGTTAGAACCAACCACAACAGAGATATTTTTTCAACAACCACAACAGAGATATTTTTTCAACAACCACAACAGAGATATTTGTTCAACAAAGTATGCAGAGAAAACAAGAATATGAGGTTATATTTTTTAATCAAATGTTGCCTATTTGTAATGCAAATTTAGAATTAATATTTTTCGTTTCTGTTAAAACCCTAAACAACTATACACTAATTTTTTATTTGCCGAAGGGCGTATGGTTTTGGCGGGCAAACTGGAGATCAAACAATAAATTTCGAGGTATTTGAGGTAGTCTAATTCAATATTCTATCATATCCTAATGTACATAATTGATTTTCTATTTGATTAATTATTCAAATAATCATTATTGGGATGCACTATCGACTCTAGCCAGTCCTGAATTGCAATGATTATTGTTTGCGCCCTGTTGTTTACTAGACGCCATTTTGAAAAACAGACTTGCCCTGCATACAACTGATTGTTATCCATTTTTCAGATTGCAGTATATTTTTTACAATATAATGCAGCGATAGTGGCATTAGTGCAGTCTAATTGCTTTAAAAGGAAATCTGAATTCGGACAAAGATCAACAATAAAATCAAGGTGATTATTATTCCTGTATTTTCTTTATGAAGAGTAGGCCTACGTTAGCTATTTGTAAATGCCCGGTAGTCTATTGTCAAAGTACGAGAAATAATAATTTAAACTTCAAATCAGTTATACTCATGATATGTTGTATTTATTCAAATCATACCACCGAGAATTGTATTTATCCAAATGAATAATAAAAACATGACTTTTATTATTTTATTTCTTCACGTCAAGAACATGGATAATTGGTAACGGCCTTGTATCACTGCATACGAGGTAGTTATATCCAATAATAGAGTGAGAAATCGGGTTCACTTGACACAAACTATGCCATACATGTATTAAATTGGTCGAATCAAGTAGGTCCATGCTAATATTAACATGTCCTACTCCTAGAATCAAGTCCGACGGTTCCGTTTCCGCCGTCTGTCCGAGGATTCTCATTCTATTATTACCATCTTTGTGTGTTGTGTTATATTAATTCTGAATAAACCTGGATTTGTTGTTGGTGTTTGTTGGATAGGTAATATATCTATTACTGGTGCTAGGTAATTTCGGGACTAACAGTAACATTTAAGGTTCAATATCATTTGAATGAAATCCCACGAGACTGGTTAGGCGACCCTTTTCCAAGTCACATATTTGCATATAAAGAAAGTACAGACTTAAATATCACTAGAAAAAAACTAGATTCCCTTAAACCAAACACGGGCATGCACAGAACAAAAATTTAAAGTAGCTAAGTCTCTAACTCAATATCATCCAAAATCTTCGACATTGAAAACACAAATTATTTGTCAATTTAAATCAACATTGATGTTGTGATCTTACCGGGAAAAATAGATGGGCTTCTGATATCCAATATTTAAGACAAAATAAACATTTTACCATTGGTACACGAATCGTGTACCATAATGCGTTTCAGGCCCATTCAACAAGGGACTCGAAGAACGAGGCTAGACATTCAACAAATCATGTGAAACGGTGACGGCATATTCATATCGGAAGAGTATGCGGAATAAATACTATGTAGACTAGAAATTTTGATTCGATTGAGACTTCTGACATATTTCGCCGAACGTAACTGATTTGAAATTAGAGTAAAAATGGAAACGATTGAATGTAAATCAGTTTATATATATTCCTATTACATTATTATATGCGTTACGACCCATTTGTGGGGTCAATTTCTAGGTCCCAAATATTAGCGATTTAGCTCCTTTAAATTAAGGGTATCACAAATTGGCGGTCGAACTGTGACAGGGGTGCTACAGCCTACGAATTCGAACTACCAAGGGATCGATTACAATTAACATTTACGTGCAAGCCAATGTGTACACGGGATCTCGCTTGTTTGTTCCCTCGAAACAACTGGGCAGCCGTCCTTGTCAGGCCCTCCATCCTGCACCTCTGAAAAGGGGAAAACACGCCAGAAAGTCTAGATGAGCTTTCTCGGTTGACACTGGCTAGCGAGCCAGCGCCTTACTCACTCAGCCACAATGGCTCTCTTCTAATTACTGTGACAGTCCAGTCACATGACAAACAAGGGTTGATAAAATGGATTTTTACCGCTTAGGCAGTTCCTCAGAATTCAAATGTTTTTAGAGGAATTGTTTGAAACAAACTTTTGATAGATAGTTTAGTTTAAATTTCCTATCACACAGTTAGTATATTATTAGCAATTAATTACATGTCATGTATTTATTTTTTTCAGTTTCAATATTAGATGACATAGCAAATCACCCAGGAAAAGATCATACATGTGTATAATAAAACAAGTAAAAAAACACAAAAAAATGGAAGAAGAAAGAGCTGAAATGATAATTAGAGCGCCACATATGATTTCTGCTTGGTGTTTTGGAGGGAGAGCGAGAGAAATGGGGTTTAACGTCCACTCGACACAAACTAGGTCATTTCGGGACTAACATATGGTTTAATTTTATTTACATAATTCGCTTGCGCGTAGGGGTCTTTAGCAGTGGGAGGAAACCGGAGGACCCGGAGAAAACCCACGAGGTTGGACAGGCGACCCTACTCCTTGCCACGTACAACCGGGGATTCGAAACCACGCCAGTCGACTCAATGACAGACTGTATGATACAGCGCGCGCACGCTAACCATTCAGCCATCCAACCCCCCTGTTTTGGAGGGGTAAGTGTTCAATTCTAATAGAAAAGATTGTCATTATGGTATTTTAGAATCTCATCATTGGCATAATATATCCCGGTTGAGCTGATGTGACATAAAACTCAATTCCATTTCAGATTAGTATAGTAAAACTCTACACGTACATGCACATGTATGTGCACGATGATGGTGGGTTTGCTCTCGATCTTGGCCGAGAAACTTCACTGGAATTTTCCGACATGGTATCTACCAGTCAGTGGTGCAGTTGTTTGAATTCAACATAAAACTAAAGTTCCATGTACACATTGCTGTGCACGTAATAGACCACCTGGCAGTTGGAATTCGATATAAGAGTAGGCCTTAGCGCCACGATACCGGGCAAAATTTCCCTTAAAGCACACTGTATGACATATACCCATCTTCATTAGCCAATTCGGAGCAGAGATGCAGGACGTTAAACCCCCATTTCATTTCATTTCATTTTTTCATCTCATCTTTGACAAAGCAAACCAACACATCACACATAGGCCTACAATGTAATTAAATTAACACTTTCATTTTTTTAACTGTCTAGTCAATTTAAGTCAACTTATACATGGCATTTTGTTTTCAGTTAACCACATTGGAAAGATCCAGACAGTTGGAAATAGATATTCTTGTGGAATATTTTTTCTCGCAGATCTTGATAATCAGGCAAAATGTAAGTACCATACAGGAACTGGCTCTATACACTTGATAATCTAGTTGTCCCCCGCCTTTCGAAGAAAGCAGGGGACTATTAAAATGGGTTCGTCTGTCTGTCTAATTGAGCTAGAATGTTCAAACTTGGTGCAGGTGTTTTTTAGGCCAATACCTTGATGGAGTTCAAAGTTTGAGCATTTTCTGCTGAGGGTAAGCAGAGATAAGCAATTTGATTGGTTGATGCTTTGGGACACGATAATATTAGTTCTAATTAAGTGAAAGTGATGAAACTTGGTGTATAGTTTCATTACATCAATACCCTGACTTAGTTCGATAATGAACACTTTCTGCTGAGGGTAAGCAGAGTGATAAGCAATTTGATTGGCCGAGATTTTGGAACCCAATAACTCTCCTAATTGAGGTAAAATGTTCAAACTTGGTGTAGGTGTTTATTAGGTCAATGCCTTGACGGAGGTCGAAGATAGGCATTTTCTGCATATGGTAAGCAGAGATAAGTAATTTGATTGGTTGATGCTTTGGGACACGATAACTTTAGTTCTAATTTAAGTGAGAGTGATGAAACTGAGAATATAGATTCATTATACCATTACCTTGACTAAATTTGATGGTAAGAATTTTCTGCTTAAGCTAAGTAGAGATAAGCAATTTGATTGGTCAAGACTGTGGAACATAACTTTACTTTTAATTGAGGTAGAATGTTTAAACTTGATGTAGATGTTCATTAGGTGAATGTCTTGTCCGAGTTCAATGATTAACATTTTGAGCTAAAGCTGAGCAGGGCTAATCAATTTCATTGGTCGATGCTTTTGATTCTATCTGAACATTAAGTGATGAAACTTAATGTATAGTTTGATTGCTCGATACTTTTGAAACAAAAAAAAGTGTGCGATTAATTAATGTGTCATCTATTTATTTTCGGATTTCGGCGGGGAACATAGCGACCCTATTGGCTTGTTTTTCTTCTTATGGCAATGCCTAGTATTCTGCTATTTCAAGTGTAGGGAATCTGGATTTGGAGACACAATACATGTTTGATCTGGGTGAATAGCTGCCTTCTTATTTGACTTTAATCCCAAACTTCAAGACATTCTGACTTCTGACCCGTTTGAGCATAATAATCTGTCTGGGTCTGTAACTGGACAAAACATGGTATGTTTTATGCAAAGCTGTAACAAAATAGAGACTCAGTCTCGATGTGGCAAAATAAATTGTTTATTTATACATTGTGACATTTGGAATGTTGATAGAAAAAGTTAATTCCAATACTAATAAAATTGTGTTATATATTGACAACCCCTGCATAAGTTATAAAATGATGGAATTCATTCCTTATTTTTCAGAATCTTGGAAGAGTATATGATGTATGATAACAACGAGAGAACCCAACCACAACTTTTGAATATTACACCACCAATTTAATTCTGGAAAAGAATACATTTGACCCATTTTTTATTTTTTTTTTTAGTTTAATGTTAAATATATCCGAACACAATTATATTTTAATTCCCTCGAGAAATTTGTGTATAATATAGAAGGTAGAATTTGGTCGGAAATCATAAAGTATCTAATATGCATTTCTGAAAACAAAACGTAGATCAAATATTACAGAATAACAAAAAAACCTTTACATTGCTTATGAGATAGGGAGGTTGGATGGCCGAATGGTTAGCACGCGCGCGCTGTATCATACGGTCTGTCATTGAGTCAACAGGCGGGGTTTCGATTCCCCGGTTGTACGTGACAAGATGTAGGGTCGCCTGTCCAACCTCGTGGGTTTTCTCCGGGCCCTCCGGTTTCCTCCCACAGCTAAAGACCCCTACGCGCAAGCGAATTATGGAAATAAAATTGAACCATATGTTAGTCCCGAAATGACCTAGTTTGTGTCGAGTGGACGTTAAACCCTCCCCCCCCTCTCTCTCTCTCTCTCTCTCTCTCTCACTAATGAGATCAATTAGGTGTTAATATCCTAGTTTTCTGGGTTATTAATTAAGCCCTACAACCTACTCTTATATCAAATATCAAATGTTTCAACTGTAAAGGGTTCTTTTAACGGAACCGGGGGGGGGGGGGGGGCGAATGGTTAACACGCACACCTTATGACTTGTAAGTAATTGTATATAAATATTTTGTACATATTATTTAATATTTGCCATTTTCTCTGATATTTATATATTTTAATCCAGCAATCTTGATGCTTTGCTCCTTTTATGTACAAAATATTCATTTTGTTAGTCTTTTTTAATGAGGAAAGGGTTCGACATCATTTTATTACTCCTGCAAAATAGTTCATTTTTCTTTTGTTAGTTTTTTGTGTATGCTAGTTATTTCCAGTTGCCTCACAAATCACTTGTAACATGACTTTGTAGTACATTTCAATTTTTGAAAGTAATTCACTTTAGTGCATAATTTATCTTATTAGTGCTTGGTTTGGATGTTATTAAATTTAGATATATTTGAATTATATATTTTTCGGGTGTGGGGTAAGGATACTGTGTATATGTCTTTATATTCTCAGTACTTGTTTCAGGGTAAAGAAAAATTTAAATACCTATTTTATATTTTGTGATATGGGGGGAGGGGGGTATTTTGTCATTATATAACACAATTTTATTAATATTATTTCTGCTTTTCTGTCAACATTCCAAATGTCTATTTAGTTTTGATTTGGTGGTATTAATTTACTTTTTCCTATCATTTTATGAATAAATAATAATTTAACAAAAATAATTATTGTTACTTCATTTATCAAACTTTACAGGTTAAATAGAGCAAAGGACTGTGTAGATTTTCACACATGTTTGTGTTGTTTGACAAATTTTAACACAAGTTTTGTGTTTCAACATTTAACATTCAACACAAGTTTGTATTGTTAAATAGAGACACCTAACTTGTGTTGAAAACAACACAAGTTTGTGTTGTTCCATCACAATTTTTTTTCAGTGTGGAAAACATGCGCATATGCCACTATGTTGTTTTAGGTGGGCTCTAAACTATTCAGATTATATAGACTGCGTTCTGAGATCGACTGGAACATCTAGACAGATATTTTCGCCCCCCCCCCCAGCCTTTCATGTCTAGTTGTTAGAAGTGTCTATTGCGACAAAATGAAATGAAATGGGGTTTAACATCCTACCCGTCTGCTCCGACTCAGCTAAGGAAGACGGGCATAAGCCATACACTGTACTATGAGAAAAATTGTGCCCTGACTATTCTATCGAATTCCAACTGCCAAGAGTTCTTTTACGCGCAAGCCACGGTGTGCACAGGGCCTTGGTTTTTCGCCCCATCTGAAAGCTCACCGGGATTGAATACGTGACCGCAAGGTTAATTACCCACCGTGGATCCTCTACTGCTAGATCATAGTTAAATGATCATGCTTAATATTACAATAAGCCAGTAATAGAATTGAAAAGTCCACATTTCAATCATTTATTTTGTAACCAAATTTTAGCCTATGAAATTTCTACCCTCTACCATCCTCGACCTAACCACCACCATTCGTCTTACGCCTAAAGACACTATGAAAATCAATAAAGATCCGATCAGATCTTGCTAAGCTGTCCGCACACGAGATTCCATCCACTACAACAGTTTTTTTTACCTCGAGGCTCCTATATCCAGAAGGCAAGATCTCCAAACCCTTCATCTCTGACTCGTCGGAATATTTTGAAGAAATTAGAAAAATAAAAAAAAACAGGAAAAATAGTGACACTCATAATTATTAGATTGTCAACCTATTTACAGACCAGTATTTCTCATTTAGTAAAACAAAATTCTGCTAAGGGCTGTTCCATTCAAAGATTATCTAGGATTGTATGAGCATTGGGTTTGAAAATGACGTGGAAGGGTAGGGGCATCAAATTTGATAATGAGCTGGGAGGATAGGATGGGGGTTTGAAAATGACCTGGGAGGGTTGGTATGTTGAGTGTAAAAATGACGTGCGTCGAGAAAATGATTTCTATTGGTAGAGAAGGATCTTGAAAAATGAACATGCTTTGTGTACCATTTTTTGAACATAAAGATCTTTTGGTATAAAGAGCTTTAAAAATATTCTGTTTGTGGGTCTGTCTATTACTCCAGATATTTTTAAATAGAACAGTCCAAGAATTTTGAATCGTTTTATTTCATCCTGGGATAGCCGTAAGATTTTAAATTGTTTTATTTCTTTTGTACAGATATTCAATGATCCTGTTCACGGCCATATTGAAATCCCTCCCCTTTGTATGAAAATTGTTGATACACCAGAATTTCAACGTCTACGTTTTTTAAAACAAATGGGTCCTGTTTATTATGTCTACCCTGGTGCATCACATAATAGATTTGAGCATTCCTTAGGGTAAGTACATATATGCTAGAATTTTCATAATATTTTCTATACAATATTAATTCATTGATGTAGGAAAACTGAAATGATCCCTGTATTAGTCGAGTAAGTTCCCCAGAATTACCAAGCGCGGGTTCTCCTTGTCAGTGGTGCAGGACAGACGGTCGGATAAGGGACAGCGTTTAGTTGTTCAAATGATACGAAAAGCCAAGGTTCCGCCTACACTTTGGCATGGATGTAAAAGAAGGCTTGATAGCTGGAAGTTGAGATAAGAGTGGGCCGTATTGCCACTATCAGGGCAAAATGTCCCTCGTGGTACACTGTATAGCATATGCCAGTCTTCTGGTCACTGGCCCAGTCGGAGTCGGTGCAGAAAAGTAGAATGTTAAAACTGATTTGATTGTATTACTTTTCTTCTTTTTCCCGTTCCGCTTGAAAGTATCTGGGTTCAAATCTGTACGGCGTTAGTGTAGACTTACAGGACAAATCTTCACTCGATACGCTGGTGCATGTGTCAACATATTTGCAAATTTATTTTGAAATTTATACATTACTTCTCTTGTCGCGTACAGTTATAGCCCTAGTGTAATGATAAGGGTTTTTTTATTTTAGTGTTTGTCATCTTGCTGGTGCGATGATCTCACAACTTCAAAAACAAGATCCAAACCTTGGTATAACCCCTGTTGAGGTATTATGTGTGCAAATAGCTGGTCTATGTCATGATCTGGGTAAAATTTTACATATATGTTTGTCTAAAAATAACCTTGTTGGGTTGAGTGATGTATATCTAAAGTTGGGTTGAGTGATGTAAAGTATATCTAATGTTGGTTTGAGTGATGTATATCTAATGTTGGGTTGAGTGATGTATATCTAATGTTAGATTGAGTGATGTAAAGTGTATCTAATGTTGGGCTGAGTGATGTATATCGACTGGTTTTTGTTTTCAGGTCATGGTCCTTTCTCACATTTATTCGACAATGTATTTATACCATTAGTTGCACCGCAATCTAATTTTACGGTGAGTATTTCTACTTTACACACCTCCAGATTGTTGCCCATAGCAACTATTGATGTTTATACACCTCCAGACTATATATCCCTTAGCTGGGGATCACGTGGCTAAGTGGGTAAGACGCTGGCTCGCTAGCCTGGAGGTCGGGTGTTCGATCCCTGCATTGGCCGAGAAAGTTCATCCAGATTTTCCGGCGTGGTTCCCCCTTGTCAGTGATGCAGGACAGCTCTTTAGTCCTTCGGTTGAGACGAAAAACCGAGGTCCCGTGTATACATTGGAATGCACTAAAAGATCCCATGGCAGTTGGAATTCGATATACGAGTAGGCGATAGTGCCGCTGCCCGTTCAAAATTTCCCTCATAGCACACTGTATGGCGTATGCTCGTCTTCATTAGCCCAGCATAGGAGCAGAACAGTAGGACGTTAAAACCCCATTTCATTTCATTTCATTTCTATATATCCCTTAGCAACTGCTGATGTTTACATACATCTAGACTAAATATATATATACGTTTAAAATGATAAAACCTCAAATAAAAGTAAGTAACTAATAAACCTAGACCAACACGAAACGACAGGGATGTTAACCTTAATAACCCCATATCTGATGACATTATAAGTAGAGAAAAGTGCGGTAATGTACCAAATTCATTTAATCTCAGTGTTTTAAACTGTCAGCCAATTAGGAATAAAACTGACGAACTTCAGGAATATTTGCTAGATAACGATATGGACATATTTGTAGCTGTTAAAACATGGCTTAAACCAAATGAAACGGTAACTCTACACAAAAGTTTACCATCAAACTATTCTGCGGTGACTGAAAATCGAATATGTCGTAGAGGAGGTGGATTAGCTGTTATTAATAAATCGGTACCAGGAACATCCGAAAATCAGTCTCTTGGTCCTTTCGCATCTTTTGCTTGTTTACACCACCCGCCATCATACAGTTTTGATCTCAATGAATTTACTGGTTGCGGATTTATATCTATATCTCCATGATGCCGAGTGTAGCGTATCAAATAACTTTTATGATATTTTGGATATGATATGCTGTAGGCACAAAAAGCCGTTTACTAAATCTAGTGATCACTAAAGTTGTAGATGACACTGTGGAAGATGTTTGAAATTAAAATTAGGACGTTAAACCCCATTTCATTTCATTTCATTTGAAATTAAATGAAATTAAATGAAATGGGGTTTAACGTCCTACTGTTCTGCTCCGAACTGGGCTAATGAAGACGGGTATACGCCATACATACACTACAGTGTGCTATGAGGAACATTTCGTGCACGCCAGTGTGTACACGGGACCTCGGTTTTCCGTACCATCCGAACGACTAGACAACTTCCCTTGTCACGCCCTCCACCGTTCTGCATCACTGACAAGGGGGAACCATGGAATATGTTTATATTTGTGATGAACTGGTGCACCACCTTCTCAAGTCAGAGAAGAAATTAAGCAGCTTAACATTGTAGCCAAATCATCATCCCCAACATGCAAGTTAGATCCGCTTCTGAAACTGTGCCACTGTCCTGTTCTTACCCAAATTGTGAATACATCATTGGCAACTGGTACCTTCCCTGGTGATCTAAAAGAAGCTCTAGTTTTTACCTTAATCAAACAAAGTAATTTATAGAGTAATACTTTGATAAATTATCGGTCAGTATCTAATCAGTCATTTTTATCTTAACTTGTGGAAAAAGCAGTGTCTTAGATTTCAAATTTCAACATTTAGACGAACCCTTTCAATCAGCGTAAACAACAACCCATAGTACAGATACAGAAATAACGATATCTTATTTATTCTTTGAATGACATTTATTAATTGGAACATAATCACATAGCACACTATAATGGATAACAATTACTATGGTTTATTTCACTGCGACGCTTCAAAAAGATTTCACAAGTATCTATCAAGCATATACACACAGACTATTTTTGGAATTGCTGGTTATGCCCTGAAATAGTATGGACCGTATCTCACATCACGAAAAAAGCCCGTTGTCATAAAAAGCAGTATTCAAAACCAGTATACATAACATATGGAATCCCGCACGGATCAGTACTCGGTCCGTTATTATTTACGGCATATATATCACAATTTGACTATCATATATACGCAGACGACACCCAGCTATACGTGGCTGTAACACCCGATAACGAAAGTAAACAAATTATTAAGTTGGAGAAGTGCATTGATAATGTACTCCATCTTATATCCCTAATAGCAACTAGGCTATATCTCCCATAGCAACTATTATTGTTTACACACCTGAAGATTTGATCTCCGTACCAACCTTAGGTTTAATCATTACGGCTTAATATTGAGATAATATTAACCCCCAATAACGACTTGTACACGGTCAGCATTGGTTGATTCTTGGTGATAATAAGTGTATGTATAAGTCAGATAGCAACCTATTTCAACGGTTCGAATAACAATCTGAAAAGCGGTTGCTATCTATTACGTATTTGTTTGGTGGTCGATCAATACTTGACAGAAACAACAGACGCCTGAACTTCTTTTCTACCGTTCTTCGGTAGAATTTATCAACTTTATTTGTGAGCCACAGTGGTTCATTGATTAATGATCCAGCTAACTAATCAATAGGTTCGGGTTCGTTGTTGATTTTGACGGTGGACATGGCAAGGAACCAACAATGTGATGCACTTTCTAAACACCGACTACCACTGCTCTTTATTAGGAGTTCACGCAGCTAGCAGATGTTAGTTATACTTCTGAATTTGAATTCAGATTTCTTGCAGATTTGCTTAAATTTTTGAAATCTTGGATCTGTTGCGCCTCAATCTGTGTCAAATCGACAGTAAATTCAATCAAGTGTTTTTTGTTTATGTAAGTTAGTATTTTTTTTTTTTGTTTTTTATGCATAGCATGAAGAGGCGTCTATTAAAATGTTTCAACATTTGATAAAGGAAAACAACCTGATGGCAGATTTTGAATATTATAATTTAAAGCAGGAGGATATAGATTTTATTAAAGAACTTATTGCTGGACCGTCCAATGAAGATAACGTAAGTTTAATGTTATAATATTGTAACAGTTTGACCTGCGCTGTTTAGAAGTAACACCATATTCACCATTTTTATACGATTTATTCAATACAACCATGAGATAAATACACGACCATTATTTACATTAATCAGGTAACCTTAGTGTTGGTTATAAGAAGGGTCTTGTGGGGGGTGGGAGATAGCCATAACGTCATTTATTCTAATGTCCAGTGTCATGCCTGACAATGTTCAGCCTGACAATTGACGCTGTAAGTCCTGACAAGTTCGCCCTGACAACCTGACAACCCGCCATGCCTGACGGATTGCTTAGGCTCAACTACGTTATGATCATACAAAAACGTCAAGAGGAGACGGTTCTACCAGGATGGTCGGTAGCGCCGTCATAATTCCTTTTGTCAGGCCAGCTTTAAGAGGTCCTTACCCTAGGCTGCCGTAGAGCTATCTGCCGACATCGACGACATGACGTCCTTTTATAGGCTGCAGGCAGAGCTATTGACCAACCACAGGCTCGCATTCTGCCTGACAAGGACTACGTTTTCCTGACAAGTTAACGTTTTACAATAATATGAAAATTAATAAAGATGTTCATAATTAATCATTGCTTTACATGTAAGTAACCTATTCTGAATCTAAAATCAAAGTAATGTACAATTAGACCAGCGCAAATACATTAATGAAGAAACACCTAGCCCATGAATCGTGCGTAAGTCTTAGCTTACAGCGACGAGGTCCTAAAGAATTGGAACTACCTAAGAACAGCAAGTAGGCCTACTTCAAAATACTTAATTGATCTAATATAATAATGAGATGTACAAAGTAAGTAACAAAAGTAACAAGCATTGTAAGGTCATGAATTTATTATAATATACCATTAAATTAACGCGAGAATGATCATGTTACTATCACTAACTATCCCTAGCAACCATATTACTACGCCCGTCTCGTCTGACTCGAATGCACACAGCATCCCACGCTAACAATACATTCATATGTGGATATTATTTGAATTGCTATCGTCCCCTTATATCCAGTCGCATAGTAATACATCATGGCATGCCTTACAAATCCGGCTCTAAGTACCGATGTTCTATAATCTAAGATACGACTAGAGGCCTTTTTATTTAAGCAACTCGCATCAACACCGATCAAAGCGTGCATTTATATAAGCGAAGCGCCAACAACGATTTGTCTACAATGCACATTTATTTTATCGATTAGTCAACGCGCGTACCCAACTCGACCAACTCGTCGCGCACAGCACTTTGGTACGATTCGATTTGGTTTCAAGATGGCGGGCGACAGTAGTAGCAGGTAAGAACATTTCGAGAAATTGTTCTAAAATGATGTGAATAAAGACAAAAATATCATTGTTACCGGAGTTTAGAAGTTGTCTAAAGAGGGGTGGATTCTATTGACAGAATAAATTGTTTTCAAATCCAAAATTAAACATGTGGTCAGCTGTTCGTCTATCGAGACAACTCGATGCCGGGCATGGCATGGTCAGCTCGATACATACCGATGGTCAAGTCGATACAAGGCAAGTTGTTGAAATCACTGTCAGATTTGTTAACAGCAGTTTTACCGTGCCCCCCCCCCCCCGGACCCGTACGCCAGTGCGTTTCATGTCTTCAGAATTAATGAATAACGGTGTATTTTTTGTTTTAATACCGCACTAAATTACTTGTTACATGTAGTTCGAGTCATTTTTAAACTCTACCATTACTTTGAAGTCACATTGCCCTCACTCAAAATTGACAAAATACCATGAAATGATGGGTTCGAGTGTCGGGGAAAGGGGTATCTTAGCGGCCCTGACCGGCACATATTAGGCCTGTCCTTTTAATTTTGGCCCTTAGCCTCCCGGTGCTTCAGCTCATAATTTGACTCTGCATGTAGAGGTCACTTAACAAGCAAGAACCAAACAGAAAAATTATTTGCACTTTACACCCACCGCTAAACGATCCCGCTTGGTATCTCCCAAAAAGTCCAAGGTCATTAAGGCCTTGGATTCTTTTCAAGAGAAAAGAGATGTCCAACATCAAGAATTTATGGTCGAAATTCAAAAACAACACAAAGAAGTCATAGAAAGTGAACAGAAAAAAATCAACTTACTGGAAAAACTCATCGACAAATTCTAAGTGTTTAATTGTTGATAAATTTCCATTGTTACACAATATGTTCTTTGTTCAAAGATTTATGTTTTTGTAAGGGTTATGAAACATGGCATAATAGAGAATGGCACAATCTTCATTATTTACAACTTCTAATATTGGAGTGAACAGGAAGAAATTCAAAACATTAAGAATAGATAATTTTTAATTATGTTTTCTAATGGTCGTAGAGTAGCTTTAAGAAGTTAAATCTAGTCATAATAGTATTGATACTCGTAATAATATTTCACCATTGAACAGGTACTTCACAATCTTTGAATATTTTCTGTTAAAGATATTTGTTGTTTTGACTTGCCTTTTGTTTGTATCAGGATTTTATATTGGCAAAATATTAGAAGTTTTACTTAATTTTGTAACCAGAAATTGCATTATTGTTCACATCATTTAGCCTATTTAATGGCTTTCATACTTGATAATTAGTATTATACTTTGTAATCATACTTTTAGTCATTATAACATTGTTATGTGTTTGTATATCATGGATAGTGAAGAATCTTATCATAATACTGTCCTATTTCCATGACAACATATATTTCTCCTGTGGTTATCACTTTTTAAGTCTAAAACACAACATTCAACATTACATATTTTCATTCCATTTGTTCAAAACCACTAAACAGGAGAATTTATTTCATTTATTCAAAACCTATTCAAGTCTGAAAATGAATGTTGAAACAATACAACACCAGTGGTTTTTTTTAAATATGAGTTCATTCAAAACATGTATTTCCAGTTTATATGTGTAAATGAAAATATTAAATGAAGAAGTGTCCACTATTTAAATAGGAATGTTGTATATTTTGACAAGTCATTTCCAGTCATTTGTAATATGAAAATAATATGGTTCCTGATTTAAGTAAACAATTGTTATAAAAGCTTTCAAGTTGTGTTTACATACGCTCATTATTTGTGTTTTTCTTATTTTCAGTTTTTCAATTATTTCTATATGCAAAATTGTTTTGAAAATCTACATTTGTCATAATAATGCAACACATCACAGTTATAATGAGGTACAATAGATAGGTATAATATTTGTTTCAATCATTGAAACTAATTTCCTAGAATGAAATCAAGTCCAAGTTACATTAAATAGTATTCAGAAGACAAACATGCACATGACAATAATATAATGTTAGAAAGATATTCACTTCCATGGAAAACGAATTTCTATGTAAATAAAGTTGTGATAATCTTACTAGTTTGACAGATTTTCAGGATGCAATGTGTAATTATTATGGCTGTTAAACTACTTGATTCAATGAGATAATTGACTGTGTAATCCTATAGTTTATCAGCAGATGGCCCACTATCTTTTATAAATGTTTTAATACATCATTCATGGGTTGCTAGATTCTCTTTAGGAGGTTGAGAAAATATTTTTTGATATCAAAAGTGCGAGATTATACAGAAATCGACAAAAAATGATTTTGTTTTTAAGATGTTTTGTGTTGATGAAATGCAGAAAATAACGTAGACATGATCTACAAGACATACCTCTGTTTGTTGATTCATATACATATCTTCTATGAATGTTGTTCATAAAGTTTTAGTTAAAGTTTTATCAGTTTACTATTATTCTTCATGTTATGTTGCATAATATATGAACGAGTGAATATAGTTTGTAGTATGATGTTGAATTCGGCTGACGTTTGCATGCTCAAATGGGTAATAACTTTGATTGACAACTATAGATAATCGCTTAACTCAAACTAAAGTCAAATAATTCGAATTAGTGGATCATGAAAGATATAAATGTAAATTGAATGCTTTAATTCGACATGTAAATTCTGATCATATTATATTTTCTAAGAAGATCTGTGATTTACTGTATGGTAGACGTGTGTTCTTGTTATAAGTTTGTACTATCTTTGCAATGGATATGTTTTTTGTTGATAGTTTTGTTATTTATATGTTGACTTCAAAAGATAAGTCATTTTTGTTTGGGTTTATCTGTTTTGACATTCAATAAATTGTTTGATTTTATTTTAAAATGTCTTTTTTATTGAAATGACTACATTTGGACTTTAGTTCGATGAGTTGACAGTCAATTAAACACTGACAATAACCCTGAAATGGCTCTTCGCTTTGCGACAGCAGTTACATCTGCATCACGATCAGCTTCAATTTCCTGAGCAGGAGGTTCCTCAATCTCACCATCATTTAGATATTCTTCTACAGTATCAGAGTTTAGTAAACAGATGTTGTGCATCACACAACAGCTCGTTATAAATTCAACAAGTCTTTGAGGATCGTGCATGTCGATGTACTTTAGCCGACGGAAACGGCCTTTCAGATAGGCAAAAGCGTTTTCAATTTCCATCCGTGTAGAACTGTGATAAAAATTGTAATCCTTCTCAAGTTTAGTTAGAGCACCATTATCTTTAAATGGAGTCATAAGAAATTCATTCAACTCGTAGGCAGAATCCGCAAGAATGTGACATTTTTCAGGAAAAAAATCTTTTCTTTTTTCAAAGTTTTCGCATGCGATCCCTAGTTTTGTGTTTTTGAAAACCCTTGAGTCGTGAGTGGACCCAGGCCAGCCCACACACACAAAAGTAAACATCATTTGATGGTCACAAACCGCAGCAACGTTGATTGAGTGAAATTTGTTCCTGTTAATATAAACTTCGCCATCTTTCTTCGGCGTTTTGATAGGGATGTGAGTCCCATCCAGCGCTCCAATCACTTTTGGGAAATGTCGTGTTCTCTCAGACCCGTGGAATATATCCTGTACTTGGTCACCAGATGGCCATTTGATGAACTTCTTAAGCAGGTGCCTGTTGATGAGTTGACTCATTTTACCTGAAATGAAAAAGACAATTAATTAATGAAAATCTAGCTAAGGGAAATTTAAGAGTGCCAGACACTAACAAGGCTACCTGGTAGCATCCGCATAATTGAAATCTATTCCTGCATGGCGATTCTTCTACTGTGATTTAGGGCCTATATCTGATATATGTACATGTACATATTGCACTCATTTTGAGTCCTGTTCTTCCGGGTTTCAACATATTTTCAATTCGGTTCATACTCTGCTCAATTTTTTTCATTTAATTCTTATGAACATAATATATATATCAGTTTTCCCTAGTTCAAATTGAGTTTGATTCCAATCATTTACTCCACACATTTACCAGTAATGATCAGCGCCGGCGTCCATAAAAGACGAAATCCGCGGATTTTAAAAATACAGTTTTTAGCAGTCCTCTAGTAGGCTATAAACTTGGCTGCCGACATGTGTCAAACACGAAGGGGTTCCCTGTGGCAAACATATCCGTGTCTTGGTTACATTTAAATAAGATTGTGAACGGCGTGAGCCGTGAGCGGAGGATCGGTGTGACATGGCCAACTATGTGACACCGATCCTCCGCTCACGGCTCACGACGTTCACACATGTGTTTGACACATGTTGGCAGCCAAGTTTATACTAGTACTAGTAGAGGACTGCTAAAAACTGTATTTTTAAACTGAATTTTTAAAATCCGCGTATTCCGTTTTTTACGAACGCCGGGTCAGCGCTGGGTAGGCCGTAGGTCTACCAGATTGTATTATCTACCGATTCTCTGATTTATAATAGTAGGTCGAGAGTCAAGAAGTAAAATATAAAAGTATTCTATTTACCAATTATATCAAACACTGATGTTTCACATGTGCCAAATATGTCCGCAATTCGAATTAGTGGATCTTGTGTACCACAATAATATATAAAAATCAGTATTTGTTTCTGATAAGAAATGCACGAATTTCTTGTTCGAAAAGCAGCAAGTATCGGTGTGATATGATTTTCAAGAACTATGAATGATTGCCTGCTGATTCTGAAGCGTGATTTAAAGTCATCAGGCGAATATCTGCTAACAGTTAACGAAAGATAATTTTGCACTCGTGGTTTCTTTCCATCTTTCAAGTACTTAACTGCCTAGCTAAACCTCAAGTCCTCACTAAAATCTGTATCGAGTTGGCCTAACTTTCTTTTCAGAACTGCAGGTGTATTAACCGGTTTACTCAAACACTCTTTGATAACAGAAATTAAAATTATGTTTTTTTTGCGAGCATCAAGAAGTTCAGCCGGGTCCGCCATCGCTACGGTAATCGCTACAGCGATCCAGGCGTTTATTTAAGGCGAGTTGATTTGTACCACGTGATGATACTCGGCCGTGTATCGCGAGTTGATACGATTTGCTTACATATAAAGGCCTCTGCTGTCGTCAACGTAAGTAGGCTACATTAGGCAAAACAAAATTGTAAACAATGAGAGCGTACGGCTCGTTCTATTTATAGTAACAATTAAACCTTTCAACAATGGCAAAGGCAACACTAATATCGTAATAATACCAACGATAAATACTTAACAAATGCAATAATAAAACAATGTGAAGATGTAACTATTGATTCTTAACATATGGTACACGGCATTACCAGTGATCAGTGATAATGAAATAATAACAATAATTAAATCTACCCCCCCCCCCCCTTATATATAACAATATTATTGAGCGAGCTGTATCATAAGGTCTGTTATTGAGTCAAATGGCGTGGTTTCGATTCCCTGGTTGTACGTGGCACGGAGTAGGGTCGCCTGTCAATCCTCATGGGTTTTCTTCGGGTCCTCCGGTTTGCTCCCACTGCTAAAGACCCCTACGCGTAAGCGAATTATTGAAATAAAACTTAACCTTATCTCTCTCTCTCTCTCTCTCTCTCTCTCTCTCTCTCTTTTCTATCTCTCCCTCTCTCTCTCAGAATACTACTGGTGTAGACTGGAATAACCAGTCACCAAAAACTGCCATTCAATTCGTATTTCGCCGAACATAACTGATTACTGATCTTTCCACAATTTTCCATTCCGGAGTAATCCCCCCTTTGTCTAAAGCCCTGCGAAATACAAGTTACAGATTTTAATAGATTTTTTTCGATTGTGGTTTCTAGCATTGGGGTCATGAGAAGACGAACCGTATCGATATTCAGTGTACCTTGACTTTACGTTTTAGAGTTATCCACCCTTTCCAAAAACCTTGTGAACACGATATGGGCTGTAGTTTTGAATGGATGTTTTTTAAAAATTTGATGGTAAGCATTGGGGTCATGATAAGATGAATCGATTGTTTTTCAGCTTTCCACGACGTTTTGTTACAGAGTTACCCCTCTTTTCCCGTGGACGTATATTGTCGTCTCCCCTGTCCGTTCGTCCGTTAGTTCCCATTTTGTTTGTGGAAGTTCTATAGGTCTCAATTTTTATCCAATTTTGAGAAAACTTGACATATAGGTTTATATTCCAAAGATCACGGATTCTTTCGATATTGGCCAGCATTGGACGGTACCTTCATGGATTATGGCCCTGATTGTACGACAAATCATGTGTTTAACTGGTGAACCCCCTTGAGGTCACAATTTATATCCGATTTTGATGGAACTTCAAATATATGTGCCTGGGTTATGGTCATCATATTAAACCGTGTATATTTTGATCACTGTCCATTGACATCAATTTGGGCTAGTAACCTTAACGTATGCAATATCCTTGACAGATTAGAACAATATTTTTAAAACTGAGCCTTTCACCATGTGTATGAAAGACTAAATTATAATGATTAATCTTGAATAGGTTTGTTTTGTTTTAACTGATTTTTTTCCAAGTTTTTTTAACTGATTTTTTTTTCATTTTCGACGCGAAACCTATCGATTTTATTTATCCTGTTCCCCGTTTATAAATGTTTTTATTTATTCCAGATAAGACGCGAAAAGAAATATCTGTATGAAGTGAGTTTATATAAATATAAAAATATCTGTATAAAATGTCTTTATAAAATGTTTGTATGGAGTAATTTAAGTCTATAAAATGTCTACATGAAGTAATTTATGTCTATAAAATGTCTATATGAAATGAAGTAATTTAAGTCTATAAAATGTCTATATGAAATAAGTTTATAAAATATGTGTACGATGTAAGTTTATTTTCTTATAATAACTCTAATTATTGTTTTGTAAATGTGGTGGTATATTGCCATTCCCTGTCTGTGGATCGGACTTTCCATCATCCATAATTGCTAAAATCATCATCCAATTGATTCAAAATTGATACACAGTGTTTATGTTGACGATACACTATAGATACTAACACTATCATCCATTTAACTTCAAATTTATACACAAGAAAATCAAATTTTAGTTATTTCTGATAATTACTTGATCGTTTTTTAGTGTCTTCCATTACCTACAAAAGAATCACTAAATAAATGAGGCTTAACTTCCTACTTTTCTGCACCTACCGGGCAAATACTATACTATACAATTTACCCTGGTTTTTAGTCACATTCGAACGAGCTGGTCTTGTGAGGCCCTCCGTCCTGCATCGCTGCAGACATGGGGGAAACCACATCGGACAATCCTGGAGAACTTTCGCAGTCAGCGCAGGGATTGATCCCAGGACATATGTTTCGTTGCCTGACAACCTAATTTAATTTTATGTTGTAGATTGTAGCTAATAAAAGAAATTCAGTGGACGTAGATAAATTTGATTATTTTGCTCGTGACTGTTACATGCTGGGTTTCAAGAACAATTTTGATCATAATCGCTTCCTGCAATTTTTTCGTGTCATCAAAGATGAAAATGGTGACCATCGGATCTGCATCCGTGATAAAGTAAGTCTAATTTTTATTCGCGCATAATTCATCAGTGTTTACCAGCCAGACGTTCTCCCATTCAGACCAATAATTGTCGGTCGGTGCTGCCCTACTAATAGACTATCAAATCTTATTGATATCTTACTTAAGAGTCAATCCGTAAGAAAACCCTGCAAAACCCTGCAAAAGTGATAAGGTGGGGGTCGGCCAAATTCATTCTTACTCAGGTCATAAAGTCACCCCAGCCCAACATGCAAAAAGCCAAAATGACCGACCCCAAATATTAACCCCCTCTTAGATATGGCCCTATGTCGATTTTTAACCATTTTTGGCGAATTTTCGGTGAAAATTTGTCATTTTTCAGTTATTAAATTCTACTAAAAGCATCAGGTTAGTGATTATGTCCGATTGTGGATGGATAGTGGGGGTCGGCCCCTAAAAACCCAACATGAAAGACCGACCCAATATCACAGTCTTTAGCCGCTGGGGGGCGTTTTCTGGATACCACTTTTCGCATAGTGAAATGTACACAATCGTTGAGGGGCTATATCTCGTCTGCAGCAGGGGGTGGGTCGAAATCGGGGGTATGTATTTTGAGGCGAGTATATGTCCTAACAATATCAACAATAAAATCCACGGCCGCTAGTCTACAACATAGCGAATCTTTGATGAGAAGATTGCCGATTTCTGGACAATAAACTGATATTCACTGAAAGGATTCTAGGAGGCCTCAACACTTACAAAGTGCTCTAAATGCCCTATATATCACGGCATTTCGGATGAAAAATATTTCGAACGTACCGCCACCCAAGATTGCTGCCATGGAGGAGAAATGCGATTTTTCTCAATATTTTGAGTCAAAATGTGGCATTTATGATGCGTATCCTGCAGAGAAAGATCACAAGCGGGTAAAAGACTGTAGGAAAGATATCAAATATTATCTGGCGAGCAATGCCGAGCATATATCAAATAGAAAAGTAAAAGCCGGTTGGGCTCTGAAACAAACTAAAACCATCAAGAGATTTTCTGACGAGATAAAGGAATTCTTATTGAAGGAATTCATGCGTGGGGTAGACACTGGTAGGAAAGAGGTTCCTAGCAACGTTTCTAAGAAACTGAGATCTTTGTTTCCGAAAGAAAGCTGGTTATCAGCCAAACAGGTGACCAGTTACTTCAGTAGATTAGCTGCCCGTCAAAAAGCTGGTCATCCTCTAGCAGTCTCATCAGCGCCATCTGAAATTGATGATGAGAATGAAATTGCCGCCACCGAAACAACGAATAGGCGACGACTTCGTTCTAAAGTAAGAGAACAATGTGAAATTTGAGTAGTTCATATAGTTACAGAACTATTGTCATCTTTATCTTAATGATTTGTTGTAACTTGCTGCCATTGTCTATTATTATAATACAACAGTGTCATCTGTTGGTTTGACTTCATTGGTGCTAACGCCCTAAACTTAACCGCCCCTAACACGATTGCCATTTTGGAGTTTTGTGATCCTGATGTTCCTGATCATGATGTTCGTTTAATGTATGCATACGATTTGTTTATCTCTCTGTTGAATGATGGACTCTCCGTGTCATCTTATAGTTACGTCTTCGCCGCGAAGCGCATTCAGTGCGATTTGACCCAGATCAAAGCACAGAGCACATAACTAGAGAGCAGATTTATAGTGGGAAAAGGTGAGGCAAAATTGCGACAAAATTTACCGGAAACGGAAATAAAAATTCAATGTCCACGTCGTGCTCGTGGTGCAATTTTCTGCCACATTGCGGGCCATGTGCTCTGTGGTCCGTCGCTCAGATGATGCTGGAGACAATCTATTCAATCTCCAGTCCCGGCTTCTTTTGATCTGGGTCATATCAGGTGGCGGCGATAACGGAACTGACAAGAAGTGTTCATCATTCATATAATATACGGTGGATATGATGGCTGATGGGATACTAGCTTTCGTGTCTTATTATTGTATTTGTCAGTTTTGTATTGAATTCTATTCTGAATCTCTCACGATTAGATGAACATACTAATTTGAACGATAAATTATAGCATAATAGTATCGAGTGAGGGGATTTTTCTCGGGTATAGGAATCAAATCCTCAAAATACGGTATTTCGCTATACTACTCATGTTAGTAAATTCATACTCTATACTTACTAAATCCTATTTCTATATCTAAAAACTTTTTAAAAATATTTTGTTATTAGTGATTGTCGTGTAAAAAATAAAATCCCTTTCTTTGTTTGCAAATAAAAGTTCTGAATTGGAGCTTACCAGATGAGTCGCATCATTTCCTTATTCATAAATACCTATCAAAATCCTTTATATCAAAATTGACAAAAATTTCGGGAATCCTAGCCTCACAGGATACTATTATTGATGACCAATTAATCCTGCGCCCAATGTAAAGGTGAAAGGGTGATGAATTGCCTCGATTAAGACTCTTAACCTCATCTCTCGGTTCCAATTCATCTATTTAAATGACTCAATATACTGATTTTTCTCATTTTTTGCTCACTACGAGACTGACTTTTGTCAAAGTTTTTCTCAATGTTGTAGACTAGCGCCCGTGGATTTTATTGTTGATATTGTTAGGACATATACTCGCCTCAAAATACATACCCCCGATTTCGACCCACCCCCTGCTGCAGACGAGATATAGCCCCTCAACGATTGGGTACATTTCACCTTGCGAAAAGTGGTATGAAGAAAACACCCCCCACCGGGTAAAGACTGTGATATTGGGTCGGTCTTTCATGTTGGGTTTTTAGGGGCCGACCCCCACTATCCATCCACAATCGGACATAATCACTAACCTGATGCTTTTAGTAGAATTTGATAACTAAAAAATGACAAATTTTCACCGAAAATTCGCCAAAAATGGCTAAAAATCGACATAGGGCCATATCTAAGAGGGGGTTAATATTTGGGGTCGGCCATTTTGGCTTTTTGCATGTTGGGATGGGGTGACTTTATGACCTGAGTAAGAATGAATTTGGCCGACCCCTACTTATCACTTTCTGCATGGTTTTCTCGCGGACCGACACTTAAGCCATTCGTGCCAAATGTAAAATCTGTTATTCTGGATGATATAGATTTTGTGAATAGATTGCCCCAAAATCTGAACGATGGCGACGTTTTCCTAACCATCGATGTTTCTAATATGTATGACAACATTTCCCATGACCTATGCTTTCAGGCCAAAGAATCATATTTTATTGAAAAATATCGGCCAGAGTTAAATGCAAAATTGTGAAGTGTTATATTGTATGCATCATTGTAGCCTAAATTATAATTTCAGTTATGCCCCTTCTGAATAATACTCTGTAACTATGACGCTATGACGTCATCATCATTATTGGGTTATCTTTATCTTTTAACCATTGTATATAATATTTGTCTGAAGAGCATTAGCGAAAGTACTTACAAATATATACAAATGTAGTTCTTTAGTCCATATTTTATTTTATTTTTTTTTGAGTGTATATATATGTATATATTGTTTTGTTTTGAGGAGGAGGAGGAGGGGTGGGGGGTATATTATTCAGTCACAATCACTTGTGAACACTGTACGTACGTTTGAACTTTTGAACTCCCGAAATCTTGCAAACATGATAGAAAACGGGGATCTAGATCATATAAAAACTTGGTCTTATTATTCATTAAGGTATCAACAAGAATCCGGTCGAATATCAAATTTATTGGATTGTAAATTCCTAGCTGTTTCTCGTCGGGTTGGGGCTTTTAAAACTTGTGTACTTGATGGACTGTTTTAAAAACATTTGTAGGAAGTTTCGTTTTAGCATATGGTCCAACCTCTATTGAAAATTTGAGTGCGGTTTATAATGCCACCTCCGTGTCCGTCTGTCGTTGATCCATCCGCCTACACGTCTAGAATTGGCTTTGATGAAACTTGAAGTATTTGTTTATATCCCACAGATCTCGGTTAGTTTCGATATTTGCGCACATGGGATCGTATCGTCCTGGATTATGACCCCTGACTGTATGAAAAATCGCGTTTTCAGCTTGTAATCCCTCTAGAGGTCACAATGATTTGGAAAAATAAAGGTTCAAATATATCACCGTTACACCGCAATGATGGGTGAGTTCAAATTGCGTGAACCACTAGAGGTCACAATTTTTATCCGATTTTGATGAAGCTTAAATATAAATATCCGAAAGATCTTGGTTACTTTCGATATTAGCATGTGTTGGACAGTGTCTTCGTGGGCCTGGATTATGGGCCCTGATAATGCGCGAATATCGACAGGAACCGGGATTTGGGCGTATAAAAACATTTACAATACCAGTGTAAAAATTTTAAGTTGCGTTTTTTTTAAATTCACATACATTCTTGTGATATATATATAAATCAATAGTCGTCCTCGCTAGAGATAAGGTGGCATAATTTATAGACAACAACATAAAGCAGGCGTTCCTACCATAGGCCCCTACTGCACGCAGCGATCCATCTACGTCATACTTCGAGAATTGATCACTGCGCTGATTATCCTACATTTAAAACGCTCACGTGATCATTTTGGGGCGGGACTTATCGACTAGACTATAGCTTTGTTTACACAACAGAGTAAAAATAACCCGTAGCACGTGTTTTATGTAAACACAAAGTAAAATTTCAAGCTCTGCCACTCGGATAAAAACGATTTATAATATGTGCTATGGGTAATATTGCAATACATTGTTTACCATTGTAAACTGTCTTTAGAGTTTCAATCTGTTTATCTTTCACAACAAGGTTAGATACTCCTAAATTTGTCGTCGCAGACAAAACCGCCTCTGTGAAATTATCTTTCATGGGCGCCGCCATATTGAATAATTAGAGGACTATTTTGTGAGTCGGCTCTTATTAGGTTTGACATCTTTCATACACAGAACAGCTAAATAAACATATTTAATTTCATTCAATATGACAATGGAAGAGAACATAATATATCTAAAAATTTCTAAAAGCATACTCACTGTTTTCGACTAAAATCGTCGATGTAGGAATTAGACAGGCAGTCTAAGTTTGGGATGACGTTCCTAAGTGACCTCATTGTTTACCTTACAGCATTGTTTCCCTGTACATTCATTGCGTTCTGGTGTGTTGAAAAACGTTAGTTTTTATCGTTGAAATGGAATTTAATTCCAATACGTCGAAATACGGTTCTCTTACCAACTATAAGGACATGTGGAATCGAGTTCTTACTAGCGAAGCCTGGTGGGAATTCCTTCGGCAAGGACGCCCATTATCAAGGTAACATGGCTTAACATTCTACACTGTGTGTTTATATCCAGCGATCTCGGTTTCGTTTGATATTGACGCATGTTGGACTGTAACACCCAGGCTTATGGCCCCTTATTGTACGAAATCGTTTTTTTAGAATGTTCTCTGTCCATCTCTTGAAATATGTGGGCGCAGCTTCCATGGCAACCACATGTTGAAATGGTTTTAGGATTTGTAGTTTACTGGGAAAATGATTAATTATTATGTAGAAATTGCTGTATCCTTAAAATGCTTTTAAAATTTGGATTATGTTCCGAATTTATTATTTTTTTAATTTTATGACAGGAGGCTGAGAATCTGTATGAAATGTTTCACACCCGTAAAAATTTACATTGTCGAGCGTGTAAGCATGTTGTTACACAGGCTGTAGAGTGCATGTAAGTACAAATCTTACAAATAGATAAATTTTACTTAAGCTTCTACATTGATATAAATATTGCCTGAACTTCTATGGGGTTTCCCTAAGGTTACCTGAAGATTCTCAGCAAATTCGAAAAAGGATATTGTTGACGGAGGTAGAAATACTACCAAAATTGTTGCATATAGCTTTGGATTTCGATAGGTTTACTCCATTGATGAGGACATCAAATGTTGGTGTATAAACATGTGGAATTATGGAATAATCCATTCCTTTCCGAGAATGTAAACGTAATAAAAGGGTTGTAGGTTTATTGATGTTGACTATTTGATAAAAAACAATACTAACCATCGTTCTTCAAACAAGTAGCTGTACAGGTAAATTTACAGATCAGTCTACTTGATATGATCGTAATCATCGGGAAACGTTTCTCTCAAAAAACGCTGCATGATACTTGAGTGAGTAGAACAGTAAAGGCTTTTCATTTCATTTCTATGATTTCAACAGTTTGTGTTGTTCTATTTAAACTGTTGTTATGGTGATAATGATCTGTTGTTAAGGTGATAATGATCTGTTGTTATAGTTATAATAATCTGTTGTTATGGTGATATTATTTTGTTGGTTTTTCTCTATTTAAACTAGGATTGTAGATGCGTTGGTAATAGCTGATGATTGTGAAACTTTTACATTTCCCGGTAAAGATAAGTAAGTATATTTCTGTTAAAGATGCATTATGTAAGATTTAAATAGTTTATACTTTCTATAATAGTTTACAATTAGATAATTGCAAATGAATATATTGTCAATTTCATTCAAATTACTTTATCCTGATATTAGCGAGGATATTAGCCTTTAAAGGTTTGAGAAGATTTATGCACTGATTGAAACCGCCGAACTGGTTAAATGGTTATGTGTTCTAATGCAATTAATATCACAGTCATCCGATGACCTAGAGAGTTAAAAATGGGCTTGTAATTTAAATAGTGGGAGGTGGAATCTAGTGGTTTAACGTGTGCGCATGAAACCATAAGGTCTGTCATTAAAACAGGTGGTGTGGTTTCGATATCCCGCTTGTACGTGACAAGGTATAGAGTCGCCTGACCAACCTTATGGTCTTTCCCCGGGTCCCCAGGTTTCCACAGCTAAAGACCCCTACGCGGAAGCGAATCCTCGAATAAATATTGAACCATATGCAAGTCTCGAAATGACATAGTTTGTGTCGAGTGGAGCAGCCAAGATATATTTTATATATTTTACTAAATAAAAAAAGTATGTGTATACATTACATAAATATTTAATGTTAATCACATTTAAAGTAATGGTGCGTGAGTAGTATAGGGCACACTCTGAGGGTATTGCGACACTTTGAAGATGCGGCACTTTTAGGTATGCGGCAATTTCAAGCATGCGGCACTTTGAGGTATGCGGCACTTCAGGAGATTTACAAATGATCATGTGACAACTACGTAATTTGAATGGTTGATAGAGGTCACCTGTATGGTTGTACTATTGATATGAATGTGCGTTTGAATTGTGTGGGATCCACGCATGGCCACCGGTCGCCCCGACCCGCCCGCGTCTTTTCCGTCGTCGCCCCGTCCCATAGACCAACAAATGTCCTAAAATCCCAGTCACAACGTAGTTATTTATATTTGCCCATTCAGTTAATTATTTGCTCATTTAGTTAATTATTTATAATCTAATTATTATTATTATTTTTATTATTTTACCAATTTTTATTCATGATACAATTAATTTTTGTTTTCATTATTCAATTTTTTTCATTCTTTATGTTTTTCATTCATTATTTTTTTCTTAGATTTTATTATTTTTTTTATTTCGTTAATTATTTTTCATTATTTTTTTTTATTTTGTTTTTTAAAATTTATTTTGATTTATATGAATTTGGTGAAATTATTTACCGATTGGGTGGCAGTATTTAATTTGATTTTTTAGTTTTCACTTTCCAAAATTTAGAAAGAAAAACTAAGTTCATCTTAGCTAGCGCTTTCATCAGGCATTTAATAATGAGATAGTGAGCAATTACATGACGTCATGACAATATGTACATGACAATAATAATATCAAATATAAATATTTTAGAATATCAAATCACAATAGAAAATTATGCAGCATTTAATTTAGGGGGACACTTGTTAATAAAATGCCGTTCTTTATTTTCTAGCAAATTATTTTCCGACCAGTTGAATTTATATAAGGGGAATACCCTAAATTTTCCCTTTCCACATGTATCTTAGTGTTTATTTAGTGGAATCATTCTATTTTTGGCATTATCAATATGGGACCTGTGTAGGTTCATCCTTATGTTGAGTTGTGATTCAAACCCACATTCATATGAATAGAACAACCATACAGATGTTCTCTGTCAACCATTCAAATTACGTAGTTGTCACACAATCATTTGTAAATCTCCTGAAGTGCCGCATACCTCAAAGTGCCGCATCTCCAAAGTGCCGCAATACCACCAAAGTTCCCCCTATACTACTTACTCCAGGTTAATATGTACTCGGGTTGCTTATTTAACATTTAACTAAGAAAAGTCAAATATCCATGCTAGATAATCGCATTAAAGACAGGGCCATCAGTTAGATTCTTCGCAAACATGTTAAGATGGCGGACGGCGATTTAAAATATTATAACGTCATCCCACAATATAAAGACTTGTTTAGGGGCGCCTAGCCTACTTGGAAGGAATGTAGACCTGTTTTGTTGACGGATCCTATCGAGAAAAGGAAGATAGAAAATAGAAAAAGTAATGTGTACCATTTACATAGGGGGTGCATAGTTCGATGATTGCTTCATCATACCTTTGCAAATACGGAAGTGAACCATTTTTTGACTGATATTCCAACTAGAAATTGAACTTTTATACAAAGGAATACTGACGTGTTTCGGTATGTCATGTCACGTCAACTCACGCCTTGTCACTTCAACAATCAATTAGCAAGGTCAAAGGTCATTGAAAGGTGAAGTCGCCATCTAGAATGTGAAAAGTCGAACAAAATTCAAAGTGAAACCGGAAGTAAACAATCGAAATTTGACTAGGTGCAATATAAAAATAATTTTTTGAAAATCGGAATTAAAATGGCGACTGAATATCGATTTGATTGATTTTTGTAAAATCCAATATGTTGTTTGATTCCAAAACTCCTAAATGGTCTATAGTCTTCATCAATAAGAACACTTTTTTTTAAAACTGAGCATTTGTAAGTATGTGTATGGCAAATTATATTATAATGGTAAATTATATTTGAACTGATTTTTTTCCAAATTCGATGTGAAGCATGGTGACAATGAGAGGATTAAACCTTTTGATTTTCTCTGTTCTTTGTCCACCTCTTGCAAAATGTGAGCATATCATGCATGGCAACCGCTTGTTGACTAAGTTGTGACTTGTTTTTAGACTTGCTTATTTCTAGATTTTAAATTTTTAGGACACACGAAAATGTCCAAGGACAAAATTGTGACCCCTGATGTTTAAGACTTCGGTGTCATTAAAAAATATATGCAAGTTCTTCATGGTCTAAAATATTTTTCAGTACGCCACGACGTTTACGTGAATGTATAGACGATATGGTGGCGTATAAGAAACTGGATGATACAATCTTTCAGCGAATAATGTGGTCGACAGAACCAGAGTTACAAGGTGCCAGAGATCTGATTGATAGAATCCAGAAACGTCAGTTATACAAATGTGTTGGCTTGGCGCCGCGTCCCGAACATCTAGATAAGGTGATACCTTTACACGAACAGATATTTTTGTTTACTTTTACAGATTTCCTTGATTTAAAGTTACAATTTCATATTTTCTAAGAAAGTCAAAACATAATTATTTCTATGTCTTTTGCTCAATAGGTTGTCAACCCACTATTATACGATCATAGGTTATCTTTCTCACACTTAAAACTCATTTACACCGGAAATAATAACACAATTCTCCCTCTTAAAAATCTTCACAACGGAAATAATAACACAATTACCACCCAATTACCCCCCTTGCTTTCTATTCTCCACCATGGAGTAGTTACCTTCAAACGTTTGAATTTGAAGATGAAAATGATATTTTTGCCAATTTCTCAACTGGCAATAGTGAAATATAGGATTAATAGGATTATTCTTTAACAAGGTAGGACTATTTATAGATACCATCTATTTTAAGGCTCTATTTTAATACATTTTAAAAATATGACTTAAAAATATGAAATTGCAACTTTAATAATAGTTGATATTTCAAACAAAAATAACAAAAAAAAACCCCAAAAAACAATCAAGTTATGTTATGCCCTAAAAAATAGATATTCTGGTTCTTGGACAGACCTCCCCACAAATCTGATGAAGTTTTTTGTATTTTAAACGTCCACAATCATAATCTGGACGTATTATGCCCTCACTCCTATCTCTGTGTGTGTATGTGTGATGGTGTATGTCTGTGGATCGCCTACATGGCGAAATTCTTAATGGATTGTCTTGAAACTTTGCATACTCAATCCTTATGCCCTAAAGATGACCATTGTTTGTATTTGTTTGTTTTTCGTCTGACGGTGGTGGGGTGGGGCTAGCCCGTGCGCGTTGTATCTTAAGGTCTACCATTGAGTCAACTGGCGTGGTTTCGATTCCCCTTTTGTACGTGGCAAGGAGTAGGATCGCCTATCCATCTTCGTGGGTTTCCTTGGGTCCTCCGGTTTCCTCTTACTGAAATGAAATGAAATGGGGTTTAACGTCCTACTGTTTTGCTCCTAAATTGGGCTAATGAAGACGGACATATGCCACACAGTGTGCTATGAGGGAAATTTTGCCCGGGCAGCGGCGCTACGGCCTATTCTTATATCGAATTCCAACTGCCAAGGGATCTTTTACGTGCACGCCAATTTGTACACGGGACCTCGGTTTTTCGTTCCATCCGAACGACTAGACAGCTGTCCTTGAACCATATGTTACCCGAAATTACCTGTTTTGTGTCGAGTGAACGGATCACCTTGAAACTTTGAATACTTATTCCTTATACCCAAGGGCATGGTGACTCATGATTTTGCTTGAGAAACAAGATCCTGTCCGGGTCTAAAAAAACAATATTTATATGTGAATGCGGGAAAGGGGGGGGGGTGTTGGTCTCTCCCATTGCCACCGGGTAATATTGGGCTGTGTTTAACAAGCTAGGGTACATTTGTAGTATATCTGATAAACGGTTATGTTTGACACTGGTTGAGCATTATGATTATGATTATAATGTTGAAAACCGCATTTAAATCGCGTGTTCTTTTGCCACTTTAGAGGGGGCGCAATAACTCAAGGGGGCCAAAAACCTAAGACGCAAAGCACGTCATTACGTCCCTCTCACTTAGCCCTTGCTTATACCATAAGGGTCATCCCTACGGTTTTTGGTGCATGCCCAAAACCCAGGAGCAGAGCGACGCCCATGTTCTCTTTGCGTGTCAGTGTGTCGTCTACAGGCTGCATTTCTTTATGAATCGTACTGAAAACTGTTCATACTTATTCCTTATACCCGATTCCAAGGGACACAACTAGGCCCAAGTTGCGTGTGTGTGTGTGTGTGTGTAGACTGGAGCCCACACTTCTTAATAGATCCTCTTGAAACTCAGCATGCCCATTCCTTATACCCTGAGGACGATCCCTATTGTATTTTGTGAATGCTCAACCCCCGTGGACAGGGCCATACCCACTTTTCTTGTGTGTCTGTATGTCGCCAACAGTCCACAATTCTTAATGGATCTTCTTGGAATTTGGCATATGTATTCTGATAGCCTAAGGTTGGCAACTATTGATTTTGGTGCATGTCCCGACCCTCAAGGGTAGAGCCATGTCCCATTTTTGTGTTTCTCGTATGCATGAAGCAATTCTGAATTCTGAATGGATCATCTTGGAACTTGGCATGTGTATTCCTTTTCTTAGAGCCTAAGGGTGACAACTATTGTTTTGGGGGCATTCCAGGCACCCAAGGGCAGAGCCACGGCCGTTTTTTGTGTTTACCGCCTGAAGGCCACAGTTCTGGATTATCTTGGAACTTGGTATACGGCAACTATTGATTTTGGTGCATGACCCATCCCCCTTGGGCAGTGTCACACCCACTTTTTGTTAATATTGTGTCTGTAAATCTTCAGGTTGCAATTATTAACAGATCTGGACCCGTTTCGGCATTATTCATCATAGGGTTGTACCATCATATTGGTCCATGTCCACACACATTGGGGGGGGGGGGGCTACAGGTTGGAATTCTGAATGGATCATCTTGAAACTTGGCATATTTATTCCTTATACTGTAAGGATAGCAATTATTTATTTTGGTGCATGTTAATTATTTTGTCTGTAAATACTCTACAGGTTGCAATTATGAACAGATTTTGTTCAATGTCCAACGCCCAGGGGCAGAGGCACGACCAATTTTTGTGGAATTCTGAATGGATCATCTTGCAAATTTGCATATTTATTCTTATACCGTAAATACAGCAACTATTTATATATACTCTTAAAAAAAGTAGGGGATATTGAAATGCAAATACCTATGCAAGTTGCATATGATAAATAGTCATGGACACTTGACATGCTTTGAGAGTATGTTCACAGATGAAGAACTTAGCGCCCCAACAGAACCACTGAGCTGCACATGCGACACACAATAGCGCCATACACGTGGGAGTGGTTCATTGTCAAATTTGACACTTCGACGAAAAGTTGATAAAAACTGCCGCGTGCTGGTTTATCTATCCATGCTTGCTTTCCTATCGGTTCTTGCATAATATTTACTGTTTAGCGTATCTTTGCTTTAGTGTTTTACGTTTAATTTGATCGGGAGACGTGTTCGTCGACGTCAACGTCAACCGACAACACTTCAAGAATTGGCCGTAGCACTGCAAGAGGAGTGGGTCAGATTGCCCCAACTCGTGATTGGGGTATTGGAATGTCTGAGGATTGGTGGAGCAATTACTCAAAATCAAAAACGTCCATTTTCACTTTTGACGGTGTATTTTTTTGCGAGTGAAATCGGGCCGTCAGATAAGCCGCCAAAATAAACTGTTTATGTTCATGTGTAGGCAATTGGCCTGTTATTAAACATACACTGGTTACCTCTAATAAAAAGAGCAGTGCATTTCCGCAGTTTTGTATTGTTTCAGAATATCCCCTACTTTTTTTTAAGAGTATATGAACCCTGGGGCGAATTCATAGCCACTTCTCTGTTAATATTTAGTCTGTAAATTTTGCGAAACAAACCCAACGGCTAGCCTTCTTTGCCCGGCCTTGTCATATTACAGTCATTGCAGTCATTTCATTCTCTCCATTTTAATAAGTACCATATTGCAGCGGGAGCGATGCTCTCGTTTACTTTGTCCTAAGATCGCTAATGGGATAAATAACTTCTCATAAACATCACAATTCAAGGCACTACATATCGGACCCGTTGTTTTACGAAAAATCACGTTTTTAGCTAATGAACCCTCTAGAGGTCAGAGTTTTTGCTGGAACTTGAACTATAGGTTTATATCCCAAAGATCTTGGTTCATTCGATATTGGCATGATAGATTATGTCCCCTGACTGAACGAAAATTCTTATCTTTAGTTCACTTTAAGTGAGGCAGAACTGTCTAAGAAACAGAATTTATTTTTTTATTTGGCCTTAGTTTAATTCACATCGAATACATATTCTAATATTTGTGTGAGCATTACAACTAACATTTTTATTTGACAGGAAAGGGAGAAGAAAGTGCCACAAGAAATCGCTGATTTAGATGATCAATTAAATCCCGATATTCTCACATTGTCGGTTAGTTTATTTATAGTTTTATCAATTTATTTATGTGTTGAAAAGTTATTCTTGAAGATGTCTTCCATGCTAATATCAAAGTACTAGCCAGTTATCTTTATTAGCCGAGTCCGGTTTTCAGACGAAAATTGTGCCACTCTATTTATCTGATTATTCAATTTATAATTATAGGATCTGAAAACTCGACTTTATATTTGATCAATTTTTTTTAAAAACTGTTTATTCAATAAATGCTTTATAATTTATTTATCTGATTATTCAATAAATATTTAGCCTACGTAATTGTGGGATTTTAAGACAAACAAATACGTTGTTTAAATAAATTATAAACATAAATTATATAAAGGTTTAAATTACATTGAATTTGTATTTAATAAAAACAAATTAAAAAACAGAAAGTAATATGGTTGGCGATAGTAAAGGCCCCGTCACACCTATTAGGAGGGGAGATTTCAAATTGACCAAAATTCATACAGCTTTGTAAGAATGCCGTTCGAATACTTAGAATGCGCTTCAAACATACCTCAAATGATTCTTGCACATTTCGTGTCTATTAAAGGAGGCAAGTCACTAACTCAATATCACGACTTGTTTAGTCAATTTAAATCGACATTGATATTATCTTATTGTGAAAAGATGGGCTTCTGATATCCAATATTTAAGACAAAATAAACATTTTAAAATTGGCACAGTCCCATATAATAACTTTTCAACATCAGTGGAATTATCAGTGAAATGAAATTCGATCGTTTGTCTGTTACCGCTCGTTACTTCAGTCTGTTATATAGAAGGACAACTTGTGTTTGTCATGTTTGACGTCACTTCCCGTTTCTTCACGTGCTTGTTACTCAGCTATCGTAGCAATGATCTCTGTGTTAAAATTATATTTGGGATGTATTTAACGAGCTCTATCACATATTTTATAATGACCGACACCAATATTGTCCTTTAAAAACAGAAACGATTGAATGTAAATAAGTTTTTATATATGTACATTCATATTACATTATTATATGCATTGCGACCCATTTGTGTCTATTTCTATTTGGCAAAGGATGGTGATTTGGCTCCTTTTAGTCTCGAATGCAGTTCGAATGTACCTGGAACACTGTAGGAATATTTCGACTGTTGTTTAGAATGCAGTTAGAATATTTCGACTGCTGTTGGAATGCAGTCAGAATATTTCGAATGCAACTTGAATATTTCAAATGCACTTCGAATGTAACACGAATGGGTTCCGATAGCAATCGAGGTGCATTCCGGCTCATTTGAGAAGCATTCGGGACATTCTGGCATGATTTGAAGTAGCTTGCCGTTTCGATTCTCCCTCCAATGCGATCAGAAATGATTTGAATGTTGTTGGAATACTATAAGAATATTTAGAATGCAGTCAGGGTGTATTTAGAATATAATTCGAATGCTATTCGATATTTCTCCACTTCGAATGCACCTCGAATATTGTGAGCATCAGCAAAACATGCGGGCCGACCACAAGAATGCAGTCAGAAGTTTTAGAATCCAATATCAAGGAATATACAAAGAATGTTCATTCCAACGGCATTCCGCCTCTTGTAGGACTAGGGTTTAATGGAAGGGTGTACGAACCCAAAGCTGATAAAGAATAATAAATATTACATAAACCGTTTTGAATCTTATTTGGCCGTTTTAACCAAAATGTTTGGTCATAATGACCACAATATGCAAAGAATAAAAATGTGACAGCCCGTGGGGCTTCCTATTGGACGTCTTAACTGCAGATATATTATACGGATACAATTCCAATATATCCTTCATTATTTCAGCGTGTTCATTATGACTATTGTATGAAAGATGAAGATCCAGTTAGATATTACAGATTTTACGAGAAACCCAAACATCATGACACTGAAGACGGTCCCATTAAGAAATGTTTAAAACTCTGTGAAGACCAGGTAGGATTTTACATACGCATATCTTTGATTTTATTTATAGATAGGTTTGATTTATTGAAGTCTTCTGTGTATGCATATGTAAGTTGGGTATAAGGGGCTGAAATGTTATTTTGCATCAGAGCTGGGAGTGTTTACAACTGGGCTAGAAAGTTTTACACCAGTGGTGAAGTATATGAAACCACTTGTTGGAGAAAAACCCATGGGGTTAGGCATCCAGTCCTACTTCTTGTCAGATAAAAACCCTGTATTGAATTCATGCCTTAGTTTGTGTCAGAGTTAACGCCCCTTTATTCTAATACATCACATCTATTCTGGGGTAATTGGAAAAGCTGCTATCCAACACAAATTCCCTTCTAGCACACCGCATGGCGTATTCCAGTCGTTATCATCCCACTTGGTGCAGAAAGTAGATCTTGAAACCTCACTTCATTTTATTTCATTTCATTTCCAATATTCTTTTCAGGGCCCCCAGATGCTTCCAGCGCATTTTCAAGTAGACATGATTCGTATCTTCTGCAAGGCAAAGGATAAAAAAACCATACAGGCTGCCGAATCAGCTTTTAAACAATGGTGTGATGACAACGAAGTGACGCCAGAGGTAGTTATTTATTGTATTGTATTGATGTTGCTATCTGGGTAAAATTCTCTGGATGGACGAATCCTTAAGTCAAATCTGCATGATTCTGATAAACTCAGTTTCACAGAATTTATATGAAGAAAAACGATCCTTTATTCTGTAATTATTTATATATGTGAGAAAACCACAGTGGCTCATTGAGTAACGGGCTGACCCAATAAATAGGAGATCCCAGGTTTTTTTTTTTACAAATTTTAATTTGTTTTATTTTTCAGACTATCAGAGGGGGTTTTAGATTCGAGGAAGCTACCAATGGGGTATTAATACATATACATTTCATTCAAATGTTTTAGATTATTTCACATCTTATAATAACAAATGTTCAAATAACAATGTATAATAACAATGTTCACGTTGTATAATAACAATTTTTTTTTATCTTGTTTAATAACAATGTTCACATTGTATAATAACAATGTTCGCATTGTATAATATCAATGTTCGCATTGTATAATATCAATGTTCGCATTGTATAATATCAATGTTCGCATTGTATAATATCAATGTTCACATTGTATAATAACAATGTTCACATTGTATAATAACAGTTTTTGTCTTATATAATATAATTAGAAATTCATAATCCTTATAAGACATATAGAAATAGATTTCACTAAAAATAAAACACACTTATATGGATATACTACTTCTGAATTTATTAACATGCTACGTTTCGATACACATACAGATATCGTTTTCAAGCAAATAATTTGAAAACGATATCTGTATGTGTATCGAAACGTAGCATGTTAATAAATTCAGAAGTAGTATATCCATATAAGTGTGTTTTATTTTTAATTAGAAATTCACTTTTTAATAACAAATTTGATCATCATGTTAGAATAATAATTTACTTTTTGATAGCACATTTTCTCAACATTTTGTAATAACAAATTTTCTCAACATTTTGTAATAACAAATTTTCTCAACATTTTGTAATAACAAATTTTCTCAACATTTTGTAATAACAAATTTTCTCAACATTTTGTAATAACAAATTTTCTCAACATTTTGTAATAACAAATTTTCTCAACATTTTGTAATAACAAATTTTCTCAACATTTTCTAATAACAAATTTTCTCAACATTTTCTAATAACAAATGTCCTCAACATTTTCTAATAACAAATGTCCTCAACATTTTCTAATAACAACAGTTATTAGCTACTTGTGTGTTATCTACACAAGTTAATAAGAAGTGGAATCTAGTGTTCTGGAAAGGGTACAAGAACCAAGACCCATGTATGTAAATTCACCTTAATGAAAAAATGAAATTGAGTTGAACCTCCTTTTCTGTGCCAATTGGTCTAATGAAGACCCCTGTATATGAATGCGCCTAAATGAAAAGATAGGTTGCCAAGCAACGAAACGAACACCCACAGCAGCCAAATCGTCCGCGTGGTCGACAACGGTTGTCGCATATTTATTTTTTTGTAGGTAAGACAATTTCGTACAGATCAGATTATAATTTTTGTTGTTTGAGTGTTCACAACGCTTTACAAACTGAAACAAGGGCCTCAGCTCTGGAAATAATTTACAGAAATTGTTGAAATTCGACAGTTTATTTTCGTTTTACTTACTTAAATAATGTAGATAAATTACATACAGATCGGATGATAACCCTTGTCGTTATTTGCCGCCATAAGGTTCAACAAAGTGAAACAAGGGCCATAACTCTAGAACTAATTAACTGAAATTGCTGAAATATAATTGATGCATATAAATTTCATACAGATCGGATAATAACTTTTGTCGTTAGAGTGTTCACAATGTCCAACACAGTGAAACAAGAGCGATAACTCCAGAAGAAATTAACGGAAATTATTGAAATTATTCTTCATCTCACTTGTGTAAGCAACAATATTGAAAACAATCAAATGAAAAATGTAGAATGTTCACAAGGAATTGTGTACGTGCAGACGGACTGGTCGACGGCAATGAAATTGGGTTTAACGTTTTACTTGTTGGGGTGATGAAGACAGGAATTTGCCATGTAGTGTGCTATGAAGGTAATTGTGCCTTGGCAGTAGAGTTTTCGCCTACTCCTCATCACATTCCAACACTTCATTGAATTTCAACTGTCCAGGGTTCTTTTATATGCACGTCAATTATCCCTAGATGACTAGACATTGCTCCATGTTAGACCCTGTGTCCTGCACCTCTAGCAAAGGGATATCCAAAATGGACCTTCACTGACCTATAATACATCATATATCTGTATTTTACAATAATAGATGAAAGGTTTCTTGTTTTTCTTTCTAGTAAACCAGCAAAGAATAAAGATGACAGATTTAAAGAAAAAGATAAAATGGACTTGAGACATTTTTGTGTGTGTGTTTTTTTAATTTATTTCTTTTAAATTATTTGCTTGAGAGTTTAAAATCTATTTATTGTTTTACAGTTTTAGTATATATTTGTTGTATTACAGTTTTAATATATATTTATTGTATCATAGTATTGATATCTATTTATTATATCACAGTTTTAGTATCTATTTATTGTATCACAGTTTTAGTATCTATTTATTGTATCACAGTTTTAGTATCTATTTATTGTATCACAGTTTTAGTATATATATTTATTGTATTACTGTTTGAGTATCTATTTATTGTTTCTGTTCATGTTTTTACTTTTACTGGGTTTTCTCTAATTAACGGTGGAGAACTCATTAAATGGCTAGGAGATACACATTTAATAAGTAAGTTTACCCTCAAAGTTCATTAAACATACACACATACTTTATGCAAGAGCTAAATCTGCCAATTGCAGGTCTTCCTTTAGGCCTGAAATTTTATCTAATTTATTAATTAGACATTAATTAACTTATCCAGACCATAATCAGCTTTCGATGTCATCGCTAGCCTGCGATATTTTCTGGATTAGAATTTGCTGCCTAACGCTCATTGATAATTAAATGAAAACCTGGATAATCGAGACTATGTTTTTATCGTACAGACTATCACACTGATGAGCAGTGAATTTTCGCTAGGCCGCTACAATCACTGATAAGGATGACATCGATGCGACTTAATGAGTCCCATTAAATTAAATTAAATTCTAAAACATTTTTTTCATTTATTAGAAAAATAAATAAAGACGTTTGAATTATTTGTAGGTAAAAATCATTTCCTTTTTAGTGTAAATGGGTATTAAAATAATTAAAATTCGCCATTTAGCCCGAATCAGTAACGTCTTATGTAAACAATGCACGCGCTATTGAACCAATGTGTGACGCCACGTGTCGAAACAGTCATCTGTTACAGAGATATTAAAAGATCTCTGTGAAACATATTGACAGACTTTAGTAATGATGATAGAGGCTAGGCCCAAAATTCATTCGCTAAAATCTCGGTTCAGAGAGGCTCAATTTGACTGAAATTTTCCGCAAATTGCCTTTACATTATCTAGTTTTTAACTATTATAGTGAGAACTGCCAGCGCTTCCATAATGTATACATAAATGGCAAGGAACACATTTAATAGTAAGGGGACACATCTGTTGTCAATCTATAACTGTACAAGACTGCACAGTACACAATTGTCAAGCATTAATGATCTATAGAAGGGATGATAGGTACGGACAGGGATGCTATTTAAAAATTTTGCACGTCGGACATTTTTGGTTGGGGTTAACCGAATCCAGAATTCGTCGTCCGCATCAGGAAATAAGATCAATAGGCTCCCATTCCCTTTAGTGGACTTCAACTACTGTCTGAACCATCGTAAATTTTAAACGGATTTCTTCGATTATGATCAAACTACTTAACTTTGGTTATTATAAACTTACCTGTGTGTTTGAGATCAATGACAGAAATAGTATGTTTCTCATAAAGGTTTAAGAACGTCAGCATTCATCCATCAAATTGTACTGTTAGGATTGGTGATGTGCTTGTTACTCCATCTAACTGTCAGGAATCAGGGTATAATGATGGATTCGACTCGAACAATGGACACCCATATCACCAGCTTATGTAAGGCAGCGTCGCACATGCCTGATTTTTCCCAGATGACAGAAATATTAGTTGCTTGTTTTGGTTTGATTGTATAATCTTTTGATAATATATTGTCTCTAAATCTTTTAATAATATATTGTCTCAAAAACTTTTAATAATATTTGTCTACTGTCTCAAAATCTTTTAATAATATTTTGTCTCAAAATCATTTAATAATATTTTGTCTCTAAATCATTTAATAATATTTTGTCTCTAAATCATTTAATAATATTTTGTCTCTAAATCTTTAATATTCTGTCCCATACAATTCAATTGTTTATATATTTGTGTTTGTTTTAAAATATATTTCATGATGAATAAAGTAGCCTTCTTATACTTTAATTGTGTTTGTGTTCATTGGTTAAAGCTGAGGAAGTTTTTATAAATCAAGGAATGAAGATTGGTTCAGCGTGGGTCAAGACATTGCAGTTCTGTGTCAAACCTGGACATAAGGCACCCGTCATAGACTTGGTAAGACACAAATGCCACTTAAAGAATAAGACACAAATTGTCACACAACATATGTACTCAAACAAAAATAGGGGATATTGAAATGCAAATACCTATGCAGGTTGTGATATGATAAATAGTCATCAACACTTGAATGGTTTGAGAGTATGTTCACAGATGAAGAACTTATCGCCCCAACAGAATCACGGAGTTGCATGGGTGACACGCAATAGCTCCATACACGTGGGAGGGGTTCATTGTCAAATTTGACACGTCAAGGAAGGGTTGATGAAAACTGCCGCTTGCTGGTTTATCATATCTATGTTTGCTTTCCTATCTGTTCTTGCATAAGATTTTCTGTTTAGCGTATCTTTGCTTTAGTTTAATTTGATCGGGAGATGTGTTCGTCGACGTCAACGTCAACCGACAACACTGCAAGATTTGGTCGTGGCACTGCAAGAGGAGTGAGTCAGATTGCCCAGAATCGTGATTGGACGGTTGATTAGGAGCATATCACGACGAATTGCTGAATGTCTGAGGATTGGTGGAGCAATTACTCATTATTAAGACAAAAATAAAAAACGTCCATTTTCACTTTTGACAGTGTATCTCTTTGCGAGTGAAATGGGACCGTCAGATAACAATGTATAATAACAATGTTCACGTAGTATAATAACAATTTTTTTTTATCTTGTTTAATAACAATGTTCACATTGTATAATAACAATGTTCACATTGTATAATAACAATGTTCGCATTGTATAATATCAATGTTCGCATTGTATAATATCAATGTTCGCATTGTATAATATCAATGTTCACATTGTATAATAACAATGTTCACATTGTATAATAACAGTTTTTGTCTTATATAATATAATTAGAAATTCACTTTTTAATAACAAATTTGATCATCATGTTAGAATAATAATTTACTTTTTGATAGCACATTTTCTCAACATTTTGTAATAACAAATTTTCTCAACATTTTGTAATAACAAATTTTCTCAACATTTTGTAATAACAAATTTTCTCAACATTTTGTAATAACAAATTTTCTCAACATTTTGTAGTAACAAATTTTCTCAACATTTTCTAATAACAAATGTCCTCAACATTTTCTAATAACAACAGTTATTAGCTACTTGTGTGTTATCTACACAAGTTAATAAGAAGTGGAATCTAGTGTTCTGGAAAGGGTACAAGAACCAAGACCCATGTATGGAAATTCACCTTAATGAAAAAATGAAATTGAGTTGAACCTCCTTTTCTGTGCCAATTGGTCTAATGAAGACCCCTGTATATGAATGCGCCTAAATGAAAAGATAGGTTGCCAAGCAACGAAACGAACACCCACAGCAGCCAAATCGTCCGCGTGGTCGACAACGGTTGTCGCATATTTATTTTTTTGTAGGTAAGACAATTTCGTACAGATCAGATTATAATTTTTGTTGTTTGAGTGTTCACAACGCTTTACAAACTGAAACAAGGGCCTCAGCTCTGGAAATAATTTACAGAAATTGTTGAAATTCGACAGTTTATTTTCGCTTTACTTACTTAAATAATGTAGATAAATTACATACAGATCGGATGATAACCCTTGTCGTTATTTGCCGCCATAAGGTTCAACAAAGTGAAACAAGGGCCATAACTCTAGAACTAATTAACTGAAATTGCTGAAATATAATTGATGCATATAAATTTCATACAGATCGGATAATAACTTTTGTCGTTAGAGTGTTCACAATGTCCAACACAGTGAAACAAGAGCGATAACTCCAGAAGAAATTAACGGAAATTATGAAATTATTCTTCATCTCACTTGTGTAAGCAACAATATTGAAAACAATCAAATGAAAAATGTAGAATGTTCACAAGGAATTGTGGACGACGGACGTACTTCTGTACGTGCAGACGGACTGGTCGACGGCAATGAAATTGGGTTTAACGTTTTACTTGTTGGGGTGATGAAGACAGGAATTTGCCATGTAGTGTGCTATGAAGGTAATTGTGCCTTGGCAGTAGAGTTTTCGCCTACTCCTCATCACATTTCAACACTTCATTGAATGTCAACTGTCCAGGGTTCTTTTATATGCACGTCAATTATCCCTAAATGACTAGACATTGCTCCATGTTAGACCCTGTGTCCTGCACCTCTAGCAAAGGGATATCCAAAATGGACCTTCACTGACCTATAATACATCATATATCTGTATTTTACAATAATAGATGAAAGGTTTCTTGTTTTTCTTTCTAGTAAACCAGCACAGAATAAAGATGACAGATTTAAAGAAAAAGATGATATGGACTTGAGACATTTTTGTGTGTGTGTTTTTTTAATTTATTTCTTTTAAATTATTTGCTTGAGAGTTTAAAATCTATTTATTGTTTTACAGTTTTAGTATATATTTTTTGTATTACAGTTTTAATATATATTTATTGTTTTACAGTTTTGATATATATTTATTATATCACAGTTTTAGTATCTATTTATTGTATTACTGTTTTAGTATATATTTATTGTATCACAGTTTTAGTATCTATTTATTGTATCACAGTTTTAGTATATATTTATTGCTTTACAGTTTTAGTATTTATTTATTGTATCACAGTTTTAGTATATATTTATTGTATTACAGTATTAATATCTATTTATTGTTCCTGTTCATGCTTTTACTTTTACTAGGTTTTCTCTAATAAACGATGGGGAACTCATTAAACATATGTAAGAGCTAAATCTGCCTATTTCAGGTCTTTCTTTAGGCCTGAAATGTTATCTACATTATTAATCAGACATTAATTAACATATCCAGACCATAATCAACTCTCGATGGCATCGCTAAAATCCTGGTTCATAGTGGATCAATTTGACTGAAATTTTCAGCCAATTGCCTTTACATTATCTAGTTTTTAACTATTATAGTGAGAACTGTCAGCTCTTTATCTGATCTCCCATAATGTATCTTTAAATGGCAAGGGACACACATTTAATAGTAAGGCGGAACATCTGTGGACAATCTATAACTGTACAAGATTGCACAGTACACACTTATCAAGCATTAATGATCTAAATTGTCATTAGAATTAGAAGTCCAGAATTAGTTCACCAGAAGTCGTCGTTTGTTTCAGGAAATAAGGTCAAAAGGCTTTCATTCTCTTTAATGGACTTCAACTAATAATATTTATTATGTTATGTAGAATATCGGGTTCTGGATAATGTTGATGAATAGTTCACAATATTGGATGATCCTCTCTATTTTTCATATTTAATTACCGTGCCGGCTTCAGTACCTGCCTTGGTTTGTACAATAGAAAACGCAATCGAAACGTTCGTGATAAGAATAGTTCATGATATCTAAACATGGTTTTCTTCTTTAGAAACTGGTATTTTAAAATTAATTACTTGTAAAACGGCATAGCCCACTTCTGCGTATTATCGTGTCAGTTATTGACCTACGTGACATTTTACACATAATTCGCGCCAAAATCAATCATTTTACTAGTTTCGTAGTAAGCAATGCCGTGTATGATTTCTGTGCGACGGAAATCATACATGGCATTTCTTACTACGAAAGTGCCATGGGAATTTCTATATGGAGACTTAAAAGACGTAGTTTCATTACGGAAAAAATGTTAAAGGTGTTTAATAATAGGTAACGATTCGTACGGAATATTTTGACAGTAAGACCGAAATAGTATGTTTCTCATCAAGGTTTAATTTTTCGTACTAACCATAAACATTATTCAGAACGTGCAAAATTTTGAAATAGCATCCCTGTTCTTAACTATTCTTAGCATTCATCCATATACTTGTTTGTGCTTGTTACTGCATCTAATTCTGTCAGGAATCTGTGAGAAATGATGGAATGGACTGGAACAATCTACATCCATATCACCAGCTTATGTAATCCAGCGTCACACTCTGTGGTGCATTGGGTAGATCAGGAAGTTTTAAATGAAGGTTAATACCTAGAAACTTATACGTGCATTTGTTTCATCTTGGTTACATTACTGTAATAGCTGGTCTATCGCAGTTATGGGTGCCAATTTGAAGAATGCGGCCGTGCACTTCGTAATAAGAAGGCCACGGCCAATCCTACAGGCAGTCCGCTTGTTACCAGTTGAGGCTCGAGTTGAATTCAAAGTTTTGTGCATCATTTTCAAGCTAATTAATTACTGTGAGACCGTCCCAGTCTATCTTCTAGAACTTATCAATAACTGTGAGACCGCCCCAGTCTATCCTCTAGAACTTATCAACGTTGATCAACCTTTCCGGACACTTCGAAGTGGTGATGACACAAAACTTACACACCCATTTGTCCTCAACCGTCGCGAGCTTATGGGTATAGATCTTTTAGCATATTTGCACCTAAATTATGGAACAGCATACTATCTCCATTGAGAATAACTGACAATTTGAACTCTTTTGAACCTGCTCTTAAAACCTATATTTTTAGAAAATATTTTTTTTGTGAAGTTTTAATTGTTAGTTTCTTTTGCAAATTACAATGTTTAATGGTTTAATTTATATGGGTATACAGCAGTTTTAGTTATTAGTTATATTTACAATTTTTGATAATTTTAATAGTATGTTTTAAAGACCAATCTGATATATGTGTACAACAGTTTTCGTTATATTTGCTTTTACTATATTTAATAAATGTAATGTAAATTCATCAAGTTTAATAGTTGCTTTTAGTATTTTTAATAATTTTAATGTAAATTTATAAAGTTTAAAAGTTAATTTGTTATGTTTATACAGCGGTTTGAGATTTTGTTTTAATGTAAATCGTTTTATCAAAAATAAATTTTTATTATTTGTTGTCGGTGAATGGAAAATACTTAAAATATTGTGTGATGACAAATCTCTATGTGCTGTAATACCCAATTTCTAAAATCACCCGAAGTAGGCTGTACATAACTTTGTGCTGCAAAACCCAATTTCTAAAATCACCCGATGTAGGCCATGCATAACATTGGGCTGCAATACCCAATTTCTAATAACTCCCAGCCTATACGTAACATTGTGCTCCAATACATAATTTCTAATCACTTCAAGTGTACAGTGTATAACTTTCTGCCATAATTCCCAAGTTTACAACATTGCCCGATTCTTGTGTAAATTTTCTCAGATGACAGAAATATTAGTTGCTTGTTGTAGCTTGATTTTATAATCTTTTAATAATATATTGTCTCTAAATCTTTTAATAATATGTTGTCTCTAAATCTTTTAATAATATATTGTCTCTAAATCTTTTAATATTCTGTTCCATGGAATTCACGTTTTCTTGAATGTTTTATAAATTTGTGTTTGTTTTAAAATGTATTTCTATTTCATGATAAATAAAGTAGCCTTCTTATACTTTAATTGTATTTGTGTTCATTCGTTAAAACTGAGGCCATGAAAATGAGCCATTGTCACAGACTTTGCCAGACACAAATCATCACATAACATATACATTATAATATAAACGGTGTGTTAGTCCCGAAATGACCTGGTTTCTGTCGAGTGGGCGTTAAACCCCATTTGTCTCTCTCTTAGTTCTGTTCTGGGAGGGACACACGTATGTAATGTGCGTTGCTCTATGTTCTATTACAGGAGGGGTGGTGCATGCTGAAAAGTTTTTTTAGAGAGGACCCGGGGGTCCGGTGAGAACATTTTGAAAAATGGGGTGTTAACATGTGCTTCAATTTTATTTCAATAATTCACTTGTGCGTAGGGGCGTTTAGCAGTTTGAGGATCCAGAAACCCACGGATACGCGTTAAACATTCGGCCACCCACCCACTCTCATTTCAGAAAGCATCAAGCACTCAAATGGTTTATCACTCAGTTTAACGCAAGCAGAAAATGGTCATTATCGAAATTGATCAAGGTATTGATTTAAAGAAGCCATGCACCAAGTTTCATCACTCACCCAGTTAGAATCAAGAGTCCCATAGAACCAACAAATCAAGTTACTTATTTCTGCTTAACTTATCAAACTCAGTCAAGACATTCAATTAATAAATTGATAAGTTAATAAATTACTAAGTTTGTAATTTCTACATCAAGCAAAAGCCAGAGTGTGTGATGGAGGGACAAACCCCTTTTAACAGTCCCTTGGCGTGGAACAATAATCCTTCTCAGTGGGGTCTCCATTTGACTCTACAAAGGGAGAGAGAGTTTAACTCCACTCAACACAAACTAGGTCATTTCGGGATTAACATATGGTTCAATTTTATTTCAATAATTCGCTTGTGCGTAGGGGTCTTTAACAGTGGGGGGAAACCGGAGGACCCAGAGAAAATCCAAGGGGTGGACTGGCGGCCCTACTCCTTGTCACGTACAACCGGGGATTCAAAACCACGCCAGCTGACTCAATGACAGACCTTATGATACAACGCACGCGCGCTAACCATTCGGCCATCCAACCCCGGTCTACAAAAGGGGAGTAGCCCTCTGAAAAGTGCAGGCCCTTTCCAACGGGCCTTGCTCTGCATTTTAAGAAATAACAATTGAGGTAATAGCTAAGATTATATCCTTTTTATACAGAGAAAAGACAATAAACATACATATATATAAATATATATATATATATTAATGATATACATATATATAAGAGGATTAAGAGAGAAATATACAGAACATAATATAATATGTATATAATATACGAATTATTAAAAAAAAAACAAAAAAAAAAAACAACATTACGTCAGATCTATAACTTGTAAACATGCATCATGTTCACGCGATCTTAATGTTTACAATTCTAATTAAAAAAAAAAAACTACAAAAAAAACTCAAAACTAACAAACTACAGAAAAACAAACCAGGTGTGAACTACGGTACTTAATTATAAAATATCTTCTTTTTTTTCCCAGCAAAAGTTTAAAATGCAATTATTTCCAAGGAAAAGCTAGAAATAAGATTCGGCATTTCGACAGAGTGAAAACTGAAAATTTTGTCTTTAAACTTAATTAAAACATAAAAATCACTCATGATATATCATTTCTTTTGTAATTAAACTTGACTAAAATAAAAATGTATGTTTATTGACCCATGTTTCACACAAAACAATATTTTGAAACAAACCCTGTATTTCATGATAAAAAAAGCCCTCATGATCAATTCATACTTCGATACTATTGGTGGTGTCTAAAATCATGGACGAATGGGGAGGCGATCAGGTAGGTTGGGGTGGTCATTTTGATAGAGAAAGTTCATTTACTGGTAATGGGGATTCTGGGTACTAGTGTCATGGTTACCTAACCCAAACCCTTGTCGTGTATTATCTATCTTAAGGATTTCCTAAATACAGTGGATGTTTAAAGGACATTAAAAGCTTCATAAAACTTGCTGCCAGAACCCCCCCCCCCCTAATTCTAACTGCAGTAGTAGTGGTAGTATATGGAAGTCACCCAAAATATACATAATTAATAATTTTTGGCAAGAATTTAAATAAACAAACATACTTATTTGATTAAATTACAAAGATTTGAAAAAACAAAGCTGCAAGAACATGCAATCTTAAAATGATATATGAAATGAAGATATATTATTTCTCAGCTTGAGATCAACTTTTTGTCCTTATCATCATTCTGTATATTTACTTCTTCTAGAACATTTCATAACACTTCTTATTCACCCAAGAAAACGTAAACTAAGCTATAATAGGGATGCAATGAATTAAAATCTGAGTACAAATTTTAGCTCTTGGCCTAAGTTTTTGTGACTATGACCCAATAAAAAGTTATAAGAACTAGTTTATACGATTTGGATATTGACATATCTTCTTGGTTGTACCTTTACATTCATTCAGAAATAGGAGTTGAAGATTTTGAGTGAGGAATTATCCCCTGTAGATATAAATTGCATTGTTCTATTAGGGGATTAATTAAGGACTGAATGTCTCCCTATTAGGGGATTAATTAAGATCTTAATGTCTCCCTATTTTAACAATCATATTGTTTCATTTAGTTTAATCTTTTCTAAGATCAATTTTTGAAAGTTCGATTTTTGGAACGGTCAATTATTATCAAGAAATATAGGATGTGAAAAGACCTGTATGTAAATGAGGAATAAAAGAAATAAAATAAATTAAATCATATATTATTTACTAGATAAAATTTAGGTCACATTTTGTGTTTTGAACTGTGCTTTCATTTCAAAATATACCAGACAATAAAGTTTTGACATATCGTTTAGATTGGATTTAATAATTTAAAGAATCATCCCAATTTCTATAGAATATTTTAAAGGGTTTTTACACATAGAAATGATAAATTTTACTATATTCTTAGAATTGCTAATTACATGATATGTAAATTGACTGAAAGTTCAATTCTCCAGCAGGTCAAATTCACTGCCAGTCAGTGTAGACTGGTCAATATGACTGAAACAATAACCCTCCTCCAAGTACTATTAATAAAGGGAAGTAACTCATTTAGGTGTCAGGCCACTATTCTTGTTGTATGTAAATGTAAGATTCTGCAGCAGGTTGATTTGACTACTGGTCAGTCAAGACTTATAAATATGACTAAATCGTAGCAAAATTCAACAAATGACAAAGACTACAGTGGAGTACTTGACTTTCAATTTAGACCGACAATATCCACATAATTCCAATTTTTAACAATTAATTTTAACATCGATAGGTAGGTTAAAATGATAAATTCCACATAAGTCTCACTTTTAACAAATTTTAACACTGATAAAAAAAAAAAGTATTTAGATAGGTTAAAATGATAAATTCTACATAATTCTTATTTTTAACAAATTTTAAAACTGATAAAAAAAAATGTATTTAGATAGGTTAAAACGATAAATTCCACATAATTCTTATTTTTAACAAATTTTAACGCTGATTAAAAAAAATGTATCTACATTTGAACAACAGAATATGCAACAAGTGTAACGTATATTAACAATTTATAGCTTACTTTGAATCTGAGGTAAAGAAAACTTTATAACATTCCATTATAATATATTTAACAACTTTCCAAAAAAACAAAACAACAGAATTAAATTTCATTGCTATTTAAATACATATTCATGATATTTGTTTGCTTTAAATGAGGTGTCAGGTCATTATTAAACATACATGTACAAATTTTCACACGTACATGCACAAATTTAGCTAAAAAAAAAATCACCTTTGTTAAATAATACACAAAATTAAAGCCAAGCATGGATAATTTATTTAATATTGAACATTCAAAATAATCATGTGGACATTTGACTTACAGAGTGTCGCGATTTGAATAAAAGAACAATAAAAAGTGCCAAAGCTGCACGAAATTGTCAAAGACAGAGATTAAAAATAAAGTAATTAAAAAGAAAAATCTAAAGGCACTTAAAATGGACTATTAGTTTACCAAAAAATTGTATTTTGAAAAGTTGATAAAAATGTAATAGGAAAGCAAATGGGGTGTAATGTCCATCTTTCAAATTTAATGAACAAACATCATAATCAAGGGCCACAACTGGTGTAGCATGACCATTTTTGGTTTTCATTTTAAAAAAAACCCCAATGTTGACTTGTTTTATTTTGCGCTGTAAGTAATATTGGGTGTCCGATGTAAACACAAATGAAATGTCATTAAATTTGACAAACTGTGAAAGAATGGACATGAAAAACAAAAGGGAGTTAATAACAATTAACAAAGCGGTAAATTTAATTATCCAATAAAAAGCATGAGAATCAAACTACGAATGAACAGATCCCGAAAACAGATCTCGGCAGCAAAAAGAAAGTTGCTAATAAATAAACCAAGTAGTAAATAAGTATTTGTGTCTCTTGTGATTACCCTATCGGCATTCAGTCAGTAGGACAACCTTATAGCTGACTGGTTAGTATGGGTTTAACACTCGACACAAACAAGGTCATTTCGGGACTAACAAAGGGTTCAATTTTATATCAATAATTCGCTTGCGCGTAGGGGTCTTTAGCAGTGGAAGGAACCAGAGGACCTTGGAGAAAACCCTAGAGATTGGTCAGCCATCCACCACACCCCTGATTAGAGTGTATCGATACGTATTCTGATATGCGAGGCTTGATGTACGAATTCAGGAAGCAGATATAGGGACATTGACTGGATAGTGTGTCATGTACGGATACTTACATCATATAGAAGCCTTAAGGACTGAATCCTGACAATCGCTCTCCCTGTTTTACAAACTCTCACTCACGTACCTGTACTACCTGGCTTGTGAAAAACTAGATGTTCATTCATAATTTGACATAAGCAGAGATTCAATCACTAATAACTCAATAATAAAATATGTCTGTAGTAAATTTAACAGAGGACAATAAACGGCAGAACTACAAAGTTAACGAATTAAAATCTGTCAATTTATAGACGAGGTAAATAAAAGGACAAAATATATTTGAAAAAAAAAAAAAATAACAATTAAATAGACAAACCAGAATCAACGAACCAACAGTCGTACATTATTTGAAAAACAAGATGTATATAAAAATTACACTTTAAATTTTCAACAACATTCTTTTTTACAATTTATAATTATCAATAAATACTTTTATAAAACAATCTTTATTTTAACATGTCTATTTCATAAAAAGCTACATATAGACATTGTGGTTCATGCAGACTTCCAAAATTATTTTTGTTACAAGACAAAGGCTGTCTGCTTTCTGATATCGAAATTACAAGTCTTCAGCAGCACCTTGTAAATAATCTTTCAATGTCTTACAATTTTTGTGAAATCTGCCTTATTCACTATTATTACAGAACATTTATATAGCGTTATATTGTGCTTTATATCCAAGAAAATGTAGACAAGGCTACTAAATGAAATGGTTATATTTCGTAAAATCAAATCAGATCAGGTCTAAAAGTAAGTGTTCACAAAACCATAACATGGAAATATCAATCCTACAAAATTAGGAGTAATAAAGGTCTATCTATAATGGCTCCGCAGATTAAAATTCTTGATCCATATAATAATATACATGTATATAGTATTCTCAGCTACACAAAAGATGCTTAAATATGATTTATATACCTAATTAATGACAATCAATTAATCTATCTGTATTCTACTGTTTTAATTACAACACATACAACAAGCATACAGTTAGCTGATAAAGATCCTTTGATAACAACTTCATATAACCAATCCGAAAGGAACAAATGCCTTTCGGCCTAACTGATGCCCCATGTACATTCAAGCAATCCAAGAATAAACTTTTAAACATGATTGTATTTTTAGTTGACAACAATAACAACCTTGTATATTCCTTTGCCAATCTGAATTTTATTAGTTGCACTTCTAACTCTTTCTTTTAGGCTCTTATCAAAGGTCTCATATTGATGTGCTGTATGATGTTTTGATCTACAAATTCATCTATACCCTAATTCTTACGTCAAAGTCAATACTTTCTTAGAGATCTCTCAATTACAGTCAAGTTTTACAAGTACTTACATGGGACCTTATTTACCGTTTGAATACACAAAAGCATCTAATAAATTTAGTGGTTGATGATTAAGAATCCATAGTGCACATAAACCCTTACCCAAGAAGTTATAAAAATAGCACTTACATAATTTTTAATGATTATTTTTAAGATTTGAAATCAATTATTTTTCTTTTACCATGCCCTTTTATATTTAGCATGTAATTAAGGTCCCTTGTCATGAATGATATAAGGTTTTCAAGTTCAATAATCCATGAGACCTCTAGTACTACAACTGGCTAATGTATGTGGTACCAAACAACAATCTTTAAACATTTTTTTATCAGTAAAAGATATGTTTAATTCTCAAGCAGTAAAGAACACTTACGGAGCCTTCGAGAATGTTTTGCAAAATTAACAAAACTTCTGGATTTTATTCATGGGCTAGTCTTAATGAAAATACAGAGGTTATCTTTCTTGTTTTGAGAATAATTTTAAAAGATTATAATATATTTTTTGGGGTACTGGTGTCGAAATCCTGTACCAGGATTATAAATTAAATTATGTAAAACCAGTATATCCATCATGACAACTAATAATAACTTGTTTATCTTGCTGTTCATCTTATAAATATGTGTTTTCGTGTTGCTCTGTCTAATATTGGGTTCTTGTTTCATAAGCTGTTGAAGAAGTAGTTGTGGTAGTGTTAGCAGTTGTTGACGATCCTGCTGGATGTTGAACAACTTGCCAACCCCGATAATTAAAGAAGGTATCAATGGCAAATACCGCTGTAGCAACAAACGCGAAAAACTGAAAAAAAAAGCAAACCCAAACATAAATGCCAATTTTATGATCAGTCTCAGGTCGTTGAAGTAGCAGTACAGTACAGATCCTATTTCGTTTCGTTCTTTTATAGTTCAAAATTCCGCTTTACTTGTCTTTACTACACTAGGATCTGGAAGAGTTGTTATTATTGACATGTTCTGAATAGTGTGAGGAATTAGCCAATGAAATGTTCTGTTACGGCTAGCTTTAGGCGTGTTTTGCACGGAACTGTGGTTAATCCACTAGTAACATCAATGCTGATTGGTTAATCAAATGTCTGACATCATAGGGTCAAAAGCCGCTGGTATAACCACTCACGTGACTTATCGCTAGTGTGTAGACCATCAAAAGTATAAAAAGAACGAAACAAAATATAGATCTGTATTCTAATCAGACCGAGTAGCAGTACTGATGTTAACACTAGGGACCGGGTATCATTCAGATTTGATGAAAAAAATAAAGAAACTGAGCTTACCATCTATAATCTAATACACATATTCAGTTAATAGATTGCCATGCAGAAAGTATTAAATACCATCAAGATTCATCAAATATCGCCCAGTTGGTGCTACTGTTTAGTTTAAGAAACACCATTTAGTTTTGACATCGGTCATCTAGTTTATGACCATTTTTTTTAGTTTTGATATTAGTCATCCAGTTTATGACCATTTAGTTTCATAAACTAGACAACCGATGTCAAACTAAATGGTAGCACAAACTGGGCGGTTTTTGATGAATCTTGATGGTATTTAACACTTTCTGCATGGCAATCTATTAACTGAATATGTGTATTAGATTATAGATGGTAAGCTCAGTTTCTTTCCTTTTTTCATCAAATCTGAATGATACCCGGTCCCTAGTGTAATGAATAACAGTGTACAATAATATCCAGTCTCTGCATGGAGTTAACTCATATTATACAAAGGTCTGATCTACAAAACCTAACAAATCTTTCTAAGTGCTACATTTCTCAAATTCTTTGGAAAACTCTAATTCTTAGAGGGTAAGTGATGTTATTGATAGTTAAAAACTGAAATAAAATGGGGTTTAACGTCCTACTGTCAAGGGTTCTTTTGCATGCATGCCAATGTGTACAGGGGACCTCGTTTTTTGTCCCATCGGAACGACTATACAATGTCCCTTGCCAGGTCCTCGGTACTGCACCACTGACAAGGCGGAATCACGCCAGAAAATCAAGATGAACATTCTCGGCCAATGCAGGGATCGAACACAATACCTCCAGGTTAGAGAGAGAGAGAGAGAGATGGGATTAACGTCCACTGAACACAAACTAGGTCATTTCGGGACTAACACGTAGTTCAATTTTATTTCAATAATTCCCTTGCGCATAGGGATCCTTAGCAGTTGGAGGAAACTGGAAGACCCGGAGAAAACCTACGAGGTTGGACAGGTGCCCCTACTCCTCTCCAGGTTAGAAAGCCAACGTCCTACCCACTGAGCCACTGTGGTCCCCTACTGAGAGTTAAACAAGTATCAAAGCTTAATAAACGGTTTCTAAATTAATATGCATAGATTCCCACTTTAACCCATATACCTGTATCAAGATGAAAACACGTATTAGTAAATTGTAATTTGGTTATAAACAACATTTACTTAAAGATGCATTATATAAGAGCTTTAATCTGTCTTTTGCAGGTGTGTATTTTACCTTCAAATGTTAAATAAACTATTATTTAAATATTTATTCACATGCTAAGACTTTTACCAACTTATAATTAACTCTCTAGATCATCCAACGGAAGTTCAGAATACAGTAATTTGAATGAAATTTTCAACATATTCACTTTTTATTAATTATTATAGCAAGAACGATCAGCTCTATATCTAAATCTTAGATAATGCATCTTTAATCATCTCCTGTTTCATTTCCCTCAGCCCCAACCACTCCCACCATCCACCAAGAAACGCCTGGGAATTGATCAAATTAACAGTTGCTACAAAACCTACATTTCAGTTTAGCAACAACAGGTATTAATTTCAATAATTCTGTAAGTATTGGAATTAAATGAAATGGAGTTTAACATCCTTACTTTTCTGCACCAACTGGGCTAATGAAGACAAAGTGACGCCACACAGAGTGTTATAGGCAGTGGCGGCACCAGCCGTCGGTGATTGGAGGGGCAAAGCTGGGCCAAAGTCCAAGGTTAAGGGGGCAAAGGTACGAGCTTCAACTAGGGGTAGGGGGCCTCCCCCAGAAAATTTGGAAAAACAGGTTGCCGGAAATGCAGCCTGGCAGTATTTCAGGCACTGAGCGATGAGGTAGTGTCAAACGAACGGACTTGCGAATCACGACGAAGCCCACTCAAGAGCGTCAAAGTAGGGAGTCCTCCCCCAGAAAATTTTGAAAAATAGACTGCCGGAAATGCTGTCTTACAGTATTCTGTCAGGCACCGATCGTAGAGATAAATAGATCTGACCAGATACCGTCCGTCGCCTGATCACTAGTTTATCCGACTAGAGAACAAATTGTCAAATGAACGGACTTGCGAACCACAACAAATTCCCCTTGTGAGCACCAAAGTAGCGAGTCCATTGGGCACCTCACCAAGAAAATTTTGAAAAATAGACTGTCGGAAATGCTCTACAACATGCAAGTTTATGACTGAGTGGGGATGTGGGATTTATTCACCGTAGAAGGTATTGATTACCGAAACGTATCACAAATACTTTTTTTTTATTTTCTAAAATTATTGGGGGGGCAAACAGAGGGCAGACCAGATTAATGGGGGGGCAAATGCCCCCCCTCTGGCGACGCCACTGGTTATAGGTATTACTCTTTAACATCGGAATCGAACCAGGGACCTCCTAGTAAGTAAGCCAGTGCCATACTCACCGAGAGAAATGGGATTTCACGTCCACTCAACTAAAACTAAATCATTTTGGGACGAACATATGGTTTAATTTTATTTCAATAATTCACTTGCATGTAGGATCTTTAATTAGCAGTGGGTGGATACCAGGGGACCAGGAGAAAACCAATGAGGTTCGACCCGATGACCATACTCCTTTCATGTACAATCGGGGAATGGAAACCATGCCACTTGACTCAAGGATAGACCTTATGATACAAAACGCACGCGCTAACCACTCAGCCCCCCTCCTCCCCCTTCAGGATTATTACAGGAATATTGCTATCCAACCCCCTACAGGATTATTACAGGAAGGGAACAAATACATGTAACACAAAGTGCAATAAAGTTAGAAATAGACAAAGTGTATATCGAGACAACATTTATAGGCTTTTGGAAGAATGGGCTTTTATGTGATTAGCCTTTTGGATTGTATATTCTGTTCAAATGCCAGATTCTGCAATTTCCGAAAATCATCTACCCTTCAAAATACAGAATGAAAGAAGATTTCATTGACTTTGATCGAAGTCATTTCAGATTCAAAGAGGGAGAAAGAGAAATGGATTTAATGTCCACTTGACACAAACTAAGTCATTTCATTATTTTAAGGCTGACAAAGTGTACGTGTACACATTCGTGGGCTTGAACATAGCTCACAGGGTATTTGATGTCATGAATTTCGTTACAAGTTTAAAATAAATATTTATAGTTATAATACTTACAGCTGCAGCGGCAATTGAATCATGATAGACACCCCGCGCAGCAGCTACGATAGCAGCAATAAGCCAACAAACAGTTATAATGCAATAATAGATAAATTCCTAAAATAAAGCCAAAATAAAAAAAAAAATAGGAACAAAAAAACATGCATGAACATCAAATATAACATCGATCTCTTTTACTTACACACGTAGCCCCGATTGAAGAATGATATCCAAATCGAGCAGCGGAAACGACTGCCGCTATCAACCAACAGACGGTAATTACAATATAATATATAAATACCTAAAACAAATACAAATAATTAGACAGAATCGTCTCGGATCAACCTTAAATATTCATGCCGTTAGTCAAAGTATTGTGCTTTTTGCCCCCTTTTTTTTTTTGGTATGCTGATTTGGAAATTGGACCAAAACAGCTTCCGAGAAGTCATTGTGTTGTTAGTAGAAAACTAATACCACAAGATCAACAATGGGTCCCCAAATGTATTTTGGCATGAACACATTTGAATTTTGGGGCTAAAATTCTTAACTATTTTCTTATACTATTCAAAAAAAGTAGGGGATATTTGATTTTTAAGTGTTATTAAAAGTCACCTAATGAAACTGACGAAGAAACAAATGACAAAATGAAATGAAGTTCACATTCATCGATTTATTCCAAATGATCGTTAGACTAAGTAAGGCACAGACTGACCATTATAAGGGTAAAATGATACCCGGGGTCAAACAGCAAAGTTACCACAGCATCACAACCAAGTCAGTAACGGGTAAATCCTCCTCTGTTTGCCAAACAAGCATTGATCCGACGTGGCATACTCCTAATGAGACGTCTAAGGTCATTTTGGTCCAGATTGTCCCATTCCTGTTGCAACGCAGCAGCAAGTTCTTGGACATTGGCAGGACGTTGTTGACGTTGACGTAACCTCTGTCCAAGCATGTCCCAGACATGCTCGATGGGGGAGAGGTCGGGACTCAGTGCTGGCCAAGGTAATGTGGTGATGTTCTGTTGTTGGAGGTAACCTGTAACGATCCTGGCCCTGTGACATCTTGCGTTGTCATCCTGGAAGATGAAACGGCGGCCATGACGTCGTGCGAACGGCACAACATGGACTGCCAAGATGTTGTCCCGGTAGTACTGGCCTGTAACACGCCCTGCAACAACATGTAAAGCCGTTCTTCCAGCAACAGTGATGCCTCCCCACACCATAACAGAACCACCCCCAAATCGATCATGTCTGATGACGTTAACGTCTTGGAAGCGCTCGTTTCGACGACGCCACACCCTCCTACGTCTGTCCAAAAAATCAACAGTGAACCTTGACTCATCTGAAAACATCACATTGCTCCAGCGTCGATTATCCCAGTGTTAACGATCCCTACACCAACGACGTCTTGCCTGAATGTGATGATCTCTCAAACAAGGGATCACGCGAGGACGTCGGGCGCGAAAGTGACCCCTATGCAGTCGATTCCGAATCGTCTGGCCACTCACTCTCACACCAGTGTCTGTTTGAAGACGAGCGCTGATCTGATTTGCTGTGATGACACGATTTCTCAAGGCCAAGGTACGGATAAATCGATCCTGGGCTTGAGTTGTCGCCCTTGGTCGACCTGAGCGTGGTCTGTCCTGTACAGATTGTGTATCACGGTATCTGGACCATAGCCTGCTTATGACAGACTGAGAAACATTCATCGTCCGCGCCACAACCGCCTGTGTTGTGCCGATCTGTAGCATGCCAAGGGCACGTAACCTTTCATTTTGGGTTAGCCGACGCATATCAAAATTTGTTTTCTGGTCACTAAAACAATTAAACTGATGTTTCCACCCTGGAATTCAATGCCACAATGACTGTAACATTCAAAGTCAGAGTCGTGCAAATCTTGGGTTGGACCCCCATGATGATCCCAAGCATCACCTGCATTCCATGCGGTAGCTATTGGTGCGTTTGGGCGTCACATGTAACTGGAAATGTTTCTTCTGTTAGGTTCTATAGTGACTTTTTTCGTAGTCATTTGCATATTTTAGTATTATGCCCCCAAAATCAAATATCCCCTACTTATTTTGAATAGTATATTATGGTTATTCCTAACATATCAATCACTACATGTATCTCATCAAGATCAAAGAACAGCAACGACACAGATATTTCAAATCAAATGACAAATCAATTTCTGTATCATAACGTGAAGTTATCTGCCCAAAAAGGTTACACGTTTGAGTAAATTCTGAACTTAAGCCTGGGAATGCTTTGTGAACTCGGGGGCTGATAAAACAGCACAATTAAACGGTACCCAAGTTGTAGTGTATGAGAGGTCACTAGTTTGACACAATGGTATGGGATATAATTAAAGTGTATTACTGATCAATGTTTCAATTTGGAAAATGAAATGAAATGAAATGGGGTTTAACGTCCTACTGTTCTGCTCCTAACCTGGGCTAATGAAGACGGGCATACGCCATACAGTGTGCTATGAGGGAAATTTTGCCCTGACAGCGGCACTACGGCCTACTCTTATATCAAATTCCAACTGCCAAGGGATCTTTTACGTGCACGCCAATGTGTACACGGGACCTCGGTTTTTCGTCCCATCCGAACGACTAGACAACTTTCCTTGTCAGGCCCTCCGTCCTGCATCACTGACAAGGGAGAACCACGCCGGAAAATCTGGATGAACTTTCTCAGCCAATGCAGGGATCGAACACCCGACCTCCAGGCTAGCGAGCTAGCGTCTTACCCACTTAGCCACGTGATCCCCGTTTCAATTTGGTTAGTCCAGACTTTATGAAGTACATGTAGCGTATGATAATACATGTAGAATACAAATCAATAGATAGTCCCAAAATAAATAGATGACACATATTAATTAATTTCAAATTTATCTTTTTTGTAAAGCATCCAGCAATAAAACTGCTAATTTATACTTTGTCTAAGCAGAAAATGTTCAGGTTCGATCTTAGTCAAGGTTGACACTAGTTTCATCATTCTCCCTCAATTAGAATCAAAGTTATCGTGAACCAAAGTATTGACCAATGAAATTGCTTATCTTTGCTACCCTGAGCAGAAAATGCCCATTATCGAACCAAGACAGTGGTTCTAAGTGTGCCGCAAAATTTTGAACGACACGCTAAGAAAATGCGAAAAACCACATGATCCCAATAGAGTATTCACTGATAAGTTCATAGCTGTGGTTTTTTTTATTTAGTTTGAGTCATTCTATGTGTCTATGGCTAGTCTCTGCCTACGGTTTTCATATATATTTAGCCAGGTGCGCCGCTATTTTTTCATGTGTTCCAAGGTGTGGCGTTGGCAAAAAAGGGTGAGAAACACTGAACTAAGACAAGGCATTCCGCATTCTGCACACAGGGATGTATCTATTTGGAGATTCGATCTCTGTCCCCGATCGGTTGTCATATCCAAAAATTAGCACAATACTATTTTGTAATGTTCCCCCTATTCACATCTGTCATACACAAAAGGACTAGATAAACCTTTTTAATTATTTCATTCATTAACAAGTGGAATACAGTAAACCTCGCATAAGTTGGATTTGTATAAGTCAGATCTTTGCTCAATTAGGATAAAATCGTTTGGACCCTTTAAATTGATCCTGCATGTTCTTCTTATTAAATTTCTGCACGTAAGTTGGATTTCCTAAGTCTGATCTTTGCTCAACTCGGATCAAAATGTGCGGTCCATTTGATCTAATTGCGGCTTTTTCTTGAAATACTTACAAAAGCTTGAAATGTGCCTTTGAATCAATTATTATCCAGCTCTTGCAGTTTATTTCTAATCGAGCTAAGATTGAATTTCGGTCTTTGGCTAACTCGAATCTTCGCTTAACTCGGATAAAATTTGTCAGTCGACTTAGATCCGACTGATGCGAAGTTTGCTGTATATTTCTCAAAATTCTCGAAGTAGCCTTTCTGTTTTTGACTAAAATCGTTGATTTAGTACTTAAAACGTTGGTCATCCAGTTTAATGTCTGTTCTCAAGCGAAACTAATTATAGACAGACAGCATGAGTTTAGTATGGGCATTCAGCTAATGAACAGATACATGCAGGGGTGCCAGAACGGCACGAGGGCCAGGGTACCAAAAGATAGTAGGGGGGGGGGGGTCCGGGAGATGGGCCTCTAGAAAATTTTGAAATTTGTCAATTCCGAGAACGCTGTTTAGAGCGCCCCTAGCATTCCAAATTCCAACATTAAATCCTTTAAAATACAGACATCTGGCCAAGGCATGCACTGATAGCTAATAATGAGAGTGCGAGAGCCAGTTCGCAACCGACCAGAGAGCAATTACATATCTATCATTTAAAAATGAATAGACTAGTAAAAAGGTTGAAAACTTTCATCATTAGGGCATGGGTATACAAGTATACATGTACCCCAGAAAAGGACAGGGTACCATTTGTATACCCTGGTACCCGGCGCCCCTGGATACATGTACACCTGTTTGGAACATTCTACCTCTGAGTTAAATTATTTCAATGGCATTTAGTAATTGAACTGGAGTAAACAGGTCACGATTCTATGGAATACAATTACTGCTTATTACTGAGCGACGTTTCGACTAGGTTTCTCTAGTCATTATCAAGCTATGATAAAATATGAAAATACATGTATAACAAGACAATATATACATCTACACAGCAATACTTAGTTAATGCAGTAATTGTATCCTATAGAATTGTGACCTGTATACTCAATTAGAGTTATTGTGTCTCAAAAAGTGTGACGGACGGACGAACCATTTTCAATAATCACCTACGGGAACAAAAAAAAAAAAGCCCAAAAGATCATCATCAATGGTGGATTTAGATTTATGACTCCAGTGTCCCATCCAACCAGACTGAATACAAGGGGATACTCAATTGAACGTTCCGGAATTGAATTCTCGTGATCCCCCAAAAAGTGATAATCAATGTGAAAAGGTAGATTACGGCTGTGTAAGGAAATATCGCAACCAACCATAACAAAACATATTTGTTGTGTTTAATTACGTCACGATTCTACTCACACCACCTCCGTTGTCTCGACTGAAATAACTGTGAAAGGACTAAATTCCACGTCACTCGATTGCTATTACGTCAGTTCTGGACGTTCTGCAGTGACAATCAAGTATTCCTTAGACATTAGAACAATAAAGGGAGAGAACTTACAATAAAGACCCATGGTCCAGGCAGACGGTGAATGATGTGCATGAAGTGAAGAATGAATAATATGATTGTTGTTATTAACGCTGTGGCAGCCACAAACTGAACCCATCCACCTCCAAGATGTGACCAATACACGATAGATGAACAAATTAAAACGATGATAGACAGAACCTACAAAATAAAAACATAAATTAGGATTATAATAGACCCTACTGGCCTACTCCTTGTCACGTACAACCAGGGATTCGAAACCACACCAGCTGGCTCAATGACATACCTTATGATACAACATGCATCAATAACCATTCGGCCATCCACCCCCCCTTTAATAACAAACAGCTTTCGGCAAAAACCAGGCTAATGAAGACAGAAATAAAATCAAATGGGGTTTAATTAACGTCCTACTGTTCTGCTCCAACTGGGCTAATGAAGACGGACATACAGTGAGCTATGAGAGGAATTGTGCCCGGGCAGCGGCGCTACATCCTACTCGTATATTGAATTCCAACTGCCTTCCGAATGACTAGACAGCTGTCCTTGTCAGGCCCTCTGTCCTGCACCATTGACAAGGGAGAACCACACCAGAAAAACCTGATGAACCTTTTTTACCGTACATACATATACAAGTACTGTACAGGTGTAAATGGTTGACAGATTTGGGGTAAACTGGTAAACGGATAAAAAAACAAAACTATACAGTTATATGGGACAACAATCACTGGTTTATTATACACAAGCACGACGTTTCGATAAGTATTCTCTTATCGTTATCAAGCTTGTCCCATATAACTGTATAGTTTTGTTATGTTTCCAATTGCTAAATGCCACTAAAGGATTATGGTAAACGGATGCTACAATGTTGGGAGTGGTCAAATGATTCCATTTTATTTCAGTTGGGAGAATCCCCAAGAGGTTAGACAGGCGACGCTACACCTCTTTACGTACATGTACATGTACATGGAATCGAAACCAAACCACTTGACTCAATGACAGACATTATGATCGAATGCGTAGACGTTTAGACCATTCGGCAACCTACTGTAATCCCCCATTTCCCGTAGTACAGCTTGTCACTGCAGCAATTTGCAGTGAAGTTTAAAATTGGTAACTAAGAGGAGATCACTCTAGAGTCTCTAGGTCCGCCACACAGCTACTTACCATTTCTGCTATTTTCAAAAGACCAGGAATGCTTTTAACGTAGTTTACATCTGGTCGAATTTCAGGAGCCACCCCGGCTGATGTTGTCTGTGTTACAGTGGTTTGTTCGTACGTCGTCGTCATCTTTACGCTTTATTGATTGCTGCCTTTCAAACTTTACTACAAATAAACTAAAAGTAAATGAAATGAAATGAAATGAAATGGGGTTTAACGTCCTACTGTTCTGCTCCTAACCTGGGCTAATGAAGACGGGCATACGCCATACAGTGTGCTATGAGGGAAATTTTGCCCGGACAGCGGCACTACGGCCTACTCTTATATCGAATTCCAACTGCCAAGGGATCTTTTACGTGCACGCCAATGTATACACGGGACCTCGGTTTTTCGTCCCATCCGAACGACTAGACAGCTTTCCTTGTCAGCCCCTCCGTCCTGCATCACTGACAAGGGAGAACCACGCCGGAAAATCTGGATGAACTTTCTCGGCCAATGCAGGGATCGAACACCCGACCTCCAGGCTAGCGAGCTAGCGTCTTACCCACTTAGCCACGTGATCCCCTAAACTCAAAGTAGATGGAAATATTAGAACACAGTCGAATGACTTGGTCTATTCAGAATACAACATTTTACAGATCCTATTTCGTTTTGTTTTTTTATAGTTCAAAATTTCGTTTTACTTGTCTTTAATACACTAGGGTCTGGAAGAGTTGTTATCATTGACATGTTCTGGTTGAGCTTTAGGCGTGAGGTGCACGGAACTGTGGGTAACCCACTAGAAACATCAACGCTGATTGATTAATCACATGTCTGACGTCAAAAGCCGCTTGTATGACACCTGATGCGATCTTTCACTACAACCAGTCAAATCTTTAAGTACTAGAGGTCATCAAATATTTAAAAAAAAAAATGAACTATAGATCTGTATTTAAATCAGATTGCTAAGGCACATAAGGCACCTCTCACAGAAATTGATTTGAAATGGGGTTTATTTAATGTCCTATTGTTCTGCCCCGACTGGGCTAATGAGGACAGCAACACCTTTCACAGACTTTTTCAGGCACAAATCATCATATAGGACAGAAGTTGTGTGATAATTTGTATCTAGGCTTGAGGCTTGACATATATTGTTACTACATGTAGCCTACATGTAGGGTCTATTCTAACGTTTCTACAGGTAATGACACGCGTCTGGATAACGTTCCTACAGGCAATGACATGCGTCTGGATAAAACAAATTATGCAGCCTTGTGAATCTGTGCTTTGAAAATCTGAAATCAATGCTTTGAAACAATGTTATGCAGCCTTGTGAATCTGTGCTTTGAAAGAATATTATGTACAGTGTAGTCTTGTGAATCTGAGAAGACTGTCTGGGGGAAACTGAGCTATTTATCAACGTTATATGACCATGAAACATGATCAGTGGATACATCTTGGACAGAACTATTCAACAGTATGGATCATCATGTCTCTTTATGCTTGAGCGATAGCGATTAAAGTTAAACCCGAATATGGTATGTACGTGTAGCCTACATAGGACATGAATACAGAAACTTGATCAGAGAACAGATCTTAGCCAGAGACGAATTTCTTATGGGAGTTGGGTTATCTTAATCTACATTCTATACTCGAGTGACTTCAAATCAAGTTTTATGATGACATACAAATCTTGACTGATTTCTAATCAAGTTTTACGTTGATGTACGAATCTTGGAAACTAATATAATACATGTACACCAAAGAGAGAGAGACTGACTCAGAGAGTCTGTGTCGAGTGGACATTAAACCCCATTTCTCTCTCTCTCTCAGTGAATCTCTAAAGGGGATATAAATATAAACCATCCCAGAAATGATTCAATTCCAGTCAGTATTTACATGAATATCAATCCAGTAATACCTCAGTTCCACATGAGATTTACACAGATGTCCACATTCATCATCAACAAGCCAGCACAATCTGTAATCAGTGTGGTAATAAATGAATGAAATGGGATTAAAGTCCTCATTTTCTGCATCTACCAGGCCAGTGAAGATGACCAGGCTAATGAAGAGGGGAATGATGAAACCAAACAAATGAAATGAAATCGGGTTTAATGTCTTACTGGTCTGCTCCGACTGGGCTAATGGAGAAAGGGATACAGTGTTCTATGAGGAAAATTTTGCCCACACAGCAGCGCTCCGGCCTACATGTACTTTAATATCGAATTTCAACTGTACATGGGACCTCGGTTTTTTTTTCCCATCCTATCGTCTAGACACCTGTCCATGTCTGATCTGTCATCCTACACCACTGACAAGGAGAAACCACGCTGGAAAATTCTGATTAACTTTCTCGACCAACAGACCGTGAGCAAACTCGCGATTTCCACCATCTTACTCACTTAGCCACCGTGGCTCCCTGAAACCAAACAAGCTATGTTTCTTTTCAAGTTTCCCTCCTTGACTACACAATTAATATGTACACACTATTACACTGTTAATGTTGCTCTCTGCTTGAAATGGCTATACAATATAAATACATGTATATTCATGAATGTTTAAAATGTGTGAAGTACTGTGTGAAGCTATTATTCATCTGATGGTGAATAAACCCACGCTATATGGTTTTACAGCTTAAAGGGACAATAACACTCTTGCTGGCTTGACAGCTCCAGGAAATAAATAATAGCCTTATTCTAAGTATTAGATGTTTAAGTGTCCTACATGTACATGTACCTGTTGTGTAAATTATCCATTAAATCCTATTTTACTTGTCCAGAGTGTTCGAAAATATTTTTAAATCCAAGTCACATTTGAAAAGGTTTACGTTAGGCTTTTCAAATTATTTAGTTGAATTTGTCCAATTTTTTAAATTAGGTGTGTTAAGATGAAATTTATATCACCAATTAATTGGAATATTGTAAAATAGTACAATTTGTTGACCAGAATAAAGATTGGGACATATTATTCAGTTACAACAAGAGTGGTATTGAACCTTTAAAGTAGCAATGGGATTAATTTATAAAAATTAAACACATCTAGTTTTTGAATGGAGTAGAAATGGGTTTAATGTCCACTCAACACAAACTACAAGTAGCTCATTTTGGGACTAACATATGGTTCAATTTTATTTCAATAATTCGCTTGTGTGTATGGGTCTTATAAGCAGTTGGAGGAAACAGAGAAAAACCCACGAAGTTTGACAGGCGATCCTACTCCTAGTCACACACAACCGGGGAATCAAAACCATGCCACTTGACTCAATTCTAGATCTTACGTTTAGGATGCAACACGTACGCATGAACCATTCGACCACCAAATTCCCCTGTATATGAATGGAGTCATAACATCAGCATGTTCATCTATAAACATGTCAAATGCAACGTTTCACGAAGTAAATTCTTTAAGGACAATATTGGTGTCCGTCGTTATCACATGTGATAGAAATCGTTAAACACGTATAGAATGAATGAAAACAAGGGAATGTATGGACTATTTCTATTTTTCTCCTGTTCTCTTATCTAGTGACAGTCAATTCTTTGTTTGAATTGTCAGATATCCTCTTCTTACAGTGTCACAACATAACAACTTGACTTTCTACTTCCATCAATGTAAATTATGTTTATGATAAACAATGACCATTATTTTTGAGTACCGGTATAACAAGTAGGCCGCCTTGAAGTTAAATTGTTACACGTACTTCTAAATTCTCAACATTTAGTATACATTTATAATTATAACCAAAGCTGATAATTCTCAACATAGTTATAACCAAAAAGCTGATAAATGATAAATTGACAGACATGTATAGTCCCTTTAAACACAACAGATGGAAGCCATTTTAACAAACCAGCCCCACCTTCTCTAGAGAAAACAGTATCACAACCTTTCAATATAAACAATATACGTCTACTGTACTACACATGTACAGTCGTTGTTTCTTAAGGCAAGTGATGGTTCTCAAGCGCCTGCCGCTCACCTGAATGTTGACCGAGGGGAGTTTTTTCTTCCTTTCCTTAAAACTGAAAATCGTTCTCCTTTACAAAGTCATGGGGGGGGTTTATTATCATTTATGAATTCAGGAATGACCCCCTAACATGCAGTTATAGATCTTCAGAACCATTTCCCATACACACAACTAATCACTCTACTTAATATCAGATCACTCTCCTTAATTTCTAAATCACTCTTCTTAACGAAACTGGGAGAGATTTTTTAGGGGAGCGATTTTTTCAATTTGTTGATTGAGAGGGGAGCTTTTTTTGGCTCTTCTCCAAAATACAAACAACGACGACTGGTAGAATGAAAAGGGGTGTGGTTTTAATGTCTCATCAACACAAGCTGAGTTGAACATGTAAAGTAGAATCTGAATTAAGCAGCCACCCAAGGGAATTTTCACGACTGACCGCTTAATGGGAGTGACCTCTTAATAAAATCCCAGTGCTTTTTGTGCTGACAAAAATTAAATATTACGCTTGGATGCATTGGAAGCAAACATCAATACTTGCATCGGTAAATTTGACCGACGCTGAATCTTCCGCCGAACGAAAATTCTTTACTCAAATCTCGCACATAACTTCTATAAACTTGTAATTTTGTATCAACCTTCTAAACTACTGTCTACTATTGTGATGCATTCGATAATATTTATCCATTTTTGTGAAGAAAATCGATGAATTAATTTTATTTTATCAAAAAAGCACATGAACAAAAAACCATCACTGATTTTATCACCTATTTACAGGGGGTGTAACTCCGTATGTAATATTATAGAAGACGCTAAACTGTCTGTTTAACAACAAAGTGGCAATGGAAAAGCGATACTAGATGATCGTGACAAAACTCGGTACTTTTATTTTATTCAATCAGTATCAAATAATGTGTCGTTACACTTGAAAAAAATGATTAGGTTATTCGTTTAATAAAACAAAAGATTAATTAACAGATAATCCCGGGTTGATTCTTATGTTTACATTTCTTTTTACCTGATCAGTGGGGGTCCAGTTAATTAACTACTACTCACGGGATTAGAGGGGGTGTTACAAAGAACGACAAGATGGTATCATTCAACAATGGCCGTTGAATGGGTGATGTTTTGTTGAATTTATTAGTAAAATAGTGATCGCTGGCTGCATTAGAGGAGTGGCCGTTGAATAAAGAGATAAAACAAGGAGATGTCGCTGAATAGGAGTGG